TTGTAATATTAGGATTAGTGAGGGAGGTTAATTTTCTGCATGGAAGATATTGATAATAGGTATTTTATACTATTTGCAGAGCTCCCATATTGTGGTTGAGATAAAAAATTTTACTGTCATATTTTGGGGTGGTAAATAATTTAAATTTATTTGTTAAATTAAATCTAAAATTATAATATAAAAATAATTTTATAAAAATTAATAAATTTTACTTTGATTGAATATAAATATTATGCTAAAATTAATATGAGATAAATTTTTATTTTTCAATTGGCTAAATATAATTTAATTTGCTATTTTAAATTTAATAATATTCATTCTTACCATAATTTGAGGTGAGATTGCTTTTTAATATAACACAATAAGATCTAAATTATATAAATTAATTGAAAAATAAATGTTAATAGCAAATAATAACATAGAAAGATTATATTACAAAATATAATATAGAAGGTGATTGAGTGGGAAGAACGCTTGCCTTTAAACCGTTAAGTCATAGGTTTGAATCCCGTGATGTACAAAAAATTTTCTTAAAATCTAACATTAGAGATAGATAGTCTCCATCGATTTATTCATTAAGAAGATAAGAAAGTTGATTGAAAAAATAAAAATTAACATTAAGATGATAGGAAAGTTGATAGGAAAAATAAAAATTAACATTAAGAGAAAACTTTCATTTCTTGATTACTGATTATATATATAGATTATATCAATTAGCCCATATATAGTGTTTATACCTTTCTTATATCATTCTAAGTCAAGGTTATTATTATGAAAAAAAATTTTATGGATAGCTTTTTTGACCCCTTCCCATTAGCACATATATAGTGTAATGTATACCTTTCTAAGGGCATAATTAAAAAAAACAAACTATTATGAATAAGAATAACTATTGGCACATAAGGGTATAATTGCGAAAAAAATTATATTGGATTGCTAGTTTGACCCCTCCTCACTCCCCACCCAATTTATTTAATTTGTTGGTATATTAATTATTGTTCTTTTCCCAGATATCGACTTCTCAATATTATTTTTCCATGATAACATCGTTTTCATACATGTTTTTTTTAAATTTTATTTTAAGTGTGTGCATGTTACATGATTGTAAATATTATAAAATAATGTTGTATTTCAATTTAAAGTTTAATGTTTATAAAGGAATTAATGTCATATTATATTTTGATTTTACATGTTCATTTAAATGTTTTTTATTTTGAGGCGACAATTTAACATATTACCGATTTATTGATTTGACCAAGTATATATATGACTAGATGATGTATACAAAATAGATTATTGAAGTTTAAAGAAAATAAAAGATTAAATTATTCTCATTCGTATATCGACCAAACCACATATATAGTTCAAAAAAACCCCTCTTATATCAAAATTCATACTTGGCACTCAGCCTATTATTTAAATTTAAATTTAATAGATGTTCTTTCACAATGTTGACAAAAAATAGATTAATGTATGCAATTTTGTGTGCAGAGTTGGGCAGAAAGTTATAATAGTGTTACGCTATATCTCCGATTTATAAAGTATAACAATATAACGAAGAGGTTCTGTAACCATTATATTTGTTTGAACTTAAAGTAACGTTAATTTTTCGTTACTTTTAAAACATTTTTATAATTTTTTTATTATAAAAATACATTAAACGTTAAAATGGAATGTCTGACTGTATTGATATACAGAAAAGAGAATCCAAAAGAAATGCGAATTTTTCAAATCTTTTCATTGTGGGGTTTAGTTATATATAAACAATGACAGCCATTGAAAAAATGATTATTTCAGCGTATGAAGACGATGATGGTAAAGTCAAGTATTGTAGTATAGATTGTGAAAAACAGATTATTTAAAGTTTCGTAACATTACTTTTTTTATTATAATATTAAACTAATTTACAAGTCAGAACTGACAAAAATGATTTTTTTTTTATTTCCATAGTTTTTTGTACAAAGATAAAATGAAAGAATCCTATATCTCGATCCATCATTTTAAATAAAAATATATCATAAGAATCCAATAATATGTATATTTATTCATTACAATACATATTTACCAATCCCTTATAGTCCTTATTTTGATTTGCAAAAAATTTAAAACACCAAACAGGAGACAAGAATGATTTTATTTGAAAAATTAGTCTTTTGTCAAATGGTACTTTAAATTGATAATCTTTGATTTTGATTAAATCAGACAATAAAATATTCTTAAATTTGTTTTCGTTTCTTTATTATATTGATTTTTATTTTAGACTTTACAGAAAAATGAATCCAAAATTCTTCATCGCACTTTTCTATTTTCATTAATTCTTTTTTGATTATATAACAAATAATTTTTTAACTGTTACATATTCTAAATAAAGATAACATAACCGTTAGCTTTTATTTTGATATAATAATGGTTTAGCTGTTATATTTCATAACGATAACCGTTAATCTGAATTATGTAACATGCCCAACTTTAGTTGTATGCATATCATAGCATCAAAGAATCTAATAGATACATATTAAGCATTGATTTTTAGGTTGGAGTTACTATAACTTGTAACGTTTATTAGATTCCTTACTATCACAAATTATATCATCAATATTTTCCTTAACCTGACAATTAAATCTTTGTAAATAACGGTAAATGAAGACTATTCTTCATGTCATAATATGTCACTAAATACATTTTATAATTGTGAAACTTTCTTTTCATCAAAATTCTTCGAATACAAATATTGCACATTCGTTATAAGCTCTTTATTCACCGAAAATCTTATGGTTGTTAAATTAAACTATTAATAATTTGATCAATTATAAGACGAAATGCTTTAAAAATAGAGATTATTTGAATCTTCAAGCGTTCATCTTTACATTCATCACTATACATCCTCCTTGTTAGATTTATTCGAGTTTCGTATTTCATTTTATGTCCATATGTTTAATGGCAGCTTAAATCAAGAATATTTTTATTTAAATTTGTAGCCATTTTTTTTAGTTTTATTTCGAATGGAGGTGAAGGTGATAAAAGATACAGAAGGACTTGGCACCAAACTGAGAAATGTCACGCTTTAAAACATAAAGTGTGAGCCAAGCTTTTAAAAACACAAATTCTGTAACATATAACAAACCATTAAGTATTGTTTAATATATTATATTGCTTTAATCTGTTTGGTAGATCGTTTAAAGAGGGAAAATTTTTTAGTTAAAATAAGAAAAAAAAGGTGACCAAAATTGAAAATTATAGTAGAATGGAGAATAAGTTCTAGATGTCTGGTTTTATATCAATATATGCCTTACTTTTATTAATCTTCAATCTATTTTGCCAACCATACAAAATTAACCGATTTATAAACCTAATAAGAACTATCATATCAAGCCTTATGCCCAGAGTGATTCAAATTTCTGGAAGAATTAACTCTGACATTTATTTCAGTTGCATATTTAGTACATTTTAGTTCAACCCGTTAGGTAGATAGTATTTAAAAACACATTATTGTCAAATAATAAAAAAAATTTGAAAATAAAACAAAAACTATTGAAGCTATCAAGGTGTGTCACTATCAGATCCGATTTTCCAGTCATTAAAAACCAGTATTAAGTAAAATAAAAACTAACGTGTCTTGGATAACGGATTTTAAATTGCGATTCAAAAATCAAATATAAATGTTACTTTTATCAAAACAAATAGTATATCTTTAACGTCCGTTCTTTATATATTAGCAATACCCTTCCGTAAATAATAGCTCTCTCAATTTTTTACTCCTATCTATGATATTCTATCCTTATTTAGTTTTTATTCCTAAATAGCATCAGGCCATGTTCTGACTCGTCATTTTTATGAAACTCTTTTCTGTTTAGACCAGTCTATTCAGATTTTGAACTAGGAAATTCTGTAATGTTTTAAGTGTGTACTGAATCTAAATATTCTCTTTCTTTATATTTTGTTTAGAGGAAGCTATATAAACAGCTAATCAGATTTCTTAGGAAACATGAGTAAGGACACAGCTTCAGCCCTTTTTTTATCATGTACAGCTTAATATGTTTCTTCTTAGCTTATCATAAGCCTTTTTATCAGTATAATTCCTTCTCTTTTACTAGGTTTCATATAATAATAGTAAAGGTCAAAGCTGGACCAGAAAATCAATTTTGTCCCATCCGATTATATAACAAAGTTTTATAATCACCCCGTAAACACCACCGAAGACCGTTAATTTGTTACTATTTTAGGTCCTTCAGTTTGAACGACCTACTCAAATTGAATTACGAGTTAATATTTACATTGCATTAAAATATACATTAATATCATAGATGAAATTAGTATATCAAAACTGTTTAAAAGTTGTCGAAACACTTTCCAAAATTTTTAGCAATTTAGGGTTTAAGACAAATTTAAGCATCAGGTTCTGCAGAGAAAAAAAAGCTAGCCGTTAGTTGAGGTGTGGTTGATTCTATTTTAAATTCCAAGTTTTATATAAGAATTAGGAAGTCGAAAATAAAGCAAAGCAAAACAAAATTATGAAATATTATATATTTCATATTTTTGCTTTAAAAAAATCTAAGCACGTAAATATTGTCTAAACCTCGAGATAACACTAAAATAGGGCTAACTCTTTTTGCCATTTATATACGAAATCTCAATGCATAGCTAATATTTGTTTTTGATTTAGCCATGTTTTTTTTAAAAAAAGTATAGCATAAATCGAGGTTTTTTGACAACACCAGTTACTATTTTTATGGCTTTTAAAACGTTTCACAAGCTATGTTTTTGATAGTAAGATACTTTTATGAACATTATTTTAAATTTTAAAGCTATATATTAGAAACTAAAAAAAAAATTAAAACCCAGATCTGGAGATTAACTAGAATGTTATCGTGAATCATTATGGCAAAAAAGAAAGATGAATTTAAAGGAATGAATAAAAGAAGTAAAGGGATGCTTTTATCCTATTTCAAAATTTGAAAAAAAATAGATTATGATATTAAATTAAAAAATATTTTTTTTACCAAGAAAACTTGCGATTGGTCAGAGTCTCGCTTAATCTTTTAAAACCTGTTCCTGACCCGGATTTTCCTTTTATGCTGCCATCTTTGTATTTAGATTTTCTCAAATATTTGCCGAATAAACAACCCATAGTCATGTGTGAATATTAATGATGTAAACTTTTTTGTGTATGTTGTATCTATAGATTTATTTTATTTCTTCTTCGCCATCGTGTGTCTTATGTTATAAAATAGTTTCATGACAGATTAAGAGAAAACTTTAACAAATTTTCAAGTGTAGATTAATTTTTTTTAATTGGTAAATAATTGTATAGTCTTTTAAGGAATCAGGAAATTATTGTTGGTTGTATAATTTTATAAATATTTCATATTCTTCTTTCTTTCCTTTTTTTTATCAATGGTAACTTATTGTGAAAGTGAGCAATAAATTTAGAAATGAATTCAATCTTTTATATTCATATGAATTCAGCCAAAATATGCGAATCAAATAGAATCAATTTTCCCACGAATTTTAATAATTGATAATATTATAAATTATAATCCGAAACTCGAAAAAACCAATTAAGAAATTTTTCTATGGCTCTATATTTTAAAATAAAATTTATTTATTATTTCTTGCTAACACTTGTATAGATCGTTTCGATTCTAAATATTTCCATCGAGATTTTTCCACGCGCGTATGTATCATATGTGAAGAGAAAATTTTAAATAATTTTAATATTTAAAAAAAAAATTTTAATCACAGTTATTTTTTACTTATTTAAAAAAGAAAAAAATTTATTATGCAAAATATTACATTATAAAATATAAATACTTTTGCTTATTAAATTCAAAAATATGAGGAAAAATAAAAATTTAGTTTTTCTGATTTAGGGGGAAAAACGGTTTCATTTTTTATATTAAAAAAAAAGTATTGATTTTTTTTGGTGTTTATTATATTATATTCATACCATTTTTATTTTCATCCCGAATTTTATTGTTGTAATATTGTGCTGTAAAATTATTCAATTTTAGTTTAGTGAAGAGGAGATAAAATTTCTTGCAAAAAATATAATCTTCTCTCTTTCTTTTTTTATAATGGAAAAGTGGTATTAATTATATGTTATATGTTATATTTTTAATAACATATTATACAGTATTAAATCATTTCATTCCCTTCCAATCAAGAAATTGAATAAAATTTTTAAAGGAAAAAAAATGTAACACCCTTTTATTTTGTAAGTTTTTGGTATAATTATCTACTCTATAAAATTTAGTTTTCACATTGAAAATTATATTTCTATAATTTATATTATATATCATATTTTATATAATTTAAAAGTGAGTATGATGATAATCGTATATAAAATAAATATCTAATTTAATTTAATGATAGAAAGAAGAATTATTAATAATTTTCTGTAATAGGAAGAAAAAAATTTCAAATAAAATTACATGTATATTTTTTTTAAAAAAGGTCTAAATATAGTACTATGAATACCAACTAAATATTTAGATAATCTATTTCATAATTATATCAAACTATTTATGAAAACAGGTCACATTTTTTTTAAAGCAAAAGGAATCTGTTTTCTGTTATAATTATAAAACCTTTTTTTAAACTATAAAAACCTAAAGGGCATTTACTTCTTGAGTCAAAATAGAGAGAGGTGGTCATTATTATAATGTTATAAACATTAATTACAAATATTTTTATGGTTAGATATGATTTTCGGGAGGGAAAACTGGTAAGTAATAAATACTAAAATTATTTGCGCCATTTGCTAAAGACTTGAATCTTTTTTTGTTGAATATCTTTCATCTTCAAAAAAAATGAGACTTTATACATACATTAAACACCATTATTCATATTAACATATCATTATATCACATATAATTTCTATGTCTTAATGGTAAAATAAGATATGGTTTATAAGTATAAGATAATGATGATTGCGATTATTATGATATAAATAATAAATTTAAATCAATATTCTCTCTTATCGATTGAAGATAATATAAGAAAAAATTTTTGCTTTGTGTTTTTTTTTCTCCTATTACTTAAACTGATCTAAAGTGTATAACAAGCATAATTTTATTTGCATATTTATTTATAATTATGTATTAATAATAATATTAAAATTAATATTAAAATTAATAAAAATTAGCGGATATAATTAGAATCAGAAGTGTTGGGTAATTTGTTAACATGTTGCATAGGCAGGATTTATAATATAATGTTTGTTATCTATTTTTTAAATAAGAGAATATAGTTAAAGTTAAAGTACACATTTGAAATTATTTTGTGATGGTTTTATTTAGGTTTATAAATTGCCTTAATTGAATGTCAGATGCCAAAATGAGTACTTGCTTTCGTTATTTTTTTTACGATTAGCGTTTCGCGTGCAATATATGTAATTTTATATAAATCCTTTTAAATTCTATCTTCAAACTCAACACGTTTTTTTTATAAAGATAGATAATGAACTTTTTATTTAAGATAAAGTAGATTATATAGGTTGCCTCTCTTCGTAAAGATCATTTTAAGTTAATAAAAAAAATTCATCTACATACTCTCCCCCTCAAACCTCTCCCACAAATGTTTATACAATATAACTAAATTAGAATTTGATGAAAAATTAGAAAAAGTTAACATTTTCAAAATAATGACTATAATTCAAAATTTTTTGAAAAAGAGCATTTAAAAAAAAAATTAAAATCTAATATAGCCAAAGATCTACATTAAGTGGACCTAAATACCCCCACTAAGATTTATGGTGGAGAACCCCACCTAATAGCGCTCCGCTCCCTAGCAAAATCCTGGATACGCCTATGAGATGATATTAGATATTGGTTCTTTTTTTATCGGATGAATTCATAACGAATGATAATATGTTACAGAAGAAAAAACAATTATATATTAACTATTATAAAATTAGTAGTAAAAAGACAAGATCAAAATGTAGGCAGATTTTAAGGAAAATAACGGACTTAAACTTGATCTAAACGGTATAAAGGAGAACGGGATTAGTGGGCTGATTATTATAAAACTCCCATAATTTTTCAAAATAATTTCCTATCTTACATAAATCATTGCTCATTTTATTCTTGAGACATTAAGGTACCATACAGTAGTGTTAAATTTAAAAAAATAAATATTTTACACTATTTTTCGAAATGGCCCGTAAAATTATATTCACTAATATTTAAAAATGAAACATTTTTATTTAATTATTAAGCAATTATTAATTTAATCTCTTCTTTTAAATAAAGGTCTACTTTAAAACGCAAACAGCCTCAGACAACACGCTCCATCCACACACTTAAATTAAGCTACAAAATCTAAGGGTATATATCTATCGAGGTTAGAGTAAATATATTTACGGTTACCAATACATTTTTGGATAAAAAATTCAATTATAGAACCTATTATAATATATACATAGATTGCTACATATCAACCAACTCTATATATTGCAAACATTTATAGTCAATTAAAATAAAAAGTTTCCCGTCAAAGATAGAAACTTATTTTTTTATAATTTACATCATATATATATGACAATTTATTTAATTTCTATAAATGTTTATATTAATATATAATATTTGCCAAACATTTAATGAAATTCGGAGCTTGTTATTGGAGGGGAGTAGGTATAAGTTTTAGAGGAAAGTTTTATTCTAGTTAATTATATGTCAAGTTTAAGCTAAGCGTAGCATATTAATTTAAAATTATTTCTTAATTTTATATGTAGCCATTTTATCTATAATATATGCCATCGACTATGTGATAAACTAGGTAGTTTGTGTAATATCTTACGAAATGGTTTAACTAGAATGGGATAATTAAGAAAAATTATATTTTTCCAAAGTTAAAAACGCGCTAAATAAATGCTTGAATGTTTGTTGATCAAAATTTGAAAATCTGATCATGCCGAAAATGTATTCTAGAAAACACCGTAAATTTATTTTCAGACAATTTAGAATAAAATTTTATTCATTCTTCATTTAAATATTGGCAATATTTTATTAGAATTATAATAAGACAAAACAAACAGCCTAGTAACATATTGTTTCTGGTAATGTGTTATTTTTTTTAAACTTTAAACAATTTTTGGGCGAATTTTTAAATTTAAAATCTGATTTTATAATACCCATCTATCAATTTCAAACAATTTCGCTACTATCTTTTGTAATTTATATTAGTTTTTCCATAGTAATTATAATTGACTTAAAGGTTATCGGCAAAATTATCTACAATTCAAGTGATAATTATTCTAAAGATGCAGGGATACATTTCCGATAAAATCTGTTTCAAATTTAAAAAATCGCGCCTAAAAATTGATTTAAAGTTGAAATAATAACACACTGCCGGGAAAAATATATTGCCGCTTACATAATACATACTTTAAAATTTTTATAAAAAATTATATTTAAAATCTTATTAAACTCAGAGTTTTTCTAATATCTAATAGAAGGGGCATAATTTTAGATCTACAAATTATATTTAGTAAAATTTATTTTATTTCAATATATATTTTTTTTAAATATAACGTTGTGATATTAATTTTAGATATTTTTGATATCATAGGACAATCGATTATAATATTTTTAAAAATTAATTAAGAAATCATTTTTTAATATTTTATTACAAAAATATAATATACATATTTAATTGTACACTTAAAAAAAATTAAGATAAAAGGGAAGGGGAAAAAAATTAGTTTCCTTACTTGATTTTAACTTAAATTAGAATATTATAATTTCAAGTAATATATTAATGTTTATCGAAATTGAACTTTTTACTCATCGTATTTATTTATTACATTAAAACGTCAGTAAGAGTAAAATCAACCTACGCTTATATTTATAAAATCTTTAAAAAATTGAATTCCACTATTTTTAAAAAATTGAAGATAATATATAGTATATTATGTTTAAAATTAAATTATATCTAAAAAAATTGAAAATTTGCGGAAAAAGGAGCCCCCCCCGCCCCCTTCCCTTCTCTATTTCAATGACGTAATGTATAATACTATTAATGATTATAATAATAAAAAGCAAAAAAAAAAAATTAAACTGGAGTTATTATATAAACTCATTTTTAGATAATGAAAAAAATTTCAAATTTTATTTCATTTTTCCTCTTGGGAATTTAGATCCTTGTCAATACAAAACAAATAATATTTTGTGATAAGATATCTAATAAGTTATAATAACTTTTGTTTTCAATTATAAAACTTATCGATAAATTTGTAAACTAAAAAGGCTAAATATCACGAGGCATTCGAAAGAAAGACTATCTTCGAATAAATATGAAACTTCTATAATAAAAAACCTAGAAAAAAATTCTTGATAAAAAAAATCCTTTCCGATAATCGCATCACGTATATAATCATTATTCGATTTGTTAATAAGAATATATCAATTAATTTAATATTCAAAACAATTTTTTTTCCCAAAAATAAACTCCATAGGTTTATGTCTTCGGAGGGTGTAACAGACACTTCCAAGCATGGGAGGGAGGTAGATACACATATAAAGACCTAACACAATTGGTGTGGGAAGAGTCCGTAAGAATCTTTGTTTTTTGAGGGAAGCCGCAGCCCCGAGTTTATGGTGAGCTTCTTACAACTTATTTTATGTATAAAAATGGGTATAAATAAATTTTAGATTTAAAAAAAATTAACTCCTGCCCAAATATTTGTGTTTCCTCATAATCATAAACTTAGGGGAATCCTGAATTAATTAACGCTTGTTTGCAGGAACTCTTCTTGATTTTAATAATAAAATTAAGTGAATGGTGTGGTTTCAATTTACGTTATCATTACTGACGTATTTTAAGTATATGTCGAATTATAATCTAAATTCCTAAAATTCTAGTTAAACAGTAATAACTTAGCTTTAGATTAAAATATTTTTCAAAAATAATGAAACATTTACCTCTTAATAAATGTGATCAGATATTTATACACTCAATAAGCTTATGTCAATACCCCTCCCTTTCCAATTTTGTTCAAATGATTATAGCGTCTTGATATCTCCTTACCCCCCCCCTCCCCCATAATTAATTAGCCATTTTACTTCATGCCTCTCTTCCCCACGGTAAAAGTTAATGTAATTAGATTAGATCTAATTATAGTTAAAGTTATTGCTATCATCTACTCATATCGTCACCAGCGATAAAATCTTTATATAATTTTAAAAAAGAATGATTTAGAAGATCTTTGAACTATATACATCCCTCTATTTGTTAAATGATGAACTGATAAATTTAAAAAGTATAAATTTGTAATGAATTAATAATTTATGTGATAAAAATACTAAAAAATAAGAGTTCAATAAATTCGTTTATCAAGTAATTATATTTTATATAATCTATCTGTAAATTTAACTGTAATATCAAGTCTTAACATTTTGAGTTTTTAGATATAAATTCTAAATGTAACTTAATTACTTTTATTTAATATATGTTTGAAATTTTTGAGTGTTTAAAATGAAATTTATTCTAGAGAAATGTTTATTTAGCCCTCATACCTTCTAAATTAAAGATCAATAGTTAAAATGATTAATCTTTTAAATTCCTGAAGGTGGATAATATTCCTTATCGCAAATTTTAGGGATCACACATAATAAACTCCTAGTAAATTTATTACATGGCCAACACCAGACTCTTATAATCTATATAAATAGACGAATTCAAGCCAAAGAAATATATTTAAATAAATATCAGTTAATACAAAAATATGGTAACTATATCAAAAAGTTTCCATATCTACATGCATTTTTAGGAATATCTGTATCTATATCTAGATACATTTTGATATGATTTTATTTTGTTTTTTTTAAATATTAAAATAATAATATTTGAATTAACATCATTTAATAATATGTCCTTGTTTATTTCATTATAAATATTGTTAAAAAGCGATTTTAGCGAAAATAATATTATATAACTCTGAAGATTTTGCTCATAGATGGTAGAAAGGTTTGGACCTTTAATTGCCAAATCTCGAGGTTTATGTAATATTATTTTACCTAAAATCTTAATCGGGCCGTTTTTAAAAATTGAATGACAAATTCATGGTAAATTTTACATTATATTAACTTAAAAAATATTTATCATCATTTATAGATAAATATTTCTAGACAATCTCTTAAAAGAAATAAAATATTGGTATTAGATTTTTTGGGCACCTTTTTGTTGATATAAATAAAAACTTTGCTTTATTATTAAAATCTAACAATTATTTATATACTTTGTATATAAATTATTAAAATATAGCAATCCTTATTTTAATTATATTTTTGTATATAGATGTGATATCAGCTCAAATATTATTTAACTACAAAATTTGAATTTTAACAATAGAATCATAAATTAAGCAGTATGCACACCTTAAATTAAGTATAATAAAAATTATCTGTATATAGATGTTTTTGGATGACATTACTATCTAGATCCATTTTTAGACGACATATCTGTATTTGTACCTACATCCTTTTGAAAGTTCTTTTAAACAACTCTGATAAATAAGAATCAAATTTCGCATAATATTAAAGGCCTATAACATTGGTTCAATATGAGAAGCAAACAATACGGGATATTTTCATCACGTTTTAACCGTGATACTATCTATTTATAATTTGATTATTATTTATTTTCAAAGTTGTTTTTTCTAGGTTTTATGAAAGTAGATACATCCAATATAGGTATCGATGGATAGTTAAACAAAAAATAAATTCAATCGGAGGCCAGCATCTCCATCTAAAGCTCTAAGCTTTGGAGGGTCAGAAATATTTTATCAACACAAAATATCGATATGGGTAATCAAATAAAAGCTAATTGAAATATTTTTTGACTGAAGTCATATTCATTCTTGGTATCAATGGATAGTACTTTGTTTTAATGGGTATGACTTAGTCTAGGAAGAGGAAGGTGTTGGGGGGGAGGGGTTATAAATAAATTCGATATGGATATCAAATAAAAGGCAATTAAAATATCTTTTAATAATAATTGCAACTTTAAGTGGGCGGATATAGGTCTTGAGGATGTCAAATCAAAAACGTTATAACATAAATATTCAATGTGTATCAAATATAATGTAACTATAACATCTTTTGACTATTGTGTTAACTATTTGGGATGGTCTAAATTGGGGAGGGGCAGAAATTTTTATAACATAAAAATTTGGGTAATAAATGAAAGCTAATTAAAGGATCAATTAAGTGCAATGAATATTCCCATTTAGTTTTATTGGTGGGATTTGATCTGGGTAGGGAGTCAAATATTAAAATTCGATAGGGTTATCAAATAAAAGGTAATTAAAATATCTTTTTACGTTGCCTATAAAAGGTTATTAAAACATCATTTTAATATAATGTTAAATATAACTTTGGGAAGTACTTATCTGTTGCCTATAAAACACAATATAAGCTTGGCTAATAATATAATATTTAAGATATAATATTAATTTATCTAATACCCCTATAAATATAGATAATTTCTTTAAACTCTTTAATTTAATCGTAATGATAATTGCAATTAATTGTCTAGTCTTGCAGTTCCATTAGAATTTTATTATTCAATAAATTAACTTTATTTGGTTATTATTAATTAAGAAAATTTCATTAATTTTTTTTTTGACATGAATAGTTGAAAGGGAAATTTAGTCTAGATGATGACATATTAATTATTATAAAATATGATCAAACATGCATACCATCAAAATAATTACACAAAATATTTTAAAACTATAAATTTTGAGATATTTATATTACGCGAATAATAATAGGGTGATAATGATAAAGACGCAAATGATGATAATAATAATAAGGTGATAAAGTGGGTATAGTGCAGACTTTCAATCGCGATGGGTGACCATAACAAAATTTATTTCGAACCCTATTTGATCAATTTTTTATATATTAAATTATACATAAGAAGAAAAAAAAGGAATTCCATTTTATTTATTTTTGATATTTCTCTTTAAAATTTATTAAAATATATTAAAATTTTACGATCCCTCATTTTAATAAATTTTTCCAAAAAAAAATTTATACAAAAAAAGGTTGATATCTCCCTTAAGTATTTCAAAGGGATGCTCAATTTATCATTATTATTTTTTTAAAATTCTGCTATGAAATAGACGGATTCAAAGATATATTAAAAATTGACATTTTTCTAAGAAAATAAGGTGATACAAATACTCGACGCTTATTGAAATAAAATCGAAATGATAACTTTAAAAAAAAAATCTATATCTGTCATAAATTGTGCAATTTTTGTATGGTAGTAGGGCAATTTTTTGGGTTAGCAAGTTCCATCAGTTTTCTTCCCTCGACTTTGTAATCAAACGTGCAATCGTGACTTTCTGGGTGTCTATGAAGTACACAAAATTCGTTTCCACATCTATATGTGTATATTTACATTGAATACTGTTTAAATGATATGACAAATATATTAAAAGGGCAAGATGCAAGTTGGTTATAATTACCAAGTGAGGGGGGGCATTAAATTTCTGTATTTTTTATAAACTCAGGGCATTTAATCCTCATATTTTATTTTATGTGAGGTCGTAAAACCATGCTAAAATATTTATTTATAATAAATGATGCAAAAATAATGGGCAAAATATTCAGTTAACCCAAAAAAGAAGCAAAATTTTTGTAATATTTTTTTAAAAAATTTATTTTGACATTTAGTCTGCCAAATTTGTTTGAGATTTTTTAAAATCAATTTTACAGAAACTTCATATTTATTTTACAACGACATTCAAGGATATGCTTCATTACTCAGACTTTTAGTTAATTTTTTTAAAAAAAAATTTATGGCAGGCGTTTTTACTATTTTGAAATCTCTGATTTTGTTAGAATTATATTCCACCAGTATCTGAATACGCATATTTCCCAACCTTGATCAATTTTACAATGGAATTTAATCGATTTTTATTAAAATTGTTCAAAATTCCAAGTAAGAATTGCCTGAAATTTTTTGGGTAACATACTGAAATACGATTTCAGCAAAATCAGGTTCGCCAAAATTTAATATAAAAATTTGCTAAAACCCAGGGGTCTTTACAGCAAAGCCCTGAATTCATTAAAAGGACTATTAAATAATATTTTTAAATAAGAACTTTCGTTAAAACCTGCAATTAAAAGAAGAAATTATCCCTGTTTTTTTGCGACAAGTGAAACACCGGTTGTTGTTTACCGAATTATTAGATACATTTTCAAACTTGACAATACTATTTTCGATCGTTTTATCATTTCTTTCTCTTATATAGCGATTTCTAATGCATGCCGAATTATTTATATTGTCTAGTATGGTGGTCGATTCTTCAAAACTGTCATTCGCGCTGATAGCTTCATCGTGCAGTAAATTTAAATGACTATTCTGATTTTGGAATGTCTGATGGAGTGGCATATCGTTCTGGGGTTTGGCGAGTGACGACATTCTAGAATAATTGTTAGAGTTGAAATTGGATCGGTGCAATGGTCTAGATTTCTATCGCATTTAAATTAAAGGAAGAAAAATAATAATTTAATATTATTTTTTTTTGAGGAGAAAAACTTAATAAAATATTTTGAGTTATTAATTTTAAATCATACAAGTTATTTGTCATAATTTATTCAATAAAAATATTTTTTTATTTGACATTATGATAAAATGAAGTAAATTCTATAGAATGCAAGGACAATTAAGGATATATAATATAGATAATAAATAAGTTTAAAAAAATCCACTAAACAGACAATTTTAATATTTAATCGTGATAGTGTCTGTCGAGAAGGATGAAAGATTTGTAAAGAATCAAAAAAAAAGATTGATCAGAGCCTATAAAAATAAATGAAACCTCAGCAGATTTTTTCAATATAAATATATTCTTTCAACCTTGTCATATCCTTTGTTGTAAGTTTGATGAGTAAATGTTGAGTCTATTATATAAAATATATATTATATTATTATTTTTTAATTTTTTTTTAGAATAAATATTGTCATTGTCAATATTTTTTTTTTATAAAAAAAAGAAGAAACAATTTTAAAAAATTTATTTAACTAAAAGAAAAAAATGTATGTCAAAAATTATTTTTCAAACGATTTCTCGGTGAACGTCTTTGTTGTGTACGCGCACCAGGCCCCGTTTCTTCTTCCTCGCTGGCACTCCCTCGCGGGGAAGCAGATGATTCACATTCGTCGCTTGTGATATCACGTGATGTAACGTCATTATGTGATGGATCGGATGGAGCAGTTACTTCGTTCGATAATGGACCGGGTAATTGTGACGATGTTATGACGTTATTCGAGTTATTATCTAAATATCATATCAAATTTAACATTATATTAGTATGTAGCAGTGGAGGGGATGAGAAATTATCGATACTTATGTAATGTATGATGCTCTTTAAGAAGGAAGCTAAGAAAGTAAAGGTTACGGTTTAAGTTACATTATTGAAATGGATGTAAAAGTTAGTTATCAATTAATGGATTTTTTTGTTAAAAGTAGGGTTGTGCCGATCCACATATTTCCCACCGATCCGATATTGGTACAAGCCCGATCCAATACCAATATTTATATTGATTTCTCCCCCCCCCCTCCCCTTGAACCAAATGAAATTAAGAAATCAATATTTTTTATGCAAAAAATCGAATTATGCATTTTTTATTTCTACAATAATTAAAATTGGTTTACGGATATTGGTAATATTAAATGAATTTTTCATTATTCCTCCCCGTGAAATTAGAATTTCACATATAAATTTTGCAAAATTATCTTTGTCTTTTGTAAAATATTTCCATAATTCAAATATCATATTAAAAAAAAATTCTTTTAGGTAAATTATAAATAAAAAATTGGCGTTATTACTTAAGAAGATTTAAAATAAATAAAACTTTGGGTGTTACTTTCTTTTTATGAAAAAAACTTTTAAAATACTATAAATATAAATAAATAAAATTTATTGGGTGTTGTGCATTTGCATTGTTAAAAAAAATAAATTAGAAAATATTATTAATGTAAAATAAATATACATAAAATATCAAAAAAAAAGAAAAGTAAAAAGATCGTATCAGATCATTTTTTTAGAAGTATCGGCCCGATCCGATATTTAATAACGGCACAGCCCTAGTTAAGATAGAAATAGTGTAAAAAGGGCATCGACTAACATGGCCACTCATAATTAAACTTTGTAGTTGATTTTTAAAATGCCTAATTTTGGATCAAAAATCGTATAAATTACATTGGTTTATTCTTTGATTTAATTAAATTTAGATAATTATAAACGGCAGTAATTTTTTTTTCCCTTACCAATTGTATTAGGTGTTAGAATATCTTGACCGATCATAATACGATCCACTAAATGTTTGGCAAAGGTCGTTGCGACATCATTATCGATTGGTGAACTACGAGATTTATCCAATCTAAATAGAAATTATTTTATTTTTAAAAATACAATGGTTTAAATTATTACTAGCGGTAAGTTTTATTTCATAGCTGAAAAGATAATGTGCAATTTATAAAATTATTTTAATGCAAAAATAATAATATATAGGTTTTAGTAATTATAGATTTAAAAAACGTATGGTTTTGTTATTACAGGTTCGATCAATACAAATTTTTTATATATATTTTTGTATATAAAGATCGACTTCCAAATAAATTTGAGGAGAAAAAGTATTGGCATTTTAATAACTAATAACTTCAATCACCCTCTTGAGATGATGAGTGTGAGTTTCTTTAACCTCGCGATTTAAATATGTTAAGACAGGCGGTTTTATTAAGGTTTGGGTCTTAAAATGTTCTGAGATAGAAAGGTTGATATTATAATAAGCGTCATGATGTTAGTATTGTATCATAAATCTAGATGTTTGGAAGAGCGAGTTAATAAGATCTTATAATTGCACCTCTAACCTTGCATTCAGTGCAAATTCGAGGCGAAGTAATGTAAAGATATATTCATATCATATTTTGTTTACTTCACCGCTAATTTCGAAAGAGAATTCGAGCGATATCGCGGAAAGAACAATGTAAGGACATTTGACTTGAAGAATTAAAAATACCCATTTATGAAACTCATACCAAAAAAAAGTCTTAATGGAAAGAGTTAAAAAGATAGGGTTAACATGATTTAAATCAAATTTATTAATATTTTGAATTTAAAAAAATGATTTAAATCAATTATCTTTTTTGACCAATACTTACTTAGCATATAAGTTTTTGTAATGTTAATCCTAAATTTTTCCTGCGAAAATCATTATAATATTGTTAAAATTTTAAGGAGATTTCAAAAAATTTCCATAATTATTTATGCCCTGTTTGATAAATATAAATATTGGTTCAATATTTTGTTGATATTAGAAAAATTAAAATGTTTTTCTTGCGTTTTATTTCAAATAATGCATTTTAACAGAAATCGCGCAAATCGATAAAGGTTAACATTAGATTTCATTTCTTTAATTATAAATTATTTTATGATGAAAGTCCTAATTATTGTTAATACCATGGATTACGCATAAATTTCACAGGAAAATTGATGTATAATATAATAAAATTAATGCGTTTTAGATAAATAACTTTGCGTCTAGAATATAGTTTCAAAAATTATTTCTTATTTTATTAAATATATGATTTAAATCAAAAATATTGTGATTTAATCAAAAAATAATCAGTTTTTATTTTTAATAAAGAGATGCTATTTTTCCCAACCCTATAGAATGCGAAATATTTCGAGGAAGGAAATAGGTAATAGAAGGTGGCTTTTACGAGTAGGGAATATTAAATTTCTACTAGTGAGAAGCGTATAAAAAAGTAAGTAAAAATTTGTGGTTGGTCATATAAAGTGATAGAATTAAGGCGAAATGGAGATAAGAAAACATAGCCAAAATGAGATCTTTTGGCAGAAATGAATAGGGATTTGAAATGAGTTTTGTTTGGATCTATGTTTAATTGTGGTTTCAATTATTGAAAAAAATTTTTCCCGAATACCTATCAAGTTTGGGCCTTGGGTTAGCATTGTTACCTATGTAAAATGGTATTAATTTAAAAAAAATATTATCAACATTGAAATTTTTGTATAGTCAATTGAATTAAATAACTTTAACACTGTCTAGAAATTAATTTTTAATTTAATTTTAAAAAAAAGTATATGATATTCTAAAACCATTTATAACCATAAAACAACGTCACCTGCCAAAAAATATTATAACATTTATAATATTTTATTTTATTTGAGTTTTTTTAAATTTTATTCCTTTCAGAGTTTGTTTTCGTTTTGTTTGGTAAGAACTTTGAAAATCAAGGTTATATAGGATTTAAAATTATATAAGGCGAAATTAGATATTGAAAGAATTACCCTAATCAAATAAATATAATATTAGACGTAAAAAAAATACTAATCCCAATAATAGAGCAGAAAATAAAATTACATTTAAAGGCCGCCAAATTAATAAAATTCGTATATTTCCCAAATCATCGGAGATTTTTTTTAAGGTTTACATATGTGTAATAGCAAAGAGCAGTTTGCTAATTAATAAATAAAATTAGCTATTTCGGTTTAGTTTGTAATAGGCCCAATTCTGAATTGTTTCCATTAAGCTTAATATATGACCGTTTAAAACAAAATTCGGAGTCCTGTTTCTCGTAAATATCATTTTAAGCTAATAAAACCCTATACAGACGACCCACTCGGTCCTCTTCTCCCAAAATGTGTACAATATTATATACCACTATAAACAATAATTTGAAAAATAACGAATTGAATTCAAAATTTTTTAGAAAAAAAAAGAAGTTAAAAACCAAAAATATTTTCATAACGATGTAAAATAGCTAAATGCTTAAAATAAGTTGACCTAAAGACCTTTTAAAATTTTTGGGGAAAACCCCAGTCTATCTAATTTCGAACATCCCCCCCCCCCCTTACGAAAATACTGGATAAGGCCTACTAAGATGCATATGAAGATTTCTGAATTCACTAGCCAGCACAATGCTCAAGACAGTAATTGCCATAATAACCATTTTTTTAAAATAATAAAATAATTAAAGTTAAACCCTTGGATAAGTGAAATAATTACTTAATATAATGGCACGATGATAGTATGAAATTCTAATAATGAATAAGTTATCATCATTTTATAAAAGAGATATTCAAAATACATTTATAGTTCTGGCTGATTCTTTAATAAATATATATTTATAATATTTAGGATGGAGGAATACTAAATAAATTTAAATTAAAAAAATAATTAATTATCTAAAATAGTGCGAGGAAAGAAAAAGTAATGTTTTTTTAAACAATAATTAATATCGATTTTTCGATAAAAAGATAGTTTTTTAGAATATTATATTTTTTTAAATCCCCTTTGACAAATAGTAATTTTTTTTCTCTAAGAAAAATAAATCTCGAATTCTGTGAAAGCATTACTTTCTCGGAAAATAGAAATTAATTAATTTGTATATTTCACGTAATATTTATTACGCATATAATAGAGGTAATATAATTTTTATATTTAAACTTGTATTTTATTATATACTATATTAAAATATGAAGCATTAAACAAACAACATTCTTTTCTAAATAATATATAAATTGCATAAAAATAAGAGTGGAAAAAGACAAAGAGAAAAAGCAAATTAGTCGGGATAACTATTTATTTGAAAAAAAAGAAGAAGAAAAAACATATTTTTAGTCAAGATTCGGGAATAGAATATATGTGACAAAATAAATTTTATGATATGAAGTTACAATCTCTGGCCGGAAGTAAAAAAGACTTCTTTGAGGCATTCAGTTCTATAGATTATTATTTTGCCGATTTTGAATGAAGCCAAGTTTGCTTGCGTCCCGAACATGGCTATCAAGATCGGAAAAAAAATTTTCCTTAAAGAATATAATAAAATTTGTCGAATTCTTGGTAGCCTGAATGTAAAGTCCCTATTATTGAAAAGAGCTGGAGGGTCGATTCCGGTGAACCACTCTAAGAATTTGCCATCCTGCCTGTCTGTATAATGCAAGGATTTTTATGGTCGGGCTGCGAAGGATGTACAGAAGGTATGTCTTCCAGACACGACCGAATCGGACATCTCGTGACCGTTATATGGCAAGGTCAAAACTAAATCATGATTTTGAGTTAATTAACCCTATAAAAAGATTTGTTAATTCGGGCCATTTGTTCAACGCCGCGGAGAGGGAATGATTTTTGGATTGGAATATAAGAGAAATCAACGGGAATGCAGTCACGGCGCACGCTCCTGTCCCCCTGTTTAGTGGAGGTTGGAAGAAATATTTAGCTCACCAGTGTGTGCTATAAGTTCACAAACAGAAATTGAGGTCGAGTTCCTATTGGTAGTGTTTATGATATGTGTCAAATATAAGAACCGATTAGTAAATGTGGGTGAGAAATACATTAGACATCAGCTATTTCTAATTTAAAATTCCAAATTTATTTGATGAATGTGAATATAGGCGGGTATTGAAGTTACCTTTAATGTATTTGGTTTGTTTTAATTCTCATGTGCATGGATGTCAAGTATAACTTGGCTGATGAAGATAATTTTCGTTCAGTTAAATGGGTGCAATTTGAAGATTGCAACCAGGGGGGGGGGGGATAAGTACATCATATTTTTGCATTGCGACCGAGGGAGGGGGATAAGATCAATATATTTTGCGATGAATTCAAAGCAAAAATATATCACTTAGCAAATTAGATACATAAAATATTTTTAGTTTTATCCAAGAAATAAAGCTAAAAATTCACTATATACATTAAATATAAGAATTTGTTATCAATCATCTTCATATTGTCATTCGTGGCTCTAGACAAACTAGTGGCTTCTAATTTATAAATTTAGTTTGAATTTTTTTTATTCAAAATAACCCCTGCTATAATGGGTAATACGTACCCCGCCAAAACCTGACCCAGATCTTCATAATTAATTAAAATTTAATTTGAAGATATTAAATTATCATAAATATTGTCAATATTCTTATTCATGATAAAATTGAGTTTATTTTATCGTTGAATTGATATTCAGTCTGAGTATTTATTAAAAAGATTATAAATAAAAAATGTAAAAAATTAAAAAGTTACTTTTCACGTGTTAAAATTCAAATTTGAATTTTAAATTTCTTATGAGCAATTTTGTGTGAAGCATTTATAGACCTACTTAAGCACCTTATTAAAATACACATTTGGCTTAAATTTCAAATCTTTATTATTTTTTAAATTATTTGAGAAGAAATTACCTGCCCCTAAACACCATCCCCTGCCTCCTCTACTATTGGATTTATTTATCAGTTATTGTTCACTGAGTGGTATTGGTTTCAAAAATAAATATAATATCTGATTTTATTTTGCATTGTATTGGTATTGAAAACCAATAAAATATTGGTAATGTTGCCAACCCTAACCTTACCTCATTATTTATAAGTAGACACTGGGTTAATGGATTATATTTGTATGCGTTTAGGTTTAAGTATTTTGGGGTCATTTTAGGATATATATAGTGGATAAGTCAATTCTAACAATTAATTCTGATATTTATAGCAGATAATTTTATGAAGGTTTCAAAATCCGTTTCAGGCCACTAGGTCATACCAGACCGTTCTAGCGTTAAGAAAAATCGCCGTGGGTAGCCATTATTTAAAAAAAATATGGAAATTGTTCAGTATTAATACATACTAGCAGCAGAAGAAAAATTTTTTAATATGCAAACGTCCCAAACCAAATTTTTTAAAACAATATTTTTGAAAAGCTGGATTTTTGGCTTGCCACATGCACTCAAACGCTCTTATAATGACTTAGTCCTAGATAATCATCTTACATAACAATTAAATTTTATACTGCTATACAAAGTGTAGATATAAGTTAATGTTTGTTAATATAACAAAAGGGTTTGAACCAATCAGCATCTTATTTTATTTGGATAGACTGCTACATTTGGTTATAATATATATTTAAAAAATCGTAATTTTTGAAAAATGGATATTGCCTAGTCAAAGCGTCTTGCCAATCCAACACTTCTGAGTTCGAATCCAGCAAAGATCGTGTTTTTTCTGAAGCCAACTTGGTGATTCTATCCTTTAGGGGGGTGTTATATAGTAGATGGGACTCGAACAGGTGATTCCGTTAAAATATATTTAAAAATAAGTTGGTCTTAGCGCATTTTATTCAATTTTTGTCGTTGTTTAGTATATTATCTTGTTATTTAGAAAATTGCAATATATTAACTTGGCAGTATTTAACATCAACCATAAATAAAATCTATTCATGTAATCCTGAATTCATAGTTAACGCGAAAAGAATATAAAAATACAGCATATTTTGTAAATTTCGCCGCGAATTCACGCTATGATAGAATAATATTAAGGGTGAATTTATAGTAAACGCGTTATGTTCAAAAGTGCGTTATTTACAAATTCAAGCCAATAAATAGCCATAATTTATAAATATGGAGCGTTATGAACGCTATGATAAAATTTGAAAAACATATTGCGATGAGATTATAAAAAATATGCGAGTCTATAAAAGTAATAGCGTATTCGATACATAGGTAGGCATATGATATTTCTGAATTTTTTTTTAAAAGATACTACCGTTATGAAGAATCATCTGTGATTTCGATAGCGTTAAATAACGAAATGCATGAATATAACGCTTTTACTATAATTTCAACGTAGTAATGCCCGATCCAGACATCCTTTTATTATTTCATTCCCTTTTAAAGGGTCATTGAATTTGTTTGTTTTTTCTCAAATAATAATAAAAATTTATATATATTATTTTTTTAAAAAAGTATAATATTTCAATTCACCTATTCAATTACTTTGTTTAAAATTCCAAAGTATACAATTTAAAAACTTTACCATTTATAAACTATTTCTTTCCCCGATTTTAAAGAGCGTTTCGAATTTCTGATTTTCCTTTGATAAATGTTAAATTATATGTTTCGCGTCAAGCTGTTTTTTCCGTCAATGTGCTACCTTTTTAACTTTAAATCAATTTTTTGAGCGCGTTTTTTTAAACTTAAAAATCTAACTATATAGGTATTCCAGCATGTTTGGAATACCTTCCAATAAATTTTAGGCAATTTTGCCGTTAAATATTGAGTCATTTATCATTTCAAAAAAAAATCTATGGAAAAAACGAATAATAATCATATTAAGTTCAAAAGTATATGGCAAAATTTCCTAAGAAATAGCTGTAGCTTTAATAAGCATGCTGAAACACATTTCTGGTAAAACCAGATTATTAAATTTAAAACGCGCTAAAAAATGATTCAAAGTTGAAAAAGCACATTGACGCTAACCTAACGTATACTATAAAAAAAAAGTATTTATAAAAAAATATATATAATATTGATTAATATATAATTTAATTTCAATTATCGGAAATTAATTTTTTTTAAATTGAAATTAAATTATTTTATATTTTAGCGGGCCTGAGTTTTTTAATTTTTTTTTTAATGGGCTTGGGTCCAAAATTATTAAATTTTGCTTATTTAAAACAGTTACTAACATAAATAAATATTGCCATATTTTTCTTTTATTAATAATAAATTTTAATATTGTAAACAAAATGATTGCCTAAATAGACTTAAATATTGTTTATTTTTTATATTAAATACAATAAATTAAATTTTTAAATATGGGTTTGGGCCGGGCTTGAAAATTTTTTTGAAACATACTATGGGTTTGAGAATTTATTTTAAAATTAGAAAAAATTAATTAATATGGACCTGGACAGGGCTTGGTTAAAAAATTAAAGCTCACTAAGATCTCTGCTCCCCGCCCCCTTCTTTCAATTGCGGACAGCTTGTTTTGTCAAAGCGCTCGATTTGGGCCGATTTTTAAAAACACCTAACTCAATATTCTAGCCAGAAAAATGTTCTATTATGAGCAAAATCTTCAGGCTTGCGTAATATATTTCTGGGTAAAATATTGAGTGCCGTTTTTAAAAATCAGCTTAACTCGGTCGTTAACACTATGGACAGCCCAGTTTTTATAATATTTAAAAACAAGATTTTGCCATATGACTTTCAAATTTATTCATTCGCAAAATGGATTTAGGGTTTTTACGGTGTAAAAAAAATCAATTGCGAATCTCAATGAACTATCAAGATTAAAAATTTATTATTTATTTAAATATATATGTTTTAAGTTTAACTGGTCAACATGACAAGTCTTTCAATACATCAACACCAAAAGAATTTACTTATTTAACATAGACATTTAAAATTAAAATCAGCCTTTCTCCTAACCCATAAAGTAATTAAATATATGCGCAATTCTCGGGCATAAGCTTTTGCTTTGCCTAACTCTTTTCATCTTAGCCTCAAATGACAGATTTGGGTTGTTGTGCGCAAAATTACGTGCGGCTTGCCCAAAAACATGTAAAGGGTTCCTCGTATAAATTTTTCCCCAATCTAACTTATTTCAGTTAGATGGAAATGAAGAATACCCAAAGTAGATCTGTTGGATCTTCAACAGAGGGCGATGCGCTTAATCACTTAAAAAAAACAAGAGATATTGGGCGTTTTGTGTCAAGGCAATCTTTTAAATTTTTTTTAAAAAAAACAAATTACAAATTTTTATGCTTAATTTTATTGAATTAAATATATTATATTTTTGAATATTATTCATAATATTTATTTTGGAAATATATTTCTCTTTATTAGGCTTTATGTGACTCATCAAATAAAATGTATTTATTTATTTTTTATGTTTACCTTAACATTGTACAGGTAAAATAAATTGTTATACAATCCGATCTGCCAATTATTTTAAATTTTTATAATAAATACGCATTAAAAAATAAAAAAGTGGTAAAATTTTTTTTATTTTTTATTCTATCATTTAAGGTTAATAGCTCAAACTAGCCCCTAGATTTCCTTTTTATATTCGCGCATTCTTCTTTCTCATTTTTTTTTCCTTTTGGCGATAGCGTATGGAACCATATTCTTTATAGATTCGTTCAGCGTTTTATGAAAACATTTTTTTTTTAAATTAAATTTTTTTATCACATAACGTTCAAGGCCAATTTTAAGCTTTATAAAAAAATGATATAATAAATACAATTATATTGATTATTTAGGTAATAACGTAAAAAGATGATAATAAAATAAGAACAATAAAAAAAAAATCGTAAAATACACGCAGTGTGATTGCTAAGAGAGGCTGCAGCGAATCAAATATTTTCTATGCAGAACGTTTAAGTTAAGAAACAGCGTAACGTCGCAACAACGCTCATGTTTACATGTGGACAATTATTATTAATAAAGAATGTAAATTTTTGCTCCTTGCTAATTTTACCTTAACTAATTATATTTTAGTAATAATATAAAAATTTTATAACGGATCGCTCATATGACAATACTATACCTGAGACTGAGAGAAAGCTTAATTCTTTATTATTTCTTCTACAATCAAATAACGCTAAAAAAAATAATAAAATTTGGATATGCAAAATGACAATAAATTGTAATGATAAATAACAGGAATCAACCCGGTATTCCCCCCCCCCCAAACATATTTCGAGGGTGTTCTGTTTGTTCAATATGTTAGGTTATAAGGATTTAGGCAGGCACATATAGTCGGGTTAGTTAAGGGTTAAAGATTAGTTTAAAAAAAAATAAAAAGATTTATTAAAGGGAGAAGGAAAATAAAATTAAAAACTACTTTGTATTTCACAATGTTATATTTGTCATTTAACTAACCAATCATTTAAAAAAAAATTTAAATCATTTAATTCCTCTTATATCATGAAATAGTTTATAATATATAAATTAAACTTGTTAAGTGAAGAAAAAAATACAATATTTAAAAATACTTTCAAATATAGGTTAAAAAATCAATTAAATTGGATATAAATTATTACTGATTTAAAAACGAATTTTTAAAAAATAAAGAAAATTATATTTATCCTTCATTGTATTGCAATGTGGCACCATCATAACGTTTTATTAATGACATCCACAAATCCCGGTCCCATGCAATTTTAAATAATTACAACATTCACCCCATTAATAATATTCAGGGATCCTGTGTTTTAGATATTTGACCTTATTATCCTCTTAAAGTTAAATCAATAAAAAGATTTTTCCGTAACAACAAAATAATTCTTATGAAAATAATTTGATTTTCTAAAAAGGCTTTCCTAAAATGTGATCTTTGAATTTTAAGAAAAGGTACCCAAATTTTCCAAAAAGGTCTTTCAAATGGGTTGGGAGAGGGGGGCTTAGACAGATGTGAATATAAAATGTGAATATAAATGGAATCATTTTTTAAATATTACTTTGCGATCCTTAATGGATTAGTATTCTCTTCTTCTTTGCATGATGATGAGCTGTTAGTATTATACTCATCCCATTCATCTTGATCTGTTGTGGTGCTATCAAACCTTTGAATCCAGGAGGAATAGTCTTTGAGCTGGGATTCAGTGATGCAGTCTGGGCTAAGTCTGAAAGATGATGATTGCTGACCAAGTGGGCTAGAGTTAGATTCCTTGGAATCTTTCGAGTTCTTAGAAGTGTAAATAAAATCGTCATTGATGAAATGAGAATAAGAAGGATTGGTGATAGTGTGAGATTTTTGAAAATTATTGGGAGAATTGTTGAAACCATTATTAACAGGCGAAGAAGAGGAAGGATTGGATACATTGTTGAAATATTTGTTAACCCATGGGTGTGAAAAATTATATTTTCGCTTGGGCTGGGGTAAAAATAAAATAAACATAAATTTTTTTTTGCATAAATATATTTAGTAAAATTTTTCACCGATCCGATCCAATCCAATATTACTAAAAATTCGATCTGATTCAGATATTTATTGATTTTTAATTTTTTTTAACTACTTATCTTTGAACCAATGTCATAAAAGGGTAATTCCATACCAAATCGATAACTTTTCGGCTCGACCTTTTTAATTTCGATAAAATTTTGTATACTGAGAGAATATCATTAGAAAGCATCGAATCCAAAATTTTAGCCTCCTAGTACTCATAGTTCCTGAGATATCAATGGTCAAAAGTGCCAAAAATGACGTTTTTTCGAAAAATGCGATTTTTTAAAATTGAGATAAGTTAAAAAATAATGATTTTAAAAATATAAGTTATGTGTCAATTTATAACTCTATTAAGGGCCTTTTATTGAATATTAAAAAATTTTTCAAAATAATATTGTTGCGGTTTTTATTTAAGTTATAAATTTTAAACATGAAAACTCCAAGTGTTTCGCTTTCCAAATTTTTTTGAATTTAATATTTTCTTATTCTCTAACCTTATATCTATTCATAAAAAAAATTTAAACTTGGGACAGCCATGGGTTTTTTAGTTATTGCGATTTAAAAAATCAAAAAATAAATATTATTTTCAAAAATAGATGGCGCTCCTTTATAAAATTACGCGTTTTGTTAAAATTATTATTTTTTTTAAACTTTTTTCCATTTTAAACATAAATAATAAGATTTTCCAGCATTAATATTATGAAAATATATTATTTAGATCATTTGATAGACTACTTATTATTATTACTTTATTGATAACTTGTAAAAATTAAGTTTTTAAAATAAATGATTAATTTCCTAAAAAGATAATTACAATTCCTATATAAGAAAATATAATTAATTTTTGAAAGATAATAGCAAGTTTTCATGCACCTGCCTTGATATTAATTAATTTTTATTTTACAAATATTTCAATATTAATTTTTTCTTAAAATTATTTATAATGTATAAATATAAATGTGCAAATCCTTTTAAAGAATCTAAACACTTTAATTGTAAAAAGAACCTGCGTAAAGTCACGACGTGGATGACACAATTTCCAAACATTGAGGCAGAACACTATATTTGTGATAAATGTCGTAAGCGTTTATCACAAAAAAATATTGAAAATATAAATTCTGATAGCGAATATGTAAATAATATCCCCACAGCATCCGCATCAATAGATACAATCAATTTAACCTTAAACGAAATTGGAATATCTCCTATTAAGAAAAAAAAACTAACTGAAAAAAATTATCCAAAAAAAAGATAGCAAAAATATCAAAAGCTCTTTCAGATATAATAATTAACAATCCAGAATCGGACACAAAAGACAATAATGATATTCTCAACAATATGAAATTACATTATCCTAATTTATCTAAAAATAAAAAATATCAATTGCTGACCATTCTGCCTCCTAATTGGAGTGCAAATAAAATAAAAACGGAATTTAACGCTACATATCATATGGCATATAATTCCAAAATCATTTTAGAAGAAAAGGGGATTCTTTCAACTCCAAATCGAAAGCCTGCAAAATTTCTCAATCAAAAAACAGTTGATATTGTTAAAAGTTTTTTTTGCAGTGATGAAGTTAGCAGGGTATTACGAGGAAAAAAAGATTGCATATCTATTATTGAAAAGGGGGAACGAGTGAACGCTCAAAAAAGGCTAGTTCTTAATAATTTAAAAGAATTATATAATCATTTTAAGGAGAGTAATTCAAGCATAATAATTGTATTTTCGAAATTCGCAAGCTTAAGACCAAAAAATTGCATATTGGCAGGGGCTAGCGGAACACATAGTGTATGCGTTTGTAGCATACACCAGAGTATTAAACTAATGATTTTAGGCTGTGAATTAGCAACATTGACTAAAAATGGTGAGGATATATTAACAACTTATAGAGATGTTATAGGCAGAATGATTTGCAACCCCCCATTACCAATCTGTTATTTTGGTGACTGTAGCGAGTGTCCTGGCTCGACACTCTTAAAAGAACGCATTGAAAAATTATTTATAAAAAATGATATAGCTCTTATTACGTTTAAACAATTGGTTTCGGTAGATAGAACTCTGGAGACTTTCTCAATCTTCAGACGAATTTATTAATTATTTTTTCAATAAAATAAATATTCTCATACGCCATTCATTTATTTGTGAACAACAAAGTTCATTTCACAATAACCTTAAAAATAGTTTAGAAAATAATCACTATCTAATTATTTGTGACTTTTCAGAAAATTATTCCTTTATTGTCCAAGATGAAGTAGGGTTATCATTGGACAACTTCGCAAGCTACGCTGCATCCATTCTCAATTTATTATAAAATAGGAAATCTAATTAACAACCTAAGTTTTGTGGTAATATCGGAATCCTTAATTCATAATACTGTTTCATTCCATTTATTCCAATCGCATTTGATTAATTTTTTAAAAAATATTTCGACACTCCACCAGAAAAAATTTACTACTTTTCTGATGGTTCAGCAGCTCAATATAAAAATAGGAAAATCTTCATCAATGTTTGTTACCATGAAATCGATTTTGGTGTCCAAGCAGAATGGCATTTTTTTTCTACGGCACATGGTAAAAGTGCCTGCAACCGCATAGGCGGCACAGTAAAAAGGTTAGTTGTCAAGGCAAGCTTACAAAGACCTTATACTGATCAAATAATTACACCTTTATAATTTTATAAATATGCGGAAGAGCATATAAAAGGTATAAATTTTTCTTATGCCACCATACCAGAGTATGAGGAAGAGATGAGGCTACTTGAGAGATTTAGTAAAGCTATCTCAATACCTGGGACACAAAAAATTCACGCAGTGTTTCCGATTGGTTAGAGATGAAATAAAAATTAATTTTCTTCATCCTAAAGGACCAGCAAATTCTTTTGTTTATCCAGCGGCACAAGATCTCCTTTACATACCAAAAAATAATATTTTAACAATAATTAACCCATCAACGGCTACTGGGCGTACATATAATCTATCGTAAGACGAAATTATCATGGCGTCAAAACAATTAAATTTAAGGAAAACCCGAAAATAAGTAATATCTTTCATGAATTTTTATTTATCTATTATATTTACAAATTAATAAAATAATTTTACGAAATTTAAAATTATTAATGCTGGAAAATCTTATTATTTATGTTTAAAATGGAAAAAAGTTTAAAAAAAATAATAATTTTAACAAAACGCGTAATTTTATAAAGGAGCGCCATCTATTTTTGAAAATAATATTTATTTTTTGATTTTTTAAATCGCAATAACTAAAAAACCCATGGCTGTCCCAAGTTTAAATTTTTTTTATGAATAGATATAAGGTTAGAGGATAAGAAAATATTAAATTCAAAAAAATTTGGAAAGCGAAACACTTGGAGTTTTCATGTTTAAAATTTATAACTTAAATAAAAACCGCAACAATATTATTTTGAAAAATTTTTTAATATTCAATAAAAGGCCCTTAATAGAGTTATAAATTGACACATAACTTATATTTTTAAAATCATTATTTTTTAACTTATCTCAATTTTAAAAAATCGCATTTTTCGAAAAAACGTCATTTTTGGCACTTTTGACCATTGATATCTCAGGAACTATGAGTACTAGGAGGCTAAAATTTTGGATTCGATGCTTTCTAATGATATTCTCTCAGTATACAAAATTTTATCGAAATTAAAAAGGTCGAGCCGAAAAGTTATCGATTTGGTATGGAATTACCCAAAAACATAAATATTTCTTTTTTTTTATTCTCCAAATTCATAAAGTCATTTTAATATTTGTAATGTCTATGGGTTAATGTGTAGTGGTATTAAACATCTCCATTTAGCCGATTTTTAAATAGGCCAAATCATAATTTTTAACCAAAATATTAGTATCTAAGCCTCGAAAATTAGATAATAGAAGTCCAAACCTCTCTGCCAAATGTGGGCAAAATAAATAAGCTTGGGTAATTTACTTTTGTCCAAAATTTGAGTTCACCGTTTTTAAAAATTGACAAAATCGAGTAATTTAACAACACTAGCTGAATGTGAGTTGTTAAATATTTTAAAATCATTTTCTTGTTACAGATAATTTAACAAAAAATTGTAAAATTTTTAACTGTTTTTTTAAACATTACAACAAATAAATGGTATTATAGTTCCTTTTATTATAATGAAATTATTTATAAAATAAAAAAAATTAATTATATATACAGATCATAAAATAACCAAAAGCAATAAATATCAGATCGGTTTTTTAAAAAAATATCGAAATCCGATATTTTTTAAAACGCTGAATATCGGTGCCGATCCGATCTTATATTTAATATCGGCACAGCCCTAATAATTAGGATTGTATATATGTTTAAAATATGGCTATAATTTAATAAAAATGTAAGCTAAACATTTTCGTTAATGAAAGTTAACAAGAATGATTCAGCAGACTTCTCCATGATTAAAAATTTAAAAAGCTGGTTTTGGCATATAGAATATAGATTCTTTTGTTTGCTCAATCTAAACTTTGAATTGGATTGTGGAGCTGTCTGAACTGATATTGTTTGAGAACTTTATTAATTGTAATATAATGCCATACATATATAATAACAATGAATAAACAATGCAATAACCTTTCTATTCAATTTCAAATTCTCCATTTGTTGTCTCAAGGCTTTCATTTTTGTCATGGTAATCCAATTTTCCCTTGCTCTTTTTCCCACTAAAGTTGTGCCTATTAGACTATTTAAATTATTGAAGGTTGTATTGCAACTACTAAGGATATTTGAATTATAATTTGCACTTGTGTTTATAGAATTATTAGATTGAAATGAACATGTACGATTGGATAATTTATATGGATTATTTGTAATATTATGATTATAGTAAGTTATTTTTGCTGGTCTTTCATTGAGATTTAAATATTCGCTACTAGATTTAACTTCTTCATCATCCCATTCATCGTATTCCATATCCTCTGAGGGAGATAACAAGGGTCTTGATATTCCTAAATAAACAACATATTTTAATATAATTTAGTGGTATGGTAGTACATGAAATTTAAAAAAATGCATTCAATTAATATATAACTAGTTTTGCATATCCAGTTATGGGTAGGTATCGACACTGAACACAATTTTAGGTCACTTTTATCATTCTTAATTTTTGTAGCATAATTGTTGTTTTTGATAACACTTTGATTCTTATTTTTATAAATTGGTATATCATGAAGAGGTATATTATCAATGCTTAAGTCATTTTCTGCCATAAGAAAGTTAGGCAAATTTTTTAATGAAAGAGATTTTGAGGGAGATTTAGGTGAGTTATCACTTGTACAAGATTTTGGCGATTCTTCAAATGTTAATTGATTAACTGATAATGAGTCAGTATTATCTTTATATATTTTTTTCCTATATTCTGGATTTTGATCAGGATTCTTGTTATATGAATTTAATTTATTTGATTTTAAATTTTTTTCACTGGAAAGTTCACCATCATCCCAATGTTGCTGTTCAATTAAAGCCTCTAATATATTTGCTCTTTTAATTAAATTAGCCGCATCCTTATATAAAGACACTAAATTAAACATTAATAAAATATACATTTGTAAATCAATACATTTTCGCATTAACATTGGTCCTCCCTTGAGATGCAATACTAACTGCAAAATTGCACCATCTTGAATTCCACATTCGTTAAGTGTGTAACTATTTGTCAATTCATTTGATTTCCATATTAGATGTTGTTGGGATATAGGCACATCTAAATTTTATGTTTTTATAATTAAATTATTATCATGATTACTTTTTTTAAATAGTATTTTCGTTTTTAAAGTAAGAATTGTATCATTTTCTAATGCCTTAAGATTGAATACATGCCCGGTTAATGTTTGAACTTGCAAATCAATTTTATTCATTATTTATCAACTCAATCTGGTCTGCATCCAATATAAAAGCATATGCTTTTTAAATGTGCACTAGAAACATCAATATTTTATAAATAATCGGAAATTTTACGAGTTTAAACATATTTTATAGTAGTAAGTTGAGACCTACTGACAAAATAATCTTAAATTGATACAATACCGATACAAATACATTTTCTTAAATTTAAAGGTAATCGTATAAAACGATTTCTAAATAAAAGTGATGGATGATTTTACTAATTAAAAATAATATATATTAATTAGTAATATCAATGTCAATGTATATAGAATATAAACATAGATGCAGCCAGGATTTACTAAATGGGAGGGAAATTATTAAAACCAAATAAAATCTTGATAAAAATTTTTATTTTATTTTACATTATCCGTTTTATTAACAAGGCATTCTCTATGTAAATCAAGAAAAATTAGACCATATAATCAAAAATTCGATTATTACTATTCAGTAGATAAAATTTATCATATTTCTTTACCTAAATGCTAGGCTGGATATTTAATTACAGTTCTCATCTCATCAGTAAGTTGTTCCTCTTTCGTATAAAATTGTCTTCAAAGATTAAATGTTTCTTTATCATAAAATAGTGTTATTAATTTGCTTGGTCGTAATATTTACGACACAATTTTGTGCTCAGGCCTACTCTTAGCACTAACCCGGGGTTCAGCTGACCCGGGGTTCAGGTGAATAATATTATTCCAAATAGTTCAAATAAAAAATATAAAACAGCAAAATACAATGGCAATTTCTGTAGGTAGTAAAGACCTGCAAGCAACTTAGCATAGGGTTAAAAAAATTTAATCGGGACCACTTTAGAGCTAAGAAATACCAAAAAAATAGGATTAAAATGAGTTATTATTTTATTTAGCCAAGCGATTATTTCAACCTATATCATCCTAGTTCAGAATTAGATACGAACTTTCTGATTGGATTTGTTTAATTTCGTCTCTATTTTATCACCACGTATTGATTTTTTTTCTAATTTTAGAAATGTATGTTAGACAAGTACATTTTATAACATTAGTGGCAAGATTGAGCTTGAATGGGATATTTAGAATTCTTTTGGATTAGTTTTATTTAAGGGGGGGGGGGGTTATAAACAAGCCTCTTTTTGTCATGCCTATTCTGAAGTCAAAATATATAAAATCTTCAATTTACACTTTATATAAAGTTTGTTTAATTGAGAATGGTTAAATACAAGCTAACTCGGCTCAATCTTCAGGCGCTTGCCGAAAAATATCCGTTAACATTGAGGCGTTTAAATTTATATTAATTTCTCCCAAATTTGAGCCTCTATCTTTTTAAGAATAACCCCGAAAAGCCAGAGTGATAGTTTTAGGATAAAACACTTGGTCTAGCCGATTTTTTAGCTGGATAAAAATATATTTGGTTTGAAGAAGTTTAAAATTAAAATTTTCGTTAAATTAAAATAAATTTTTTTTAAAAATAATATTTTTCTCAACATTTTCTTTCATGTTTTTAAATTCTCGACATTTTCTTTCATGTTTTTAAAAGTAAATGTAAAGAGGATTTGAGGCAAAATTTTTTTTACAATCATATTGGAATAATTTGTACCTGGCAACCCTGATCAGCACTCTTTTAAAATAATTAGCAACTAATTTTTTAAATAATTAGCACCATAACAATCTTAAGAAATTAAGCGTATTTTAAATTAATAGTATTTCCTTTTTCATTTCGTCGCAAGCAAAAAAATATGACACATATCTATTTATAATTATTTTATAAATTATTATTATATTAGCTGATCCTCTTATATAAAATAAAGGAACCTTATACATTAAATACCTTAAAGTTGTTTAAATCCATTATACAGGGATTGCCATCTTAAAAGGAGAGCACAAAATACGTAAGATTTCCACAATTCGAATATCATTAAAAAATCATTGCCGCTATTTTTACAATTCATTCAAACAAATTCCCATTTATACCGAGCATCTATTAAAAAATATAATTTTTCACAAAACTTATAATTTAAAAAATCAGCTGAATATCTATAAAATTATTTTTTTAAATCTCTAAATTTATTAGCTTTAATATTGTGCACCAATGATATTGCATAAAACCATGTTATAAAATAAACGAAATAATCTCTATAAAAAAATTTATATATAAATAATCAATATTTAATACATGTTAATTTTTTTTTATAGTTTTAATATTTAATGGAAGCCATGGCTTAGCAAGAATTTATATCTTTCAAATTGACAGATGATTTTCTTTTTTCATAATTCATTTTAAATAATATTTATAAGAAGTAAATATGGTTCCCGTTTCTAAATCGCTAAAACAAAAATCGCTAAAAATTGGGAATCTAGCTTATATCTACTAGAAAATTTTTTAAGTAAATTTGAAAAATTAATAATAATAGATGCTAGTGGAGTAAACACTTGTATTTAAATTGAAAATATTAAAAAAATCGCTAATAAATATATTCTCTTCAAATTTCAACTAATTAGGCACATGCATATTTTATTAATATTCTTTATATATATACCGATGAACAATATTTTCTTTTAGCTAGTAAATAAAATTACATGATGTCATTCTTTTAAACCTCCTTCATTAAAAGAATTTGATTCTTAAGGCAAAATTGTCCTCTTCAAAAATAAGGATATCTGGTATTCTTTTCTATAAATAATCACAAATTTCTTTTTATTCAAAAATAGGTTTATAAATATACATTTTATTAAAAAAATATAATTTCTATTATTTTCTAATATATTTCTATACAATACCATTGTGAACAAAATTATTTTATGCAAGAGTTTTTAAATTCTTTTATAGACATTTAATTGCATATTTAGTATTCAACCATTTAATTTGATAATATTTTCATTAACTAATTTTATTCTTTATTATTTTAATTTTTACATTATTTATTTTTTCTTTTTCCTTTTTTATTCTATTTATATCAGAGATCTGCAGATGTACCATTTGCATTTCACGGATGTTGTTTTCAAAAATTTTTTTGGCCCAGCCCGTCTTTAAAAAAAAAAATTTTCAGGCCCGGCCCGGATTTTTTTAAAATATATTTTATTTATTTTTGATTTTTATATCTAATAATGACGATTACAAATATTTGGTTTTAAAATATATAGCCCGGCCCGGATATTTTATTTAAAAATTTTTTAGCCCGGCCTGGGGCAGGCCTCTGATTATTATTAATAATATTATTAACTTTCATATAGCTTCTTGGTAATAGTGGTGGGGAGGGAAAATTACCCACACCCATCCTCTCCCCTCCATAGAGAAGTAAATTTTTAAAGTTCCTTTATTTTTGAATTACATTTTTATACATTGCAAAATATTTATATTTAGTTGAAAAACATTTTTATACATTGCAAAATATTTATATTTAGTTGAAAAACATTTTGAACATATTTTTTTATAATCATATTTATATATTCTAGGATTAAATTAATTTCAATTATAAATTCTATATTTTTTGGTTCTATTCTAAGAAGTGTAATTTTTGAAAATTAAAATAAAGCTTTTTGGTTTTTTATTGTAAAATTTTCGATTTTTATATTACTTACAAATTACATCATTGGCAAGAAATTAATTCCGGATATATATTTATTTTTAACATGCCTGCGTAAACAAGAGTAACTTTTTGAAAGTATTTGTATTCTTAGTCACGTTAATAGTGGTAGGAGAGGGGGGGGGGTGTTCTAACATCTTTTTATCACTCACTTTTTATTTGCCAAGCTTAATCTTTGATTTGTGTTTAGTAATTTTTAAATATTATTTTATTTATTTTGTATAGCCTTTGTCTTCGCTAGCAAATTAAAATGCGCATATTCGCTCATTCGCAAATTTTTGTAAAAATATAAACAACACGTTAATGACAATGTCTGCCAAAACAAAGGCATCGTGAGACCTAAAAGAGCGTTTTTGAAAAAAGCAAACTAGTTTGCGTTTTCATTAAAGTTTAAAATATCGAAATTTCGCCAAAATAGGGTTTGACATCTTGCCATCTTTTTGTGAAATCTCTAGGCGCGTGTATATTTAATATTAATTTAACTAAAAAATCAGCGAGGTCTTTAAAAAAGTCTAAATATACAGTAATATTAATTGATATGCTTCGTTAAATATTTGAAAAATCATTTTTAAAACATGTTAAAAATAAAGTAAATACAAGATTAGATCCAGTAATATTTTTAAATTAATCTAACATCGAATGGTGTACGTCTTTCATATTAGTTTCGATTCGCCATATGAAAATTTAATTGCGAACATAATATAAGTGTTAGATAAAATGACTTAAGAAGAAATATTATAAGATACTATACTTTAATATAAAATAATGATATAAAATTGTATTTCTTATTATAAGGTGTTGAAATTTTCTTTTATTTTTTTTAAATCCAATTTTCATATTTAATTAACATTAACGTTACAAAATTTTATCAAGAATATCAACAAAAAATTAATCATGAATTGTTTAGACTTCTTAAATTTTTGTTATATTACTGATAATTTTTCTTATTATTTCAATTATTATAAGTTTCAAACTTCTTTTTTTTTACAATTATAAATGAAATATGATTAATTTTAATCATATTAAATATAAATTTTAATTAACACTTATAAAAATTTTAATTTAGAATATAACATTAAAATCCAAATCATAAATAAAAAAAAATTAGATAAATAGACAAATTGATTTCATAATTTTTTAAATAAAATAGTTATTACTTTATCATTATAAAATGAAAATATAATTTATTATGAAAATTCAAATGTCTTCATTAACGTGTTTAGTTTGTGGCGATATTTCAAACGGAAGACATTACGGTATTTTTGCGTGCAATGGCTGCAGTGGTTTTTTCAAAAGAAGCATCCGAAAAAATTTGGCATACAAGTTATAAAAAAAAATTCAATTTCAATTTTTTTTTTTTGCTTTACGATACTAAAAAATAGTAAAATCTTTTGTAGATTTTATAAAAAACTTAAATTTGTTCTTTTTTTTAAATGGTTAAATCACGATTTAACCCAAGATTTTCTTAACCAAGCCACGAGGATTTACCAATAGATTGTCAAAATAACCATTTTGTCATCATTTGTCGAAATTTTGATACTTAGGTACACATTTTTTGGATAAAAACTTAATTATCCCTTTTATAAAAAAATATCTGCTAATTCGGGGTTTATAAGAACATTAGGGTGGTGGGCCAATCCATTTTTTTAAAAGAAATATGTTAAAAAGTTTTTATAAATTGTTTAATTATTAAATTCGATATTTATTATATCTAAGGCTGCGCTCTCGTTTGTCCTTTGAAAAGTGATTTTTTTTTAAATTAGTGAGTTAATCCCATCATGGTGGAGGTTACAAATTACATCAAAATTAAAGTGCTTTTAAAGACTAGATAATTTATTTTAGCAGCAAATGAATGACTTGATTCAAAAAAGTTGAAAAGAATAAGGTTACTAGAATATTTGAACTTTTTAATTCCATACCAGATAGATTGGAGTCATCCAGAGAATATTTGGATCGGCTTAAAAGCTGTGGTTCTGTGCTGAATATACGGAATATATTGTGGTACAATTCATGATTAGCTGTCATAATGAAAAACTTAAAGTAAGACTGAGAGGGAAATACGATGGATTTGAATTAAATAATCGCAATGTTTGATAATGGATCTCCAGTGACGTCCTTGCCAATCAAAGATTTTGAAAGGCTCACTAATTATGAAAACATTGAATTGAGTGGTTGTTCCAGAAAATCATTCTTAAGAAGGGGTAGCCATCACTTGGGAAAGTTATCAATTGTAAGGTCAAATATTTAAATGTTATGAAATATTTAAATTATTATGTATTGAATGGAGATTAGTCATCCTTATGTGGTTAGGATTGGGGATTAAAGTGTTTGATATAATAAAATATAATTTTGATATATACATTATTAATAAAAAAAATATAGGTGATATAATAAAATTTTTTTTAACAATCCTTTTACCATGTAAAAATAAAAAATATACCAATTTTTAAACCAAGTAAAGAAAGATGTTAATTCCTTCAATTTATACTATGGAATTATTTTCTGAAATTAGAATTAACCTCAATAATTTAATTAAAGAATATATTAGTGATTTTAATGATGAATTAGGAAGAGTTAAAAAATTTTAAAATAAACATTTTATTAAAAGGATGATTATGAGCCCAAATTTTTGGGGCCAGAAGAGTGCCATTTTAATTGGACGAAGAATTAGAAAGAATTCTTGAGCAATGGCACAAGCAGGATATTATAAGTCCTATTAGATTTTTGCAATTGGCTACTTAGTTTTGGTTTAAAAAAAAAGTTAATACTTTACGAGTTTGTGCTGATTTTAGACTTACAGTAAATCCTCAATTAGAAAGTTTGAATATCCTCTTCCAAGGATAAGTGACATTATTGCTAAGGTTGAAAATGGTAAATTATTTAAAAAGTAGACTTTTCTTCAGCTTATTTGCAAACCTGTCTCTAAAGAAACATCAAAATTTCATACGGTGCCTACAAACAAAGGTCGGCTTCAATTTAACAGGTTACCTTTTGGGCTGACAGTTTCAACTGCATATTACCAAAAAACTATACATGAAATATTTTCCATAAATGGGGCCATTTATTAGTTAGATGATTTATTCATTTTTGGTAAGGATGCTGAAGATCACTTTAGCAAATTGAAAAAGATTTTTAAAAGAATAATAGAATTTGGCTTAATAGGAAAATTTGGTAAAGATAACAATAAGTATTTGGGTTACTTAATAAGTAGTAATGGACACAGCCATAAAGAAAAAATTGACAGATTAGCATAATGACTGAACCTAAAGTTTAGAATGAGTTATTCTGGTCGGACTCATGAATTATTATTCTAGGTTTATCGAAGGTTTTTGGAAATTGGCATATAATTTATATGAAATTTAAAAAAGGGAAACTATTTTATTTGGGAATTAATGAAAGAGAAAGTTTTCACGAGACTAAAAGAAGATTGTGTTGAAAACATATGGCTGTGTCCTGATTTGTCTTACCTCTAACCATAAATCTATTTAGCCTTCTATATATCTTCCCCAGAATGAGGCTATTTAGATTTAATACAAACTTAAAACAAAACAGAATAGTGTGTCCTAGTTCAAATTCTGAATAGAATGGTCTAAACAAAGATGAGTTTTTTTAAAAATAAGACGAACTATGACAGGGCCTTATATGTCAGCACAATGTGTTTTTTCTGCAAATGCGTTCGCATTTTTATTAATTCTAAAAATCTAGATTTTTAGCGGAAATGTATTTTATGATGTTTAGAAAAACTACACTAGGATTTTTAGAAAATTTTATCATAATCTTTTATAGTTATTTTAATTTGCTTTTGTTTACAAATTATAAATGACTCAAACGTTGACCTCGAAATTTATAAAATTCGTAAAATAGGTGTTCTACAAGTGCTACGGTAAATTGAAATTTAATTTTTTTTTAAAAAAAAAACACAAAATTCATTTAAAGTTTAAGCAACACATTGATGAGAATAAAACATATTAGCTCTAAACATTTAGACTATATAAAATAAGGTAGAAGAAAAGAATAAAACATATTAGCTCTAAACATTTAGACTATATAAAATAAGGTAGAAGAAGAAAAAATAAGTATAGCTCCTCTGGAGTCAAAAAATTCAGCTTACCCATCGGTCTGCTATTTGTGGTCTCTTCCTTTTTTTTAATCAAATTTGAAATATCCTTTGTAAAACTAAAATTCGTATACTATATATTTTTTTAAAAAATCTAACTTCTACCTTTTACTTTTTATCTCTTTATTTGTTACAAGGTTTTCCTCAGCTTAATTTTTCCTTTAAAAATTTAGTAAATTGATGAGTTTAAAAAAAATGGCAAGGACGATATGAATAAGAATCGTGGTGCATAATCGAAATAAGTTGAATTTAAATGAAAAATATGGTGATCGATAGATTCTATAAAATAAACAAAATTGTTGAGTGGCGTGGCTGGATTATAATAGAATATGGCTCGGGATAGCCAAATTTTTTTAAAGAATGCCAAAAGAAACCTATAGATTTAAGAGGAAAAGCTATGAAACATTATACGTTGTTAAGTTCCAAGATACTGGAAAAAATATTGAGTTAAGTATAGTAAATAACAAGTAAATATCCTTCATAAAAATTAAATCGTTGCCACAAACTTAAGCGACAGGGGAAAATTGCTTATTTAGCCCAGCCCTTGGGCCGTGTCCTTAATTGTTTGAAATATATTGCAAAATAATAATTGTTACAATTTTTCATTTGCGTATTCTTAAAAATTGCAAGTAAGACTATTTATAATATTAATATTTATACTAATCATAGGTGTCACGTGAAAAATAATAATTGCACTATAGATAAATGCCACAGAAATCAATGTCAAGCTTGTCGTTTCCAAAAATGCCTCGATAAAGGCATGAACAGGAATGGTTTAATAAATTCTTATTTTAACTATTTATTTGTTCATTTCTCTTTAGAACTTCCCCAATTCTATAACTTTCACTTCCTGTTTTTAAATATCTCATGTCCTGCCTACTTTGCTTTATTTTATTATAGAATTTCATAATAACAACAATTTTATTGATTTATTGTTTTGTTTAAATATTAAATCGAATTAAAATATTTAAAGATATTACATGTTGTACTATCTAAAAATAAGAAATATACACTTTTGGAACTTTAATAAATGTAGAATTTTAACTTAAAAATTGCATTTTATTATTTATTTATTTTTCACATTCAAAATTATATATATTAATAATCTCATAAAAAAAATCTCCAACTCATTTCATAAAAAATCACACACTGAATAAAATATTACTTTTACAATAAAAACATATTATTAAAAGAATAATAATCTGAATGACATCTCTTGAAAATAAATAAACATTTTTATTTTTCTCTTTAATTCAACATTTGCAACAATGTTGTTGGAATAGCCGACTCGCCCCACCAAATCAACATGGCAAGCATAATAAAATCCTATGAAAACATAGATCTAAAAATAAATCCTCTGGAATACTGCCCACCCCCCAAACAGTAATGTTAAAATGATTTAAGGTTTAACAGTACTGAAAAAGAGTACCTCACAAATATAGGTTAACCCTTAGGCAGTGAACTCCTTCACTAAATTTTTACAGATACCTCAAGGGATTTGAAACAAATGCATGAGATTTTACTGAATTTCCCACCACTCAGGTCTTTTTTCTGCAAAAGAATTATCTTGTAATTCCAAAGATTTTTTACATCCTACGATTAACACGTAATTCAATATCCTGCCATCCTTGCTACCTACGACCATGAAACAAAATCTTGACCAAACAAATAGTCGTTAAGTTTGAAGAATTATCTTGGCTACAGCCCCCTACTCTCCGTCAGTGCCGTCATACCTTAACTTTTATGATGTGACTCAATCATCAACAAATTAATGACTCACCCAGCCCTCTACTCTTTCAGGCCATCGAGTTTTCTTTCCTAGTCGACTCTCCTTAATCTTATAGCAGAGAGATTGGAATTTACCCTTTTGAAAAGGTTATGAATTTGTTGAAGTCACGCCTTCAAGTAATCTTTTTACTACCTACAAACGATGAGCTACTTTATGCCATCGTACTCAGACTTAATAGAGAACGGGTTATAACATGCTTAGTTCACTTTGCGCCAGACATCTGCTGACTCATTGATCGTCATTCCCTGCATAATTCTATCGAACTACATCAGTTTTATATTCTCCGTTGATGGATAAGAATAACTATTTAAACTCATTTTAAGTAAATAACATATTTTCCTATGTAACCTTTAAAAAAATTTAACTAATACACAATATAAAAGCATATATATGCAACTAAAAAATATATGAAAATATTGGAAATAAAATACTATTAAAACAAAAATTTAACTAGCTAAAAAAGGAAAAATATTTAAAGTTGAAAAAATATGGTAGGGCTCAATGATTCATTGATGCTTTGAAGTTGAAAGTCGCCTACGAATGATCTCAATTTAGATCAAAAGATTTTAATATTTGATGAGCCTGAATGAGCTCAGAGTATCTGATACAATTGGAATGAGAGTGAGGTCGGCGAAATGAGCATATATTTGTTTTATTATTTCCAGTCCTATGAAGGAAATTACGATAGACTTTGCCGAACGATTAATGCAAATAAAGTCCCGAGATAAGGGTCACGTTATCAGGCCGTAACGAAGCTGACCGGAGGGCTAAAGTCGGGATGAAATATTTGCAGTTCTCATGGATCTAACTAATATTGCATATGCCAGAATATCAGAGGTGTTGTGGTATGAATTGCTAACATCGTTACTCGGAACTTCTAAATTTTCTTAAAAGCACGCCCTAAAATAGGCATCTATTTGAGTGTATTTTGAACACACGTAAATTAATAAACAAAAAAAATTGAAAGCCTAAAAATAATATTAGTTAGAGGTTCTCAATGAGGGAAAATATTTTGGAGGCAATGCGCCTAGATTCAACTCTTTATCCCCAAAATAATTTTTACTCCATAGTAGAGATTTGCAAAACCCAGCCGGTATTTATTTAAAAATACTATCGGCCAGGATTGGGTTGAGGCTATTTTTTTTTTCAAAATAAATCGGGCCGGGCCATACTTAAATTTTTAAATAAAATATCATTCAATTTTGTAAAATAAATTTGATATATAAAATTTTTGCAAGATACAACAAGGCGCCAATATTTTTTTTATTTGTTAGAATATTATTTTTATAATTTAAAAAAAAATTGATATTTTTTCGAATTTAAATAAATTAGGGCTGGTCCAGCAAATAGTTTTTATTATGGGTCGGTTTTGGGGTAAATAAAAAAATATTATTCGGAATATGGCCGAGTCGGATTTATATTTTTTTTCAGGCGTGCTTCAAAAATTGGGCCAGATACAGATCCCTACTCCCTAGACTTTGAAATATATGAAGAGAAATGGCTTCTACTATACCCATCCCTATGAAGACACTGTAGTAAAGTTAGGCAGGTCATGGTAATTATAAATTAAAATTCATAGCTTATCGGGACACATCAATGTAGAAAAAAGGAAGCATAGTTTTTTTTTTGAATCTATTATTTTTTTATTAATTTTTTAAAAAATGTAAATCATTTGGTTTTAATATTGAAAAAAAAAAGGTTCATGTTAGTTACTGCCAAGTCAACATAATAACAATTATAAACAACAACCCACTTTGCTAAACAACGACCTATTTTTTCAAATGCAATAAAATCATTTTAAAAATAATATATATTAAGTGATTGAATCACAATATCGTCTTTGATATTTTATATATCACCCCCTCTAGCACGGGGCCTTCTTAGTTGGCTTCAGGAAAAAATATGGTTCTTGCTGGATTCGTAAGCATAACTTAGGGATTAATAATAGATAAACTTACCGACTATGCCACAAACGCTTTTCAAAGCGATGATTTTTATAATATATATATATATTATAATTAGCAGCGTTGGTCCAAACAATAAATACCGAATATTATAATTAGCAGCCTTGGTCCAAACAATAAATACCGATTCGTTGCACTGCCATTGGTAGTAACTAACAATGGCCAAAAAATAACCACCTTTTTTAAAATTTAATTTTCTTCCTATATATCAATTATTTAAGATTATTTAATATTCGAGATTTACAATAAATTTAATATAGTTGGCATTTTGACTATGATAAAAGTTACTTAAAATTAATATATATCAATTTTTTTTTTGACTTGTTAGTCTAAAATTTGGTATTACTTTTATTCATTTAATCAAAGCTGTTCAGAAGGGGAGATTGAAATGGAAAAGGGCTATGTATTACAGACGATTAGATTTTTATAATAAAGTGGGCCTCTATCAGAGATTATTTCATAGGGCATATAGAATGACTCCAATACAAGATAATTATCTATGCTCGAACATGAAAAAGTGTGGAAAAAATGTCAACCATGATTTCTCAGGTAGAGATGAAAATCCCCCTTTTATTACCCTAATTTAAATTGTATTTATAAAATCCTAATTTACATAAAAATTTAGGTTTAATAATAGTAAGAAGTAAAATGATATTTTAATATCATGGTAATAAAATATACTATCTGCCAAAAAACAATTTTTCTAAATATTTCTATCCTTCATCCCGTTGCGTAAAATAATAATACATTTTCCGATTCCCTTTTAAAGGAACATTTTTTTTTTGAAATTTCGCTTCTAGAATAAATAGTGATGGCTAATTTTTGAAAATAAATATCCTTAAGAAAATTCAACTTATTTTTAAACAAACAAGAATATAATTTCATATTAATCTCCTTATATTAAAGAGGAATTATAGAGATATTTTGTATTTAATAATTTACTAGTTTTGTTAAAACCTGACTAAATTCACAAACAGTGCCGAAGCCTCGAGATTTTGTCTATAGAGGAAAAACTCATCTGCCATGTTTTTGGCTAAATCTCTAGAGTTAGGTAAGACATGTTTGGCTCTTGATTTAACCCTTTTTAAAAATCTCGTAGGTTTTTATAGTATTTTACATAGGGTTTCCTATCCAAAAAAAGGTCAATTATAAAAGGAAAAGGTCCGAACAAAAAATGAAAATTGTCAATCAAAAAAGCAAAAGTCTTAGGAAAAAGTCCTATTAAAAAAGGAAAAATGTTAATCAAAAAAGATTTTTTAACCTGTCAATTATTAGAGCTTTTATTGCACTATTAATGTTTTTTTCTTTCTTCATGATTTTATTTTTTAAAACAAAAAATAATTCTTTTTAAAATATATAATCATCAAATGGAATGAATGACAAAAAAACTGAAATTCTTTAGATTATAACATTTACCTCACTTTTACTTTTAATTATTCATAGATGAATGAATGTATACTATTAAAAATAACTAAAAAAAACTTTTTACTTGCTCAGTAGTATTGAATGCTTGTTGTATAAATATTAAATTTCAAAATAAGAATATCTTTATGATTATAATTCCTTAATCTACATATTGTTTGGTAGATATTATAGTTCATTTATTTAATTTTAAAATAGTACATTACTACACGATTAAGATAATTGAATAATGGTGGAATAATTTAATATGCAAAAAATATTAATAAAAAAAAATTTGATTGCCGAAAATAAAAAAAATTATGCGAAATTCTAAAAAAAATGCAAGAAAAAAATCATAAAAAGTCAAAAATTTTCTTGAGTAGGATGAAAAAAAAAGAAAAAGAATTGTTAAAAATGACATAAAATAGAGAAGCGAAGAAAAATGGCAGGTAAAATAAATATTATTTTTAAAAAGACAAAAAAAATGATCAAAAATAAAGAAAAAAAATTGTGAAAAGATAAGAAAAATAAAGATTAAAAAATACTTCAAGAAATCGCAAGTTAGAAATCAAATAAGAAGGTAAAATAAAAAAAAATAAAAATTTAAGAAAAATTGACAAGAGAATTGAAATTTTTAAAAAATACAATTTTCCTTTTTTGATTGACATTTTTTGATAGACCATTTCCCTTTTTTGGTAGGACCTTTTTCTTTTTTTGATTAACTTTTCCTTAATTTGTTTGACACTTTTCATTTTTTGAATGGAAAGCCCAGCATATACCACTAGATTGGGGATCATTCATTAAATGCAAAAGTGTCCATAAATGGCAATGGCTATAACAACTTTTTATGGTTTGCATGTCCATTAAATGAGATTAATGTATATTCATTATTTAGTGTTAAATATTGAATCGCTCTTGTATATATATATAAATCATTAGATTTTTTAACATTTTTATAATTTGCCGCTCTTATTTTAGCGATGAATCAACAACCATTGCCATTTTCAATCCAGGCATTATTAGAACAGCCAAACAAGAACTCTAATTATTGTAACGATTTTGAAATTAATCATGCCAATGCGAACTTTGCACACCACCTGAACAATAATTATTACATGTATTATTTTACATATAAGACGAGCAACTATCCCAACACTTATAACATAAATTTATAAAAAAAATTATTTTAAAAAAAGGATAAACCATGCGTTCTATTAATTTTGTTTGTTAGCTCCTCATATTTTGGCTTATTTCCGAGTTCATTCTTAATTTTATATCACTTTTAAAATGTTCTGCTTGTCATAATTGTTGCATTTTATTTTTTATATTATTAATGTTAGTATGCTAAATAAAATCTCACTAAACCTTAATAAATCTTTCTTTTTTTAATCGATTGCTTGCATGGAGATTCAGAGCAGATATTTTATATATCGGAAGTATCTGTAACGGGCGATATTTTTTAGTTTCAACTCCTATCCAAACATTAAATAAATTATTGCAAATTTAAAGAAATAATTAAGCCTACAAATTTCTAGACCGACAGAAATGTCTGATTTTTCCTTCTTCCTATTATTTTTCCTTCTTCCTATTATTTTTCCTTTCAAACTTTGAGGAGAAATTAAGTTGTTATAAATAATAGAAATTAAATTATTAGTTTCATAGAGATTGTATGAGATTTTTATGGCTTAAATTGATGATCAAAAAACACCTCGTTTCAAAAGTTGAGATTGAAAATAAATACTCCTCGTGGTGAAATTTTTTAAATATTTTTATATATTAATTTATATAAAAAATAAGCTATTCTGTTTTGCTTCATCACAAAATTTTTAACATTACCAGCACTTTTGGTCACTTTGGCCAAGAGGGTCTGGCCCTTCATAGTAATATAGGCATACAAATTAAGCTCCTTTCATCAAATTTGGGTATTATTTAAACTAGTGTCTAAATTCAAAAACTCGGGGGGTGGGGGGAGGGGGCTCGTGAGTCATTCTAATACATTTCCTCCTTGTTATTTTTTGTTTTAGTCCTCCATTTCCTTCTTATTTATTTTTAAAAAATGTTATATGCGGGGAGGGTACGGGGGGTATATCATCACTCCCCCCCCCCTCCTTTTTATTTTTAACCCCCTTCCAAATTTTTAAGAGGGTCTAAATTTCCCCATCAAAAAAATATTTATCGGATTCCTCTGTGGGCTTTTGCCAATGAACCATTTTTTATTGATTGATTCATATTTTTAAAAAAATAAAAATCATTATGATATTCCAAAAGATTTTAAAAATTCCTGTGTTAATACTTTATCCTCCATCATTGCAGAGTGATAATTGGGGTTTCATCTTACGAATTTGTTCATATATAATCGAACGAATTTAAGAGTAAATAATTTGTCAAATTTAATGTTCATAAATATTAAAAGGACTTAACGCGGGGCGAATGAAATCCTTTAAAAAAAACAGACCAAAGGAAATAAATAAATTTTCAAGCAATACACCACCGTTCTTATTCAAATTTGTACATATTTTACTCCTAAGATGATAAAGAATTTTCAACCAAAAAATTATTAAATAGAATTATGAATTAAATCATTTTTACTTTTTTATAAATTATTTTAGAGGATATCGATAACCTTTCCCAATAAGCATTGCCTAAGAGAGGCACCAAATATGGTTAAAAAAATAAAAAGGAGGGGAAGGGGTGATGGAAAACATATTTGTAATTTTAAAAAAATAAAATAAATGACATGAAACACGCTCTAAGTCAAATAGCCCGTCCTTTATATAGTGTTTTTCAAAACGTAAGAGAGGCTGATATTTTAGGGAGGGCACTGTCGATCATCTTTTGTCCGAAAAACATCAGTCCTCTTTTTTAAAAAATATAGCAGCTCAAATTTGAAAGAAACTAATAAATTAAAACGCTTTCATGTTAACGGATTTTCCTCGGCATACGCCTATAAATTGAGTAGAATTAGCCGATATTTAGCCATCATCCAACTATAAATTCTAAGTCTGTCCCTTCCTTGTATTTATAGATTAATACAAGCTTTTAAGATAAGTGAATAAAGGAAATTAAAATCGATATAAACATAAGATAAGAAAATTAAAAATAAATGAAAAGAAAAGAAAAAAAAGAACAATCAGAATTCATTTCTTAAAAATAAAAATGCTTAGTTTTAAACTATATTTTTATTATAGAAAAAACTATAATATACAGAGGCCAAAAACAAGAATATTTCATAATAATTATATAATTTTTTTTGAAAAAAAATACTCATAGAGGTAAGAAAAGGTAGATTGATAAGATATAAATAATTTCTATAGAAATTTGAAAATTTATATACAAAATTGTATAATAAATAATTTGAATTAAAAAAATATAAATAAAAAATAAGAAATAACCATTATAGTATAAAAAGGTACTTACTCTGCATTTTCAAAAAAAAACATATTAAGTGGACAAATAAATATATATAAATAATTAAATTCAGATAAGATATAGTTAAAACTTAGTAAACAAAATACATAAAATAGAAAATACATTAAAATCGTCTTTTATTTTTTACAAAAATTCCAAAATTTATTTTAAAGATCACAAAAAATAAAAAGATCATAATATAAATTCTTTTTTTAAACAATTCAAATTCATTAATTTAAAAATATATTTAATTCGATTAATAATTTACTATTAAAAATACGGTATGTCGACTGTCAGATCAATCATAATCATTCGAAAAAACCAAACACGTGCTTTATAGTGTTATATGCGTACAAATTAATAATCATTTATATTCAATTAAAATATTACTTCTAGAGGTTTATATATAATAAATGTATAAAGGAATGGGTTATTCGTATATTTTTATTAGATATTTTGCAATTTTTTAAAACCGATTATAAGAAAACAACTGGGACATATTTATAGCAAAAGAAAAAAAATCACATTTTTTTAAAAAAGTGTATGAAACCGTGTATAAAAAGATGCAAATATTTTTCGTGCTAGACATAATATAATTTTTTCTTTAACAATCGTTTCGATTTAAAAAACGTATTCTGGGGTAGCCATTTCAATGGCCCATCTGAATTTATCTCTTTGAGTTTTATTGTAAAGTTTGGTCACGTTTATACTGTGTTTTTTGCACCTGTTAGAGTGAATTGTATTATATAAAATTTTATCTTATAAAATATCGTTTCATGTAATTATTTTGCACATAAAAAAATATAATGAAAAAGTTTAGAATGAAAATTAAGAGATCGCCCTGAATCACCTCTTGAATGTAGCATTAAAAAAAAACGTTTTCAATGTGTTTAAAAAGCAGGGTTAACGGTGAACTAGAACAATGCCTCTTAACACGTATATACTTATATTATATAAAAAATAATTAATTTAACCTAATTTAACGGAAACTAAGATAATAAAACTAAAATTTTAGAGAAGCAGCCATTTTTCATTTATAACTAATACGCTTGTATCTTCTTTAAACTCTTATTTATTAATTCAATCATTGACAGCTTTTAATATATGGAATGAGGAGGGGGGGGGGTGGGAGTATTACTTACCAAGCAACCGTAATTCTGGGGTCTAGATAATTTAGCTTGGAAGTTCCCAATGCTATCGTTTTATTTTCCTCCTATAATTATAAAGAGAAGAAAAAAATTAATTTCTTATATATATAATAAATATAAGAAAAAATAAATAAGAAACCAACATAAATTATATGCAGAAAACAAAACAAGATTAAATGATTATATATATTTTAATTTACACCTAAAAAAAATTATAAAACGAATAGTTGGCGAGTAAGATGTAAAAGTAGATATGAAAGCACATTAATAAGAAAATCTACCATGACTAAAAAACAAAGTTATTTACATTTACAAGTACACTTATTTCAAAATATAAATTATATATATACTACAATTAAATGTGTCTATTCTGAGCTATAATATTATACTCTATTTGGGAATCGAATTCCAAAATTAATAATTAAGGCGCCATTTTCAATAATTTAGCAACCCAATTTTTCCTGAATCAAGATATACAGATTTTCATAAGATGTGAAACCTTGTCAGTGGCCTGGAGCTCGAGTTTGAGCAATTGTTCTTTAAGCCTTTCCAGTTTGCTCTTCTTTTTTTCGTAAACTAGCTCGTTTTTCTGGTTTTTTTCCCGTTTGAAGTCGGTTTTAGCGCTTTTGGCTTCCTTCTTCGCTTCCGATATGGCCTCCTTTTTAGATTTCACCTGGTTTCGAGATAATATATTTATTTATTTAAATTAAGCTTGTCATCATTATAAAAATTTTCATTATAATAACTCTCCCAAAACTTAGGTTGGGTCTGATCAGTTTAATTAATCAAAAATAAAATGGTCACCAATCATAGTAAACAAAAGGTTGTGGCACTTTGCGCAGTAGCAAGAAGATGTTTTGCCACCTTCCAGTTCATTATAAAAAGTATTATAGGCACTTGAGATTGGAAATTGATATCGATCAAAGATAAATTCAAAGGATCAACTGACCATCATGTCAAAATAAATACAAAACATTTATAAATCCTGTGTATCAACATCAAACAATTTTGAGGTAACATAAAGTCATTTTTAAAAAAAATCGATTTATTTTTCAAATTTCCCAAACTTTCCATTATTTCCCCTATATATTTCGTTAATTCTCAATCAAATTTTCAGGGGAAGTTTACATATATCTACTAAAAAACGATTATTTTTAAATATTAAAAAGTAAATTTGAGAATTTGATAAAAATGGATTAGTGTATCATACCTTTTCTTGCAAATTTTCCATTTGTTTACCGTGCGTTTTGGGAATAGTCCTTTGATGGTTACACAATATGGCTACAGCTCTATTGGCTCTGTTGTAAGACAACAATTTTTCGTGAAGAGTTGTATCATCTAATTTTTTACATATTCATCAATGCGAGAGGGGCAAAAAAAATATTTCGTACAACATAATATTTTATATAATATTCCATAAATTTTGGAATCCTCTAGCTATACATATATGTAATAACTATGTTATTGTTTTAATTTTTACAGCTTTGCTGATTAAACCTAGTATTTAATAGAAATCTATAATTTAGGTTTCAGATTTTTTTAAAAATATAGCTCCAACTTTAAACAAATAATAAATAAATTAATTTTGGCCTCAATACTTGGCGGATTTTCTTACGCCCGCGACTGAAGATTGAGCGGAATTAGACTATTTTTTTAGGCATTACCCAACAATAGTTGTAACATGTAAGTGAAAAAAAATATACCTTCAGTCAATTTGTTGAGTTGATCTTGTAAGGTTAGAGAAGCGTTGAAAGTACGGAACACTTTAGCTGTTAGACCTTCCATTTGTTCGTTCAAATGTTTGTTCAAAATTTGAGTCTTTTTTGGATAAGGAAAAAAAAGTAAATTTTTTTTATGGGTAATTATATTTTGCTATTACATAAAAATTATGTATTTGTTTTTTAAAAAAAAAATAATTATTTACCACTTAGAATCTTACCAAATATCAATATTTAATAAAACTATCATATTCATAAGTAAATTAGACATTCAATTTACAAAATATCGATACGTAACCATGTATTCAAAATTAGCGCGAATTAGCGGCGAAGTATATAAAAATACACCAAAATACAGCATATTTTATATACTTCACCGCGAATTTATGCTAATTGAGAATCCAAGGTAACCCTTCATTCAGATTGTATTTTAGTATAATTCGCCGCAAATTTGCGCTAACTATGAATGAAGGGTAAAATAGAAGTATGCATTTTTTTAAAAAACAAATATAAAACCGTTAATCTATCGAATAGTTCGTTTTCTTTGTTCTTGTTTTTCATAAAAAGTTGGATATTTTTAAAAGCCCGTTTTTCGACGGGCACCCTGTTTTGATATCTGATACAATCTTTACCTGAATATTTAATTTATTTTTGAACGATGAGATTTAATAAATAAAATAGGGTAAGTAAAGAGTAAGGGAATAAAATGAAAAATTTTAATGTCTTATCAGAAAAATAATTTATATTAAATTTGACTCTATATTCTTTTCCTCTCCCAATTGATTGCATGACAGGTATGTTGTCTTGGAACGGAAAATGGAGGATAGAAATGAGAAATGACTCTAAAACTTTGTTCTATAAATCTCTATCACGATATTTATATTTAACTAGGCTGTGAGACATTTGAGCAACTTGGATATAGGTAATATAAAGAGGCAAATGTCCAGCACTACAAGAATTTTTATAAGTACGCCAATAACTAAAAATCCGCAGCCCAGTTCAGACCTGCCCTTGGAACAATTTTTCAAAAAGGTGGTCTGACACTTAATGAGGTCGTTTCATATAAAAGGACCTCACCATCTTCCCTATCCTTCTTTTTCTCGTTCAAATTAAGATCTCCGAATTGTATTTATGGTATAAAAGAAAATGATAACCCAAAAAGTCGAAATCAATGACGCATTCGTCATCTTCAAGTTTCTCGTGTAGCGTCACGTGTTCGATTCTGAGGGAACAGCAACCTACTGTATCAGCGGTCTCATCATCCTTTTCGTTACCAGCCCTGAGTGCCAACTTAAAAGAATTTTTTTTTAATTTAGCATTTAAATTAATTTTTGTGTTTTTCGATAGCAATTGTATTTTTTAAAAAAAAATTAGTTCGATTCGCCCCTGCAAGAATATCAAACAAAATCATTAAAACATTTAGAAAAGGAATTTTTTTTAGCTAGGTTGCTAATTAAATTTAAAGAGTTGGAGATGCGACTTTTCTAAATTATTATTTTTTCCTTCAAACAAAGAAACACTTTTAGGCCGGAAAAAGTTATAATATCCAATATCGTGATAATTAATAATTTTTTTTAAAAAAAACCTTATCAATAAAATACAAGGCTACTCCACGCTGACGTTCTAGCATGGATTTAGATTTCCAATCCTCTTTGTATTGTTGACGGATTTTGTCGACGCAGGTCTTGAGCCGTCGAGCCGTTTCGTATTTCATCCAATCTTTTTCGCCCTTTAATAATTTTACGGTAAATTTTTAGACTTAGTAATTTTAAAAACCAAATAGCTTACATTCCCCTTTTTTTCATCTCTATTTAATCTTGCCTATTCTTAACTACCTGACCCTTCTCCTTGCTCTAAATAAATTAAATAAAAAGGCTTTAAACAGCTAGGAACCTGGATTAAAAGTTCTGGTTTATATAAGTTTTAAAAATGACATATGGGTTATTAGATTTAAAGTGGTTCTGAGAGATTAGGGTTCTGGCTTTATACTCTGTTCAAAAGCTATGGATTAAAATAATATTTAAGCAATAAAAAAATAAGCCATCTAAATGTATAATATGTAAATATTTTACTAGATAGGCAATTTCATTCATTAAATGTATGTGTCCATACATAGAAATCAGCAGTAGCGCCATGGTTCGCATGTCGATTAAATGACAATAATGTGCTATATATAATGATAAATAAACCAATTGCTAGTGCAAACCAAAAAATGTGCTATAGCTGACTCCTATGTCTGGACACTTATTAATGAATTACCAATTTAGTAGTATATATACATCATTGTCATATAAATCCCACGACATTCAATTTAATAGTGCTTCAAAAAGCGTTTAGCGTTGCGTTTTTCTAAAAAAAAGGCTTCATTGTTATTGAAGTGATATTTGTTTTTAAAAATGTGAAAACTCGCAAACTCTTTCGTATATTTTTTTGCGCAAAAAAGTTTCCAAATTTCTACATTACCCATTTAAAATATATTATTTGAATTTAAAACTCAAAAAGAGTCAATTTGTAATATATAAATTTAAGATGTTTATATTTTAACGTGCATTATAGTTTATATGTCAAAAAAAAATTTGTATTATATTAAATAGCAAAACTAGAATGTTTAAATTTATAATATAAACCTTCCTAATTATATCCCCAATTTACATGATTTATTTTCACCATATTAATTATTCACATTCTTTTTAAAATTTGGCCTATTTCTTTCGGGATTAACTTTAAAATTTTCATTATAATTTTAAATTTTATATGTTTCCATTGCTTGAAAATGATAACTAAAAAATCGAAATGTCGGAATAAATATCAGAATAATCTATTAAGAAAAAATAAAAATATAATATATCAGTTGCACTTTTAGTGGAACCGGTTTCGATTCCAGAAAAATTACAAAAATAGGTTCCCTTCCAGTTTCTTTAAATTTTAAGAGAAGAGTGTCTAATTAGGTGAATTCCAGTTCCAAACTCTGGCTAAAACTAAAATAATCGAAACTTTTAATTTGGACGAAGGATTAAGCATGATGTATTTGATGCTCTGTTGAATGTTTTCGGTCCAACTAGCGAGCCAGGTAACGTTGTTATCGTGACGCACCTCTTTCCACTTGTGTCCTTTTGGGGGTTGCGGTATTTTACCTTTTCTGATTAAACAATTTATTTACGTAAAATTATAATTAAAAAAGTATTATTTTAACAAAAATGCTATGATTTTTTATGATAATAATGTGACTAGAATTAAACCGCGATTAATTAATGGAATTTATAGCCTTGTATTTTGACTACAATAAAATTGATCTTATTATTTTAAATTTACCCATAATTAATTGTTTTCTCGTAGCCTTTTATGATGAAATATTGGCAAAATTTAAATATATAGTTTGAAAAGTTACATTTCAAGTTTAAAAATGATACTATCTAGATTTGGAAAGATACATTAAATTTAGTTTGTGATTATTTTACAAAGTAAAATTGTACAATAAAATAATATTAAATAAAGTGTAATTCAATAAAAAAAAGTGAGGGTGCATACTTTCCGCAATTTATAATAACATCCTCGGGAGTGATTCGTTTTTTGAGCCTGCCCATTTTGGGATGATCTCCGCGTCCTCTAAAAAGACCGGGCGGTTCTATCTTATAATTTCCTATCTTTTGTGGTCGACCATCTAAAATGCATACCCCGTATTCGTTTTGCATATCTTCCTGTTCCTTTTTAAGGCGCTTTTTTCAAAAGAAAAAATTCAATTCAATTGAGAAAGATAATTGAGCTTTTTAAGATTGCAGAGCGATCTGAACTGGTTCAGACATTTTCGTCAAGTAAGACCTAATAACACTTCCTGATTTGAATTCAATATTAGACTTATTTTAATTTCTTTAAAAACTCACTACTCTTTTTCTTAAATAGATTTATATTTAGCCTTTCTCGGGGGAGGGGGGGGGGGGGGTTAAATATTTTTAAAGTTTCAAATGTGGGAAATGTCAAAACCTGAAATATGTTGATTTCACACTTTATATGGTTTTTAAAAAGTGGGGGTATATGTTAAATAAGGGAAGATTACAACGAGATTTTAATTATCAAATGAATGTGAGTATCTATGAAGGATAGACAAGTAAGAAATTGCGAAAGGAAAAGGATTGGAATAGAGGCGATCGAAATGTTGATGAGAAGAAATAGACTGAGATGGTATGGGCATGTCGAGCGGAGGACGAAAGATGATTGGGTAGATGCACGTTGTTGGAAGTAAGAAAATCAAGGCCACTGGGAAAATTCAAGAGGTCCAGTTATAACGGAAGATATGAGAAAAATGTCTCATACATAGCGATGTTCAGGAACGTAAAAAAATAGAGAAGGGGAATCAAAGAGGAAACTAGTTTACCCGGGCAAATTTAAAAATCAAAATAAATCCCAAAGCTAATTTTTTTAAATTTTACTTTTGAAAACTAATAATGATGTATTATGAATGATATAATTGTCCTGTGTTTAAATTGTTTGATTATGAAAAGTCAAGATTACAAAAAAAATCAACGTTTTATAAAAAAAAATAATATTATCCATTATTCTCCTTTTACCAATTTCTCTTCTTTTGGCATGGCCTTCCTTTCCTCCGTCTTCAATTTGTAATATTCTGCTATGGAGGTGAAATCGCATTTGTTCAAATCCATAATTAAAGCCCGTTCATCCTTGTTCATAACCTTTGTTTTTAATTTAAAAATATTCATAAAATAATTTAAAACATTGAAATTAACTAAAAGCTACGATTACAAAGTTTTTCATTTTTAACTTCACTTTCTTTTTTTTTCATGAAAGAAATAAAAACTAATTTACATCGCCATGTTGGCGGAATGTTTTTTTTTAATATATGTACTATGTATAAACTTTCTTATTCAGAAAAATCAAATTGCTTAAATGTGGATATTGATAAACGGAAAAGGAAACATTTATGAATTTCTTAAAATAATCAATAATGTATTTTTTTTAAAATATATTTACGATAGTTTCTCGTTTTTTATTACCTTTCTCCAATCTTTAAAAAAATTCTCGTTGAATTTAGATTTCGTGACATAATCGTGTTCTAACATTCGCGCGTAAAAGCCAGCAACTTCCTCGGCGTCTTGGGATAATTTCATTATTTTACCTAAATTATTGTATTTTTTTTGTCCCCACAAAGTTATTTTATTAACAAAACTCTCCCTTTTTTCCCTCCTTCCCATACCCCGCTCAATCAAATTAGCCACGAATTTTCTCGTCTTTTTTTAAATATTTGTTTGAATTTCAAGCGAATCTGCTATTTTAGCTGTGCATCTTTGACGAGTACAATTATTAATTCCTAAATTAGGCGAGAGAATTAGTAGTTAATTTATTGAGCTAAGAGGAAAGGGGGTATTATATTATTTTCCTTTTTTTTCTTCCAAAAATGGAAAAAATTACTTTATATGCTAATATAATTTTTTTTTTAAAGAACAGCTAATTTTACTTTGGAAAATCATTATTTAAAGCCAAAATTTTAATATAATGTTACGTAATTTTCTAGAACGAACGTGGGGATCATTATTTTTCTTTAAAAGAAAATAAAATTTTCAGTTATCAAAAATTAACAATAATTAGTACAAAAACCATTTACAAACATTTATCATTGTTTTTTTAATAATAAAAATAATGTTTACCGTCGTATTTAAATCTCACGTCATTCGGTAAAGGTATGTAATCAGGCGCAAAAATTGGTCCCTTATGTTCCAATGTATTCCATTTAACTCCATCCCCTGTCGAATCTTCCTCCCACCTTATTCGAGTTTTATAAGTAATTTATTTTATAAAATGGCGAATTTAAATTTTTAAAAGTAATAGCTATATTAATCCTAAATACTCAATTGTTTTTCTCTTATTTACAAAATCGTACAAGATGGAAACATTTTTATAATATTACATAATGATTAACTTAAAAAGTGTTTTCTATAGTCAGGTTATATAGAAAATAGAAGTTTGGGGATATTAATACTATCAAGCATTGAATCTGTTATAGCTGTGGCGGGGCAAAAAGGAACTAGAGGAAGGAAATTACAAGGCTGGGGGGGGGGGTCAGCCTTATTATAGTTTAGATGATTTAAAGCGCCCTCCTGACAGTATTGTAATTAGGAGTGTTCCGATACCACTTTTTGGAGGCCGATCCGATCCGATATTCTAGATACTAAATTGATATCGGCCGATAACTGATCCGATATCATCTAATTTTGTATTCTGTAAAGATACCAATGGTTTTAATTTGTAATATACTTTTTATTAGTATAACATCTATATTTTAATTATACCATAACTTATGTCATTTAAATATATTATAATGATCAGTTATAGTTTATATGCAATTCTATTGCCTAAAAGTATATAAAATATTTTTATTATAAATCACTTTTATATAATAAGTAACAACTTTAATCTATATACATAATAAGTAATAAACAAATATATTATTAAATTTAAATAAATATTTAAAATAATATTTAACATTAATATATCGAAGATTTCTTTTTAGAAATATCAAATTTCAATTTATCGAAATCAGCCTGCGGCGATGGTAACTGTCAATATCACCAGCTTCACTAAAAACGATTTAAAATAGACAATTATAAATGATTAACTATTGTTATTATTAAATAAATATGGATTTCGATTTATTTATAAAAATAAATGATTTTCGATATAACTTTTTAAAAATTTATAACATTTTATTTTTGTTAAGGACGCCATTTTATATCGGATCGGTAAATTTTTTAATATTGGCCGATAACCGATATTATATAATAGGTGAACTATCGGCCCGATCCGATAAAAAATATCGGTACATCCTTAATTGTAATGAATAAATTTTGGCGAAGTAAGGTAAGTATTTACCATTTCCAAACGTGGGCGCCATCTGCACCTTCGTTCCCTTCCTCCTTCTTAATTTTGGTCTTCGTCGTGAGGGTAGATTTTTTCCCGATCGGTTCTTCGTAATCGGATTTTTCTGATTTTATTTTTTTCACAGGGGATTTGATCTCGGAAGATGACTTGGAGTCGCCGTGCCTTTTTTCGGTCTTTTGTCAAATAAGTTGACAAATTAATTTAATTTTTTTTATAAAAAAAATATATTATATACTAATGCCATATCAGAGCATTCTAAAGTATCTGTGCAGAACTTTGAAAGATATCAAGCCATGAATAGAACATTACAAAATATAGTTTCCAAAAAATTTGAATATTTTTGAAAGTTTGGACATCACATTTTTTACCGTCTGCTTAAGCTCATTAATTATATTAATATTCCGAATAATTTCCATATTCTTAATAAAGTAATAACTTTATAATATAATTATATTTAAAACTAATATATTTTATAGCTATAAATTTATATTTCAATTTTTAAGACTACCACATTTCTCAAATTTTAGAACGCTCTGGGCTGGGATGGCCTGGAATTTGCTTAAATCTTAGGATGAGAATATTAAAACAATATCTCATTAATTTTTCCATTTCTTTATTAAATATTAATTTAAAAAATTTTATAAAAAAAGCTGGGAGGTGAGAATAAAAATAGAGAATTAGTCTAATTCTCTCCCTTAAATAGATGAATTAAGAGTAAACTTTTTCAGCCCAAAAATGAAACACATACCTTAATGACCACTTCCTGTTTTCTTTCCCGATCTTTGTGCTTCTCCTTGTGCCTATCATGTTCTTCTTTATGTTCTTTATTCTCCTTTTTAATCTTCCCACCCTCTCTGTATTCTGAGTGTGTCTGCTTTTTATTTTCCCTATGTTCGTTTTTTATTTCAATATCAACTTTCGGTTGCTTAAATTTAAGACTTAGGGGTGTATCATCATCATCTTCGCTTGCTGGAGCAATTTTTGGCCTCTTTATTTGCTGGCTCGAAATATGATCCTTCTTGGGAGTTTTGGGAGGGGAAAGTAGAGCTTCTGATTTAATTTCGATCGAATCATCGTTTCTTGGGCTTCCCCCTTTATATTCTTGGTGAACATGAAGGCCTGATTTTTTGGTGGGGGTAGAGAGGTGGGGTTTGCTTGAGCTTGATTCATCTTTAACTGTTTGGTCCTAAATGAGAGCATTAATATTTATATTAAAGACAATAAATAGATATATTGATACATCGTTTAATAAATATCTCTGCATTTAAAATGTTTTATTAAAAATTACATCAAAAAAACTAAATATAAGTTTTAAATTGAGGAGGTTTATTAATCATTTTGAGAAGTCAATAAATTTTAATAATATTAAAAAATTTAGTGTTATATGTCTTTTTAAGTTTAATGTTAATCAAAGTAAAGGTCAAAATTAAGCCCAACATAGTCTAAATTTGAAGAAAAAAATTTCTTTTCATGTATGGGATTTCTAAAAATTTATTATCATGCCCAGCCTCTTGAGAATTTTTTGGCCTGGCCCAGATTGTTATTTTTTGGCCTAGCCATGAATTTTTAAAATTTCTTTATTGTAAATAGTTTTGGCTATATTTTGTAAACTGTTTCAAAGAGAAATTGAAATTGTGGGCAGTCAATGAAAATCAAATGCCCCATTGATATAATTAAAATTTATTACTTTAAAACAGGTCTAGCATGAATTTTTAATTTAAGCCCATCCTGTATTTTTAAAATAATACCATTTTTAGCCCAATTCTGGGCCTGATCTCTAATATTTATTATAAAATATTTTCAAAAATTTTATAATTTTTTTAGCAAAATTAGTATAAAAATATGGATATTAAAAAATTTTTACTTTCAATTTTGAGAGCTTATTCAATTTTAATGTTAAAGGTTCATCATCCTCTGACTCTGTTTCACTATGAATTTTTTGTTTCTTATGAGATGATGAATTGATAATTTTTGTTTTGTTATTGTTTTTGTCTTTGCTACTATTATGAGATGATAAATGTGGTTTTTTGGGAATTTTTGGTAATTGATCAATGCTTTTATAATATGAATTAGGATCATTAATAGTATGACTTTTGTTTGGAGAAAGATTATTGTTTATATTATTAAAAGTATTCCTAAGGTTTGACTGCATTCTATTATCTGTGGTTGATGTAACCAACTGAGAGTGATTATCTTGCATATTGTTAAACCTATTATCAACATTATTAAGATTTTCATTGTTTATTGCTTTATTTAGAAGAATATTTGGTGTGGTCTATTTGAAAGATTAAAATAGAATATATTCAAATCAATTAATATACATATAAATATATATATTAGAGCTTAATTATCATATATATTATCCATTTCATTTAAATATTTGTTATAAAATATAATTAGTCAATGATAACGTCATAAACATTATCTCTCATTATGTTTACAAAGGGATATATAAATAATAATGGGTATTAAATATAAAGATAGGGCAATCGCCTCTTTTATTCTAGCCTCTTGAATTTATATAATTTAAAATGTAAAAATTTTGAATAACATATAATATAAAATATTTTACCTCAGAAGATAAATTCGAAGGAAGTAGGATTTCACTGTGAATTTGTGTTGCAGTCTGACTTAAAGAAATTGAATTACAATTTATTGTGTTATTATTAAGTGAATCATTTTGCATTTGTATATTTGATGCATTGTTTGATAAATATTGCCCTTCAATATGATTCTGATCATAATTTAATTGAGCAGACTGATTTGAGGCATCATAACTTTCGGTTCTATTATTTTGGTAATAATTGATAGAAGTATTTGAATAAGATTCACCGTAAGAATTTTCAGAATTCATAGTTTTTACCGATATTAAATTAATATTAGAAGGTACTGGCATGACTTCATAAATAAGTTTTCTATCAAATCTCTAAAAAAAAAAGATAAAAAAAAAATTAATGAATGATTTGGATGTTAATATAACATGAAACTATATAACATAATGCTAAAGAATAACCAGTTTGCAAATCAATACCCCAACTAAATGGAATGGAATATATAAATAACTATGTAATAGTTTTAGATTCTTTATCCCAAGATGGGGGTGGGAGAGGTTAGAAATAGCTTCTTCATTATTCATTATAATGTTGGAGTGTGCTAGAAGGGGGGGGGGGGTTAAATGCAATCACATAATGGAATAAATAAATATTTCCACGATTATTTCCTTCTATAAATATTTATATAAATCTTCCTATACCATCCTTAATCCCATATCTTTTAATTTCAATATTGATCAAAATCTTTAAATAATTAATTATAATAATATTTATATTTTATATATGAATCATGATATACCATTCCGAGCAATATAAAGCAAAAATATTATTGAAGAAATTAGTGATAGAATAGTATTACTAATTAAATTCGTCAAAATTAACAATATCAGGTATATCATCAAAATAAATAAAATTTCTTAAATCTATAAAAAAAACTATAATTAACGATTTTTAAATCCTAATTCAAATGAGGTCTCAGCTAGAATTTTTAAGTTTAATAATTAAAATTTGGCAAAAATATTTTCGCCCTAATTAGATTAATTAGGAGTCAAAATGATGGTAAAACATAATTTTGACATGAATTGGAAAGAGTACGCGAAAATCGTCTTATATAAATATTTAAAAACATTTAAGTATTTCAAAAATCAGGGAATTTTGTGCAGTAACATTTTGCCTATGTGTATTTATATAAAATGCCCTTTTCCCGAGGTATTTTCTATAATTAAATAATTTGATACTTTACTTGACGAGAATCAATAATTTCAAGAAATGATTTATATTCATAATATAATTAGTTCAATAAATAGCTCGTATATTTATAGAAAATCTAAGCTATTTATTGGATAATACTTAAAAATCCTGGAGAATGACAAGAGAAAATACTAAATATTCAAGATTACTAAGATATATGTAAAAATAATATATTGAAATAATAAGGATTGAATTAAAAGAAAGTCTTGTTAATATAGGTAGTATTATATAATTCAAGAAACTGGACCCGAAGTTCTGAACCCGGGTTCCTGGCTTGTATTTCCAAACATGGACCTGAAAATATTTACCCTCTATTTTTATAACCCAAACGACATTTGAAAAATATATGGATAAGTCACAGTCTTGTGGCTGAAAGATAAAAGCTAGGATTTATTTAGAACATTTGACTAATGGGTATAGAGCTTACCTCAAATGGAAATTGGTTGTGATGGTAAAAGCGTTGATAAACAAAATATTTTTATAAAAAATTTTTTAATTAGCTATATTATTGAATTTTTTATAAGAAAATTCATTTTATAAATTAAATCTTGGATTGTTTAAAATTTTCATGTTTTTCTAGTTTTGTAAATCTTCCCATTTTTGTACATTATACCCCAGTTGGTATTGGTATTTTAACAATATAAAATGAAATAATTTTTTTATATTCTCATACCCTTGTTTCATTTATATATTTGCTTTTGGGAGAACTTAGAGAACTCTCTAACTTATATCTTTTTACTAAAGAACCAGATATAAAATCTTGATTCATTTCCTGAATTATATCAAGATCACGGCATTTTGTTTAAACTTATAAAAATACGCCAAAATTACATAAGCAACAATAAAATAAATATATTAGCATTGGGCAAAACGAAACTAGTCATATGTTGGAACATTGTCAAAACAAATTTTTCAAAAAATAATATTTTTCAATAATTTACTACAAATTAATAATATATTTCAATTTTAATTTCAAGAAATTTAACTTACGTTGTTCTTAAATCTAAAAAATTTATCAACATTTAAAAATATAACCCATATAAAAGACAATTAAAAATTAACAAATTTCTTTAGGGATATAAAACATAGGTCAAAGTAAATAATATTCAATATTAGTTATTCAACTATTTATTAGATTTGATACTAATAATTATAATCACATTAAATCCTTCATCTATGCTAAATATAGTGATGCATAGAAGAGCATTGAAGAAATATCGTAAAACACTAAATTTATTTTTCTCTTCTGTTTGTAAGGTGGGTATAATTTCTTTGCTTGGAGCTAAATGGAAGAGAGAAGAAAAAATTTGAAAAATATGATAATACTATGTAAATATTTTTCTTTTTTAAAATTTTAAAACACATTTTACCCTATCCTAAGGTATCGATGCAAAAAATGAATGGGACGAAATATCATTAATACCATTTTCTGATTTCCTCCTAGTCTTTCCTCGGGATTATATTATTATAATATATATAATTAATATTTTAAATAAGCTAATTATATTATCAAACCATATTGAGGAATCCATTCAAGGCGGCTTCGACTGATACACGCCATGGACCTGAAAGTATTGCTGAATTTAACAAAAAATTAAACAAATTACATGTTATTAATAATAAATATAATTTTAAATAGCTAATTATTTGTAAAAGAAATAAATAAGTAACATTAAAAGTGTAATTTATTGAACCTAATATTAGCGAGAGCTAGCTTCATCAGACACTAATAAATCGACTGGGTTAATTAGTAGTTCGTAGAGAACAACTCCGAACGAATACCTATCTACGCTATAATCTCATAATTAATATAAAATCTTTGTATAAAAAAGAATATATATTTATCTAATAATTTTTAAATTTTAGCTCTAATTTAAATATAACTTTTGTTACTAATTACTAAAATTTTTAAAGTTAGGTTAAAAGATATTTAAATAAATTTTATATTAAAGATAGGGAGTTATGTAAAAATAAATAACATACTTACCATAGTATTCATTACGCATAATCTCGAACACCATGTAAAAGATTGGAGCCATTAACTTTGTCGCCTTTTGCTATGCCCTCCTAATTTAAGTATTTACGTGAGATACAAACTAGTATTAGCTCGGCTCAACAAATTTAACTACGAATTTTCTCGCAGCATTATATGAATCAATATGATTTTTACACAAGATTAATAAGAAGAATTAATTACAAGTACTAGAAATGGTAATTTATGAAATAATAAATTCTTAGCAATATTTCTTTCGTTTAAATAATTCCTTTTCAAGGAATGACAAAATGTTTAAGATATTCTAATCGGTTTCCGGAATTTATTCCTGGTAATTTAAAATTAAGTTTTCAAATTTTGGTTCCTAAATTTATATTTGTTTCGTGGATCCAAGTATTTTCCAACCAAACTCTGATTAAAATAAAATTGTTATCATATACATGTGCCGCCCCATCATGCAATCAAAAATCGAAAACTATAAAGGATACTATTTATTTGTATATTTTAAAATGGATAATGTCTGCTTAGGCATTTAATATATATCAATGATTTTGATATTATTACCGCAAATAATAAATATAGAAAATCATTCGCATGAAAATTCTTTGGGACTTTTGTATTTAAAACGAGATTGTAAAATTTCAATAAATTCTGAAAAATACTTTTGTTGGTTAGAAAGGGTTAGATTAGGTAGTTTTATGAACACAACTTATGTTTAGTCCAAGTTATACATTATTTAGTGACATTAGATGGTACTTAAAAAAAATACCTCTTGAAAATCAAACGAAAGAATAAGAGAGATAATAACTGCTCTAAGATATAAAATGGTAGATTGAATTTTAGTAAATCAGAAAAAATTCTCCAAATACGATAGATCGAACATAAGAACTGCTAGATCTTGATAGCACAGATCTATATTCTGATATTCGTTTATAAATGATTAAAATACAAAATATTATTTATTTAAAAATTCGTTTTTTTTCATTAAAGATCTAATGATATGCTTATATATATCTGTTTGTATTTATTTATTTCTAACTATATTTAATTTTTTTTAAAAAAATTTAATTAACAATTTTAAATTAAAAATTTAATACATTAAATTTTAAGTTGGTGCACCGATTAATATCACCCAAAATAAAAGCCGCCAAAAACAGCGCACTGCTGGCCATAGATAGTTTTATCGGCACAAATGTCTATTATCGAATCTCTTCAAAAATAATTATTTTATATACCTTCAATATGCAAAGTTGCCTAGTTTCACATGGCCTTTCCGGTCTAAAAGTATACTTTCCGGTTTGATGTCACGATGAATGATCCCTTAAAAGATAAAAAATATATATTGTAATTGAATTTGTAAAAATTTTATATTAAAATAATGTTTATTAAAAGATGACTAGAAATTAGCTAAAGATAGATTACTTTATCTAAAAGTAACTGTTGCAGTACCAGATATATTTTATATAAAAATAACTTAAAAAATGTACTTAATTACGTTAAAATTAACAATAATATATAATAAATACAAGAATATCATTTTAAAAAATATATTTTAAAAACCGTGGTCGTGTAAATATTTTATGGCAATCACGATTTCGGCGGAATAAAATATAGCGTGATCTACAGTCTTCCATATCTTTTAAAAGGGATCTAAGATCACCGCCAGAAGTGATATCCCTCACTATTATATAGCTACAAAATAAAATAATATGAAATGTTTTTTTTTGAAAGTTCATTCAGACTTTTTAAGTTAACTTTTTAAAAAACGCTCATACCATTAAAAGATAGGAGAAAAAATTATCTCTTATTACATTAAAGTGATTAGCATGAGGAATATTCAATTAATATATAGAATTCTCATTTTCTTAAATATTTTCTAAAACTTTTATATTTTTATACTTTCTCATTAAATCAGTGATAAATAATAAAATACTTACGTGGGATAAAATGCAAAAAGTCCAATCAAGAAAGGATGTTTTTTGGCTTTAAGAACATTGATTTCTGTTTGAATCCCGACGGAAACCATATTCTATAAAAAATTATGATTTACAATCCAAATTGGAAAAAAAGCTTATAGTGCAATCACATTAAATAAAAATATAAATAAATATAAACCTCAACTCTATTGAAATATCGTGTATTGAGAAACTTTAAGGTGGGTGGAATTCTTTAGTTTGACTTTGAATTCCATCCCAAATGTTCCACTTCCTACGACTCCGTGACATCTAAATTCGAACAATTTCGGCTTCGGTGTTCTTAGAACTTTATTAATAAAAAATTGGTATATAAATTAACCAAACCTGAGAAAAAATATATTGTAGAAATAATGGTACATAAATTTAAACTCTTCTCTAATTTCCTGGAATCATGGTCGCTAAACTATGCGGGAAATATTTGTTGTACGATTCTATGAATATTAAATAAAAATAAAAATTTTTATACAGAAATTTTAATAATTTTAAGATATTATGAATGAAATATCGACTTTGATAAAATTCCCAGTAATAATTTGCAAAACTTAAATGGGCAGAAAGATTATTGGTAAATTAATATTTTATAAATTCAATTAAACTTTGAGGGAAAAAAATAGGTAAGCGAGTCAAATATTCAGAGAATAAAGTATTTGATTATCTTTATAATTTGTCAAGTCGCGTATGTTCATTTTGGATGTTCGATTAGCATTAAAACCTAATTCACTATATTTTGAATATTTTATTAAAAAATTATTATTTAATTTTAGCAAAAAATATTATATTCAAGATTCTAACTAGACATCTTCTAAATAAAAATACTTGCATCTTTTATTTTTCTCTCTTAATTTCTTTCTTCTTTTTTTAGCACAGCTAATAGATTAATTAGACATTATGCCAAAAATAAATTATTTGTTATACGATATGCGATTCTATTATATTCGTATTCTAAGATCTCCAACATAAATATTATTTTTCTGAAAATTCTAATCTAATACATAAAATGATATGGATTCGGTCTAATTATTCGTTATAATTTTATCCTAATCATTTTGTTAAATTTAAATTCATATTTACTTTTCAAAATATTTTAAATAATTTGATTTTGAAAAAAACGAATGAAATAATAGTTTTTTTTATCCATCTTCACCTTTTTATCACTTTATTAGCTACACTAAAAACAACTAAATCCATCTAATTTACTTGAAATACAAAGGTTTTAATCTATATCAGCATCCGCTCTCATCGCAACCATCCAAGTTAATATCGGGAAATGTATCTTTTTTCTTGTTATTAAGTTTCGCGCATTTATGCTTGTCTAATATCGTACAAATCATAAGCATATCTATAATATTTATTTTACCCTATTTCTGAGCCGTTGGAGATTTATCTTTGTGTTTGAGGCAATAACAAATTTGCATCATTAAGATTAATGTCAGGAATTTTCATCGCATTGATATTGCGAATGTCATCATTAAAATTCGTTCAGTGTTGTTAAAATAGCACGCTACCGCGCTACTTTTTTCAGTAGCGGTAGCTTTAGCTGACTACTTACTTAGGACAAAACTATTTTTATTTTCTATTATACAATTATATAAAATGAATTATTTATTGCTTGATTAGCCATAATTTAAATTATCTAAATTTACAACACAATCTATAATATTAATATATAGTATTAATATAAAATTCAAAGTTAATATATTATTAATTACCTTGTGTATAATAATTATATTTTTAAAATCTTTATTTACCATAATTTAATGCTATATTTTAATATTTTTTTTATAAATGAATTTAAATCTCAGATAAATTTAAATTTTGAAAATTAAAAAGCTATTCTTCTTATTTTATAATTAATACAATCGCTTTATATAAATTAGATTTCCAGATCTGTATGATGATGATAATGTAATAGCTGGTATCGTTCATCCTAGTTTCAAGTTAAATTGGCCATACATTAATTTGACTGAATCTAAAGGGCAACTTGATAGGCTGACGGTAACGTTAAAAAATGTCATGCCTAACCACGATACTAATACTATAGTTAGATCTAAACCGCGGCCTTCCATAGACGATTTTTTTGAATAATAATAATAATATTATTGAACATCTAGATGCTTTTTTAAAATCTAAAAATACTCATTTAAATATCTTTGATGATTTTTTTCATATAAAAAGTGTGTTTATTAAATTTAATACTGCGTTGCCCTCAAGTGCTAGTGCTGAACATATTATTTAGTATAGCAAAGCTTATACTTTCTGATGATCGCTCTAGACTTGGGGGACAGTACCGAAATGTTATTATTATTAAAGTGCAATATTGAATAAATTATATATATATATGTAACAAATTGTAGTCATGTTTTTATACCAATATTTTATTTGTGGAAATAAAGTTATGTAAAAAATATTTTTGAAAAAAATCAAAATAGCGTAAAAAGTAGCTTTAGCTACCCTTTTTTGAAAGTAGCTAATAGCGAGCTACTCATTTATAAACTAGCGATAGCGCGCTACTTTTAAAAGTAGCGTTTAACAACACTGCATTCGTTTCTCCCACTCCTTTCAGATCAATGTATTTTCTCTTTACCAATTTTTCAAAGAACTGTCTAATTTTTCCTTTTTGTTTAACTAATAAAATTAAATTAAAGTCTATAATATATATTAACTTTTTTTAGAAGTTGATTTTCAGATTTTTTTTTATCACCAAATAAAAATTTCATCATAATATTTTTCATGTTAGATTTTACAAATTAATTTTATATAAAATGATACAAGAAGAATATTTGCTTATAATTCAAAGATATTGATTATTGAAAGATAAACTGATTGTTAAACTAAAACTTAATATTACTAAAATTTGTTTGTTGAAACCTCTTATGACAAATCAAATTTCATAAACCAAAATTAGAAATTTGAACATGCAACCCGAGAAACTGGGCGAACCGGAATTATAACCTAGAATTATTAAATTATGTGAAATACACCCAAAATGTGAATTTATCTTACAATAACCTTTTCCTGATTTGGTTCTAACAACTGCAAATAATCAAATTTCTACTATTTTTTGTACCATTGAGATAAATAAAAAGCTACTCGATTATTCTCGTATCATGTCAATTGAGCAAATATAATTTTAAGTGAATTTAAAAATTAATTATGCGAAATTCTTTTCGTTAAACATTTATTTCGAAATCAATATCTCTAACCCCGTTATGTCTAATTTATTTCCTCAAAATTTGAACCTCGAACACTTGTTGCGAATATATTTTGGTAATACATTTACCGATCCTTTATAACGAATATATTTCCGCGAATAAATATGCCCGAAGTTAGCATCAAATATACGGGAAAAAATGCATATATTGCTGAGTATTTATTTCAATCTTAATTCATAAGCATGAAATATCTGAAATGCATCAAGTAACTTATTCTTACAAGTAAGCAAGAGTTGACTCAAATTTGACCTTTATCTAATGAGATAAAAAAATAATTTAGCAATTTCCTATTGATCCATTATACATGGTTGATGCAATCAAAAGTTTGCAAATATCCTGAGGTAGAATCCTTTCCCTTCCTTCTTAGGTTTTAAAAAACCTGCAGCTAAGAATTTTAAAAGATTGATTTTGTTATGTAAAATTTGATTTTCTCAGAATTCTTTTATTATATTTTTGTTTTATTTTAATGATTTTTTTTAATTATGTATAAATAAGAATTAAAGGTGAATCATTTTAAATCTCATATTTCCCCAGAAAATCGTTCTTTTCTTTTTCTGAACCCTGGGAACATAAATCTCAGGACAAATTCTTCAATATTAATACATTTTAAAAGTTTTTTAGAAATTCACGCCACATTTTTTCCTTGGTTGCTTAGATTATAACTACCAACCGCTAAGATTATCGATTTATTTTCATCTAAATCCTCCTTACTTTGATTCGTATCGTCAGATTGCTCACTCAATAAATGAATGTTCTTTTATAATCTTTATTCTCCAGTATTGACTAAATTGTTTTATATAAATAATTATAACATTTATAATTACAATTAATAATTAAATATTATATGATTTCTTAAAATAAAATTGATTTGATACTTGTTTGTTCCTTAGATATTAATATCGGAACAAAATTATTTAACACAAATGAATATGAAGACAAAAAATGTTATATACAGTTAATTAAACAAAGTCTAAACAAAATAAAAATATTTATAAAGATCGATTACAGGGGCTGAAAGTTTAGCATAGTATAGCTGTAAAAATTTAGCAATTTTTGATCAATTAATTTTAAAAGGATGAATAAGCTTTGAAAATTAGAAATAATATAATCAACAGCTTTCTTTATACTGAAATGAATAAAATTTACTTATTAGTATTTCGATTAAAATATTTTGTTTTTTAAATATTAAAAAATATTTCTTAAAAACATATTTTGACAAAATATTCCAACTTTATTTTCATTTGAGCGTCTAAAAATTTATTATAGTAATGTGATAACGTGATCATCGAACTTTGAAATGTATGTTAATTTAATTTATTTCTCCAAGTTAATTTCTTAGTTGTAGAATTTTTATTCTATCTTAAAAAAGCCGTGCGATTTTTGAGAGTAAGTTAGTTCCAACTGGGAAAGTTACAAGCACTCTTGTTGATCACATCACACGCCATATTAACAGGTTATCAATAGAAATGGCAAATGATTATAAAAAATATTAATTATTATTCCTAATAATTAAATAAAATAAATAATTTAAATAGAATAATTATATCCCAAAACCAATTATTTATTTTGTCTTCAATTAATACAAATATCAAGTATAACATATTTACAATTTATGTTTTTACCCATTTTCTTCAAAAATATATAAAATTTTAAAATTGACGATTATGGCCATTGTCACATGGTACATCCTCATTTAAATTTTAATTATTGACACTTTTATATTATATATCCCCGTTTAATTTTAATTTAACATGTTTACAATTTATATTTTTATCCATTTGATCAAAAGAATTTAAAAATAACCATTAAAACAATTGTCACTTTTTATTGTACATCCTTATTTAAATTTTAATTTAACATGTTTACAATTTATATTTTACCCATTTGCTTCAAGAAAATTTTAAAAAGCTAAAAATTAAGGATTATTACAATTGTCACTTTTCTATGGTTCTTCTTCCCTAAAATCTCAATTTAACATAATTTATTATTTTACCCATCTGCTTCAAAAAAATTGAAAAAAGTTTAAAAATACGATTATGACAATTATCACTTTTCTATGGTTCGCTTAAATACTATTGATTTCTTTATGATCTATATTTTTACTCATTTGCGTTAAAAAAACCTTAAAAGTAAGGATTATATGACAATTGTCTCTTTTTTATGGTTCATCTTCACTGAAAACTCAATTTATTATGTTTACAGTTTAATTTTTACCTCGACTATACACTGATGCAAGTTGGGCTTTAAAATTCAATATATATAGGTCAACCAAGCTGACTAAATTGTTCGACTAAGCAGACCATATTGAAACTTTAGTCGACTATCGATTAATTTAGTCGCTAACGTTTTTAGTTGATTTTCGACTAGTCATAGTCGGAGGAACTCAACTAATTAACAACACTAAACAATTATTACGATATTGGCCTTGTGATATTAAATTCGCTATAATATTCGCGAAATAGTTTTTGCTATTATGCCTTTCGATAATGATTTCGCTATAAAATTTTCATGATTATTGATTCTTTACTTGTAATGTATTCGCTTTAAAGGTTTTGCTATAAATAATTCCCGATATTGTCTTCGCGGAAAAGTATTCGCTAATGTGGATTCGCGATAAAATTCATTCGCAATAAACGACATTGTGATAAAAGTTTCACTGAATTGACATGAAACCCCTCTTTCTAGTATCAAAGACTCTAAACCAGGAATAAAACAAACTAGTTTCATTCTCAAATTATTTTGTTAATCTAGCAAGTCGATCCATCGGGCCCGACCAGTTGGCTCATCAGGCCCATTGGATCAGATCTGATATATAGCTAAATAGGTTGGCTTGGGTTTAAGGTCCTTTTTTGGCTTAAACCTTTCTTGGTTTTCGGCCAAGTCGACCCAACAATCACTAGTGTTTACTTATAATAGTATGATTAAATAAATATAGATTCTACAATAGTTTGAATTGTTTACATAATTAATTAATGATGAGTTACAATTTTAAGTACCCGAATGAATTAATATATTTTATTAAAAATAAATTAATATCAATTTAAAATGAAATCCTTATTTGACAATAATAGTTTAGTTTTCATTGTAATATCTTATTTATTAATAAATATTCTATATATTTTTTAACAATTCACATATATAATTCCAATAGTACCAAAATATTTTAGTCGGATCTGGATTTTAATCCAACCTACATGATAATATATATGAATTATATTTGTTTTTTAGTCAGATTCTAGCAGCAGTGATACTGAGTTTATAGATGTGAAATATTATTTTATTATTACTAAGTGGAAGGTTAACGAACAAATAGTTTTTTGTAATATATACTTTTTTTATTAGTATGTTGCTTGTTTTTAGAAAATTAACTATATTATTTTAAAAAATGTATCGGAATAAGATTTTTACAAAATATAAGTTTGCGAATAGTAAAGTTTAACAAAATAAGATCTGTAAATATTTAATAACATCAATTATTCAATTCATCTAATACTAACTAATGATTCTTTTTCTTGATATAGATCTAGATAGGCATAAAACAATAAAGCGAAAGAAGCAATGATCCAATAAAGGGCTTTTATACATACCTCGATGGAAGACCGATTATCTCGAACCACGTGTAGATATATATTATCCTTTAGCAAAATCAAATTATATCTTACTCAAATTATAGCACTTCCTGGAGTTGGGTCGCTTCTCAGATGGATTAAACGGTTTGATTTTATAAAACAGCGAATTCTATATTCTATCTAGAAAAATATTACTAAAACCTGAAGATTTTGCTTATAGGTGGCACAAAGTTTGTATTGGGCATTTAAATTTTGATTATAATCAGTTGTATCAATAAATCATGGTTTAAATTATTTTACAATTTTGTTCATTTTCAGATTATCTTATGGCATAAAATAATTATATATTTTGGATTTTCGAATCATGTTGAGAATATTTTTAAAAATTCAGGATGGGGAAAATTCTTTCCTTTCTACAAGTTGAATCGAATATAAAATTTTCCTTTCTTTAGTTCTTTAACATTTATAATTTTTATTTGACAAATTAGATCATAGTGTTTATATATATATTTTATCAACAATTCCCATTAAATGCAAGGAAGCAGAATTATACTATTTAAATCTAAATCTGTCATTCTTTAACTACAAGATTGATTAAAATCACGATATAAATAAAATAATAATAAATCGACTTAAAAAAGAAATTATATTCTTGTCACCTTACTTGCCTTTCTAAAAATTAGAAGCAAATAGTATTTTTTTTTGAAAGGCTTCTCTTTTTCTACGATAAACATAACCATATCAAACCAGTTTTGATCTCTATGTTTTTTATAAACATGTTATTTTTTTAATATACCATTATCACACTTTTTTCTTATAAATAGGAACGAAAAACTAAACATGGACATTTTAAGTTTCGACTATATGGATTATAATTAGACCTGCGCGCCGACAGATTTATCGGTGGCGGCGTTTCTTTTTTTTAAACGATCGGCTGGCGGCGGCGAATCGATTTAGACACCGCCATAAAAATCGGCGGCGACGCGGCGGCGTCATACACTTTTCTAACCTCAATTTTTTATTTAAAATGATAAATTCATTGAAAACACTTTTAAAATAAAATTTATGCTTTATTATGCTTATAACTATAATTAACGATTTTATTAAGTTATAATTATAATGTATAAATATTTTTTATTTAGATTTATAGGTCATAATGATGATCTTTTAGAGTTCAGAGTGAACACAGCTATGAAAAATATGCGCTTGCTGGGTGTGCTCGTAGCTGGAACGCACAGAACCTTTCTAGTTAATATTGAAAGTTTAGGAAGATCCAATGCTCTTATCTTCCAAAAATCTAAGATATCTTTTATCTCTAAATCTTAAGGCGAAAATAATAAATAACACTCTTTTTCTAAACTAGTTAAATAGCCTTGTTGTTCCAGATTATTGTTATGAATAGATGAATGTTTGGAAGCTAATGACTTAAAATAATCGAATTCTGAAGCAACTTCCGTCGTTTCACATTCGGTTAATTCGTCCGTGTAAGGCAACAAGAGAGATAGCGTGTTGGCATATAAATTATACTAAGTTTATAGATTGAAAACGAAGCTCCAAAAAGCAAAAAAATAAAACAAAGAAAAATAATATTAAAAAAACTAATTTTAAAATACTCCTGAAGATCGGTTATTGGAAATATATGATCAAATTTAGTAGCATATTTTGTTTAAGGGATGTGGAGGACTATCATATTCGTTTACAATTTAATGATTTTTAATATCACTACGAATTAATAAGGATAAATTTATAGTAAATCCTTTTTGGACAGATAAAAATTCAACAGTTTTTTGAAAGTATTAAGAAAATTTAAAAGTTTATGCACCAAGTGGCAATTGGAGTTAAATAATTTGAGATCCGGTTTCTCCATTCTATTTAATAGGTATGTTTATGTTATAATGGCAATAAAATGCCTTTTATGATAAAAAATCAAATGTTTTTCTAGCAAATAATATTTATTAATTTTTAAAAATAAAATCGCATTTTTTAATATTAAAAAATATTTAATGATTTTTTTTTCCTAATTACAATTCATAAATAATATATTAAATAAATTTTTTAATAATATAAAATACGTATCACGTCGCCGAATTTTTCTGACACCTTTTTGGCGTAGGCGTGGTCAAAAATCACCAGCGGCACATAGTTCTAATTATAATTTTTTATGATTGCTACGCTATATATTGAATTAAACGATATATTAAAGAAAACAATCGTATTAAATATGATTACTATTAAAAGCTCCCGAATTGATTTATAGCCTCAAATAGTTAAGAGGTGCGACTCCAGACCAAACCCACATTTTTCTTAATCTTGATAGGTCTAAATTGTTAGATAACTTAAATCAAACACTCGGATAGTTCCAGCAACTCCTGTCGAACCCCGATTATTCTTTCATTTTGCTTCATTATGACTAAATTTGATGATAACTTAAATCCAGAGGTGCGGCTCCAGCTAATCCTTGCCAAAACACCCGTTTCCATTTATTTTTGTAGATTCTAGGGCATTGATTAAAGCACTTACAAAACCAGGTCTCCAAGGCACCACCCCAAAACTATCGTTATCGAAATCACTCCCACCCCATAGTTCGTGGGGCTCATATATTCAGCCACGAATATTCCACTAGGACCCGATTTTGATGGTGCCTTAACCATTGTCCTAAAATCTATAGAAAGAATGTATATGGAAAGGGGTGTTTTGAAATGCTGGGGTCGTACCCTGAACCGGAAAATGATCTTTTATAGAATAATCAATCCAAACCGTGATCCTAAATAAAACGACCAGATCTGGACTGGTCTTTTAATTTTTCTGGTATTTTAAAATATTTTTGTTTTTACCTAATTCTTTTCTAGTTTATTGTGATTATAAGTTAAATGCTTCTTTAAAAAAACTTATGGATTTCATATTGCAAAATAAAAATGAAAGAAAAATTCACAAAAACTAAAATACCTACTTTAGGAAAATAACATAAAATTTACAAAAAAATAAGATTAATTGAATAAAACAAACTTAAATATTAATAAGACAGGTCCAGACTGTGCTCCTCAAAAAAGATGAGTTCAGTCCAGTCTAAGACCGATAGGAAAGGATTGTTGACCTTCACTAGTTTAAGTTATCTAAGGAACAACTGGAGACGCACCACAGAGATATCTGAGTTAGATTTAAGTTATTTAACATTTAAGACCTAAAGGATCAAGAATAAAGAAAATGGGGGTTTGCCAAGAAGCTGGAACCTTAACTCAGAGATAATCTAAGATTTAAATAAATTCGGGAGTTCTTGATAATATATTTAATACAAAAGGTTATCTTTAATCTCATTTATTTCAGCATAATGTAACATTCATAAACAAAGGGAGGTAAATAATTATAACCCGTAAAATCGAAACTTTTACGACATAAAAGTAAAAATTAATGATCCAGTGTTTAGTTTTTTGTTCCTATTTAAAGGGGAAAAAATAGATCTAAATACATTATTTATAATCTTGGATTATAATATATTAAGAATATTTTAATTTCTCAACTTACATGAACTTTAATAGCAGAGAAGAGATGTGCTGTGAAGTAGCATTAATTGTAAATCAATCACTATATTAATGTAACCAATTATTAAGTGATTCAATTACTATAATATGCATTCAATTTTTATAATACCAATTTATATTTTTAATTAAATTCATTATTCCCTTTCTATCGATTTAGAACATAGAGACATTAATAAAATATAAGATTTACAATTAATACATATATTACATACTGTATCGAGAGTCCAAATCTTTACCTTATGGATCCAGCTGGTTCTTTTAAAATAACAGAATCTTAATTGGCTCTTTTTTATTTATATATATTAATGCACTTATTCATTTATTTATTTTACAAAATATAAGTTACAACACAAAGAACACTAGATGAAATATCAATTATTGTGGAATTGTTTTTTATATAATTAACATTATTAGTGATTTAAATTTACATTCTACTTATAAAAGAGTTAATAAATATTTTTTCTACAAGATCCAGCACTGGAACAGCTAATTAAATTTTATTATAAAGTACAAGAGCCAGAAAAAAATTGAAGATGGTACATCTCTAAAAATTATCTCATCACTTATATATAGAAGGTTTTTATGCACAAATGTAACAGTAGATACAATATAAAAAAATAGAATGTTCTCCAATAAAAGCTATTTGAAAAAAATAGGACATAGATATTTATATTTTTAACAAAATTAACCAAAAAAACTTGAAAAATACCTAATAAAAAATTATAATCATTCATTATTTATAAAGAAATTAAATATAAGACCAAATATAATCTATATATAATATAAGTTTGATATCCCTTTATCCTTTTTTAGCAAATGTGATATGAATGGCATGGCTGGGTGTAATTTTAAAGCCTTGTAGAGAGCTTTTGGCAGAGGTAGCTTGACTTTCAGTAACAAATTCTACAAAAGCAATATCATGCCTTCCTGGAACCATCCTTACTTCATTAAATCCTGCAAATCTTTAAATGAAATTAAAAATATAAATATATTATTAAATGAGTAAGCATGTAATTATAAATAAAAAAACTAATTATTCATTTTAAAAATTTAAATAAAATTTACTGATTAAATAGCATATTCAACATTGATTCATTTGTCTCAGGGGGTAATTTTGTAAGGAATAATATATTATTTGGTACATCAGAATCTAAAAATATTTGTAAAGCATTCAGTTTTAAAAAGAAATATAAAATTATAGTAATTTTAACCATGAGATTGTTGTTTAGGTTGGTAATTTGCATATGGTACATTATTATTAGTCGTATCATTTTGTAATTTTTTCTTTTTTTTATTTGCAGGCAATTGTTCCTTTTCTCTTTTGGGTTTTTCAACATAAGTTCCCTTCATTTTAGCAATTACATCTGAATCTGATTTCGAATATTGAATAACCTTTTTAAAAAATAAAATTTTATGATACAATCATTAATACCATTGGTTTATCATAAAATGGAAACCCTTGCATAGCCTTAAGAGCATTTGCAGCGCTATTGATATCCTTGAATATAACAAATGCTTGTCCTCTCATTTTTAAAGTTTTTAATGCAACAATGTCCATTATTTGACCGAATTGTGAAAATATAGCATATAAAGATTTTTTGACTTCTAATTAAATTATCAATATAAATTTTTAATATTATAGATATATATTAACCTTCTTTTTTAATTTTTTCATTTAAATTACGGATATATATTGTATGATTTGGTGGGTACTGCATTTTGAAACTTTACTAAGCCAAGCGGTAATACTCTGCTAATATAAAGATGGCCGCTTAGATTGTGATTGCTATGTGTTTAAAGCTAATGACATTATTAAGATCTATTGCTAAGTTTATACAAGTCGGTAACAACAATCAATATAAAGTATATTGGATAATGAAGGAAAAAATAAATTTTTAATCGCTTTTGTGATTCTTTATAATGTATACTGGATAATAAAGGAAAAAATAATTTTTTTTATCGCTTTTATAATTCTTTACTTGTAATTGTAAATTTTTTATATTTGAAATCACAAATATTTAATGCTCCTTGATATTATAATACATTCTGCAATAGCAAATATTTAATGCTCTGCAAATATTTAATTCTGTAATAAATAGACAAATATTTTGTACTTAAAAATATTCAGCTTACCAAATGTCTTATATTGTTTTATTTATTATTTATATGCTAGGATTAGTAGGTATGAATAATAAATGACAAAATATGAAATTTGAATATTAGTTCAGAGTTTGCAAATTTTATTTTAAAAAGTATAATATACTTCCCCTAAATTTTTTTTAGTTGAGCCCACTGGGATTGTAAATGCTAGTGACGCCGGCATATTTTGTAATTTAGCATAAAAAACTTTTACTAGACTTTTTCTATCCTGTATCTGACAATCTTTGAATAATGTTATCTTTTTGATTCTCCTTTAATATTTCCATCTTAATGTCTAAGCTGTGAAAATTATAGATTTCTATGGGAGAAAATAATTGCTCAAAATAGCATTTACAAAATCGTTAACAATCTAATTTTAAGTATGGTCACATTAAAAAGTTTAATTGTTCATAATCAAGACAGTTGGAGTATATTCTCTTTCTCCCTTATGTCTCAAAATAATTTTCATAGCCATGACCTTGAAAATTTTTCATATCATGTTCGTTAATTTCAAAACTTTATATTTATAAAGGTTTTCGTCAGTGCTCTTCTTTCAATTCTTCCACAAGGAAAAATTAAAATAATACTGATATTTGCTCAGAATGCAATCCGGTAATAAGAATAGGTAAATATTTAGAGTTTTAGGCGTCTACAAATTTTCGGTTGAATTGCATATCCAATAAAATCTAAATATTTCCTGAAATTAAATAGAATGAATTGAAGCCACTTGGCTTCGATTAACAACCAAGCTTGCAGTCATAGGCGTAGGCAAGGGGGGGCAAGGGAAAATTCACCCCCCCCCCCTCAAAAATTTATCACCTTTTGTGATTATTATTTTAAGCTAATAAAAAATATCCCCCTTAGTCCTCCCCCCACTCCCTGATCTTGTTAAATGTATGCATATATCTTAAACAATAATTTGAAAGAAAGAATGAAAAGTTGATATTTTTTTATAAAACTATTCAACATAATTAATACATTTTAGGAAAAAAACGTTTTTATATATAAAAAGTGAACCAAAAATATTTTTTAAGAAATGGAATATAAGCCAAAGATAAGTCTTAAGACAAAAGTGAAATGTATTATAATTATTAATAATAGATCCATAAAATTACTAAATAATATAATATATCATATATAATTTTTTATAAAGTGAATTATTTTAATTTATTTTTTAATAAAAGTAAATTATAATTATAAAACTATAAATAAAATTAAATAATAAATTAAAGCACAATACAAACAGTGGAATATTATATGTCGTTCGTAGATTTACAGTATATGTAATTTTATCAATTATCATAGGACAATCAAATAATTTTTACCAATATAGCGAATTATATATTTTACAGAAAATTATAAAATATTGATAAGGAAATCAGAAAATATCTTTTTAAAACATTATGAGATAAATAATATGAAGATTATTTTTTAATATCATTTTTTATTTAAAATAAATAGATGGCGTTAAATAATTAAATTATAATTGTTGATATATATTATCAAGAGCATTGATTAGTAATTTTGTAAAATATTAACTGTAATATATTCTCTAACTGTCAAATATGTCTGTAAAAGTGGAATTTTACCTAGTATTTTGTAAGCAATTCTATATAATAGAGGAATATCAACTATATCTCTACTTTTTATAAATAAATTTCTTATACTTGATTGGAATAAATTATTACCATGCTCTTATATTAATGTATATACAAGTAATTTATTATATTTTATATAAACTAATAAAAATGAAATTCATATTCGTTCCAGGATTATTTTTTTAATTAAAAATAACCTCCTCTCTTGTTATGACTATATATAGACTAAAGTAACCCTGCCGAATAGGGGAAAAAGCGGGTCGAAGGCCTGCCCAAATGAGGTCTGGGGGCGAAGCCTCTAAAAATTTTATAATTCCCCCCCCCCCTTTCCCTTAGAAAAATCCTGGCTACGCCTATACATGCAGTAGGCAAAATATCGTTCACGAATAATCACATTCCGGATCAATTAGACCAACATAAAAGGTGGATGTGAGGTATTCCTTCGTGACCCAGATGTATTTACAAACAGTCCACAATTACGTTATTATGATTAATAAAGACTTTTCGAACTCCTTTAACTCTCTACGTAGCGCGTTTCTAAATTCTATCCTCAGCCTCTAACCAGAATTACGCAATTTATCTTTGATCGTTATAATAGTCCCTCACACCTCCTATTTGGAGATAGGATGATTACTTGAGGGAATACCATCCATCTAGATTCTTTTTTGTTCTCTCTGGGTTAAAGGCCTTATACGGGACATCAATGACCAATGCAAACTTAATCTTCATGATTGGTATATCGACGATGGTACACTAGGACTGGGTAAAGTAATGCAATTAAGTTATTAAAATGCAACGAGAGCAGATTAAAGTGGACAAAAGTGAATATTGTCCACTTGAGATCATTGACCTTAACCACGAGATTATGTTCAATCAAACATCATTGAACTCTTTGACACATCTCGAAGCTCCAGTAGGTAAAGGGGAATCCTTTATTAAGTTCCTTGCCGATATTTCCTGGTAGATATTCCTCATGTGCGATACACTATCGCTCCCAGCCCACAAATCTTTTTTTCTAATGTAGAACTACCTTTATTCCAAAATTTTATACACACTTACAAATTTCTCGAGGCTCCCATTGCGAAATCGCAACGATGAGCTAAGTCATGCCTTGGTATTAGACTCAATTGCGATATGTTGATTCCCTATCACTGTATTCTCCTCCGTTGTAGAGGAAGATTTTAGACATTCAAAATACAATGATATTATAGCCAGGGCCTTAAAATCTGCTGACATCCCGTCATCTCGAGCCCACTGGCCTTTATAATTCCGATGATAAACGGCCTGATGGTTTTATCATGATCCATTGGAGGGGGGAATTCCTAGCCTGATATTTCTTATTCATTTATCCTCTTGCCCCTTCCAATATAAATAGGGATGCTCTATTAGATGTCGAGGGGCGAATAAACTCGTTAATATTTGCCATGGCTATCTGCAAACTATACATTCCTACTATTCTTTAACATCTTTCGATTCTCATGCCCTGGCCTTTTTTTTAAGAGTTGGGGCACTGGATCTCTGCTAGGACTGAAAATCCCCACAAAAGATAATGACAGAGATTGACCTCTAAACATAATAAATGCACAGATTTATACTTTCAATGCCCAAGACCCCCTGGTTGAATATCCTATGCTTGGGATACGCTTAAGCTATTTTTCTCTCAATTATAACGTTGGCGCTAAAAGGGAACTTGGATCTCAATCGATAAAAGATAGCAAAAAATTAATAGCAAAGACAGAAACGCGAAAAAAGATACGCAGAAGTCGAAAGTATTGGTGGTCGCCTAAGGAAAGCCAAGTGCTTTTTGGGTGATGATTTCTTAAATTTTCACTTAATATTATATAAGTTTTCGCTTGCATGATACAAATTTATAAATCTCGACATGAAACTCACCCCTGAAAATAAGAATTTATTTATGCGCTATAAACATCCTGTACTTACGTAAATGCCACCTATTCTGTCCTACAAATGACAGATAATAAACGAAGTTTCATTTGATTTATAATATCAGCGAATAGAACTTATATCTTTGAAAAAAATTTCACTAGAGCCATTTGAACCCATCCTCATTGGTCTTCATTACTTTAGAAAAGGGTTAGAGTAGATGAGAAATGGCTTTAATTATATAAAATAAAAATATATACACTTATTTTATTAAAACCTCACTCCAAATATTTTGGTGAATAACCATTTATATACAATTCATAATTGCATTATTTCAGGCCTGAAATAAATAATAAGCAGCCACTTATCTTAAAATCTTTTTGCGTATCTCCCTTAGATTTAATAATGTTAGACAATATTTGTTATACAACTAAATTCTTTAATATTGAAACCTAAAAATTTTATCGAACATTAATAAAAATTTGTCTATATCGAAATACTAATATTAAATCCAAAAACACTAATAAAATACTCCTCATTAGTTATTAAATTTTTTAAAAAAATATCTGTGAACATGCTTTAAAAAAATGAATGAAAATTAAAAGCATTTATTTTTTTGAAAATGAACGCGTTCGTTTTTGTTTGTTGGAAAAGATGCTTATACCGCTATTCAGACATTTTATATCATTTAGAAACTATAATTATCTTCTTTGCTTACATCTCAATACACTTAAACCCCGAGTTACATAATACACTAGAAGATTAAGTCTGATATTCTAGAATTTCAAGATCAAGAAAATATTCTAAAAAAGGTATAGCAAATTCTTGTGATTCATAATTTTCATCTTTATTTCTTTTAATTTGGTACATATTTACAAAAGCTTATATAAATACAATATCATACATATATTAATAAGAATGTTTTTTTATATAAATTTTTTTTTAAACGTTATGTGGCCTAAAATTGGGTAAATAAATGCGTTTTGATTTGGCCTGCTAATAAAAAAATATTAGACAGTGTTATAAATTTAATTTCTATAATTTAAAAAAATAGATGATTCGCCAAATTAATAAATATTTATATATTAGGATATTTTAATTATATTATAATAATGAAATATATATGGATTTTTTTATTTACCTAAAATTATATCGTTTATGTTGATTCACAAATTATTATTATAAAACTAGTATTTTTAATTTATGTTTAAACTGGGTTTAGGCAATGGCAGAGGTTTAAGATAATTATAATTATCTTCTTTGTTATTTTTTAAACAATTTTCATCATGATTTTCTACCCCATCAATCGTTGCTCCTACATTGACCTTAGATGCATGAAATTCGTTAAATTCACTGAAGAGTGGAATATTTTGATTGATTCTAGGTAATCGATTATTAGGATTATCATTTATATCGTAATGATTTGGTTGGTGAAAGTAGTACACTTTCCTAAGTGTGTTTTCCGTTCCGGGGATTGAGAAATTATTACCACAGTACAGAGGAAGCGGCAGCCTGGGTAAAGATGGTTGAGGGGGGGCTTCATAAATGGACGGCGATTGTTGTGGCAAAGATTGTTGATGTTGAAGATTGAAAGGCAGTCCATATGCATTGTATAGGAATTGCTGGCCGTTCGAATGTTTAAGCATGGTTAGGCTAGAAAATGGGTTCACGTTATTTGTGTTATTGGGTAAGTTTGGTAAATTGGCAAAACAAGGGGGAACGACGTTTAGCGGAGAGAGCTGGTCAGGAGCTGGTTGTTCAAATGGATTAAAAATTGACGCATCGTTGAGTGGAGTGGGTGGCAAAAAAAATGGGAAAAAATTATTTCCGTTATTGTTGCTATGGTTTGGGTTAGGGTCATCCTGAGATGATTTGTTAGCGCCAAATCGATAGTCTACGAAAGGCAAAAAGGAAGAGAGAAATCGTTGTCCTTTATCTCCAGCTCTTTCAAGCTTATCATCACCACAATCTTTGGCCGAATCTTTATTCCTATTTCGAATAGAGCTCATATTGATGGTCATCAAGTCGCGACAACCGCCACCTTTGACTAAATGTTTGTTCTTTCTAATTCTATACAACCTAGTTTTAAGTTTAAATCCCACCCAGAAACCCAAAAGAGAGGATATGCATACACTTAATGTTATAGCTAAACTTAGCCGTTCGGCTATATTACCGTAAGAGTTGGATGCCGGAGGTGGGGAACAATGGCTAGGGTTACTTCTAGACTGGTATAAACGAGGGGAATCGTCAATCCGATTGTTATTAATGCTATTACGAGATATTTGGAAAAATTCTGAGTTCATGCGAGGATCAGAAAAGTCGTTGTAAGTCAGATCTTTTGAGCCTTGTGGCTTAAATTGGACGTCTCTATTGTTGTAAATATGATGCGAAGATGGAGAAGGGGTATCCCTATTTGGTTCTCGATTTGTTTCAAAATTTATTCTAACCATTTCTTCTTTTTTCTTTTCTACAAAACTCCACATATTATTAGTATAATCATCCAACCCGTGACAGGAAAAATTTTCATAAGGTCCTTCACATTGGTTACTCACTAAACTGCCTAGAACAGAAGTAGAACGATCATTTTCAATAGCGATTGCTACCAGTAATCCATTAGCTTTAGCGAGCGGGTAGAGGCCCGTTATTTTCCCATCTTTATTAGATAACACCAGTCTCTCATATACCATGATGGAAGTTATTTTCTCCGGGCCTTTCGCTAGGTTTTGATGGGTGTTACCCGGTTTATTCTCGTGATAAATGTTTGAGTAGAATCGGGAATCTATGTTTATACAGTAAACCTCTCCCTCCTTGGTTCCTAGATACACATGATCGGTTTCCACACCTTCCCTTTTTTCGTAGTTATATATGGCTGCTATAGTAGAGGGTGGTCTTCCAGACCATATATTTAATGGTTTTCCTTCTACTTCTAATATACTTCCAAATCCATTTTTCTCATTATTAGAATTCCCGAGTAAAAGGGCAAACTTCTGTAAATATTCCGCTTCTCCTGGGTCTACTAAATCGTACCTACGAGGGGAGGAGAATAATTGTAGCATATTTTTATAATATTATATTGTACAAAATAAGTAATAAAAATAAATAGCGGCTAAGTTTTTATAAATTAATTAAATACCCGCACTGCCCAGGCTTAATAGTCGAACTTCGAACTCTTTTAACCCCGGACCGAATCATCCTAGTTTCCATAGTATATATACCAGTTTCAAAAACTTTCGCCATTTCATGAGTATCGAACTGACATAGAACCGAAATTGGTACTATACCAGGCAGACTTGGGGTTGTGAAGACTGAATAAAACCGTTCCTGGTTATAATCTGTTTCTAATCCTAATATATTTTGGGGACTCGTGGAAGCAATTAAAGAGTCAAAAGCAGTGATAGTAATGTCTCGGCGGTCACGAGGGTCATCAAGGAAAGAGGAGACGGGGGGAGGATTGGAGTTAAATCGAGCCTTAAAAGAGTCAGCATAATTGTTATTAGGACGGTTAGTACCTTTAATTAAAAGATATGGGATTTTTTTTATTAAAATAAATAAAATATTAAGTATGCATATATAAGTTTAAGATCGGAAGTTATAAGAGAATTATTTATTGTACCTTTCGAGATTTTGTCATTATTTTTGTTATTAATTCCATCCTTTCTTTTGTCGTTGTTATCGATATTAGGTACCTTACAAACCATCCTTACTTTTAGAAATGTTTTCCATACTAGAGGGTTATCATAGAGTAGATCCAGGTAGCCAGTATCTCCTATGCATACCTGTCATGATCCAAATTGACAAATTATTTAAATTATAGACTAATATTATATCTGTTAGATATCTACAAATCAGGACCCCACCCTTACCTGGTCCTAACGTGCTTCGGGCTGGGTCTATTAAAAAATAATAATTTCGGTTCAAGCTGGATCGGGCCTAATAATTTAAAAAAATTTCGGCCGGCGGGCTTAAATTTTTAAATATGATTTCATTATATTTTGTCAATTAAATCAATAAATTTAAAAATTCTTGGAAACAAGGAGCTAATATTTTTTTTTAAATATTTTTTTTAAAAAATTGTTCGGGATCGGTTTGGGCTTGCCAAATTAGGTCCTACGCAGATCACTACTATATATTTCATAAAATTTTGAGCGCAATGGAACAGAAATCTCATCTTAAATATCGGGTGTTGTTACATAGGACGATTTTAATAATCAGGAAGAAAAGGATATAATAGGAGTAAAAGTAATTTTAGAAGAAATTAAATATACAGGTTTTCATAATTGTTTTCCGCAGTTTTAGGTTTTAATTATAAATTGGTGTTTTAAATGATAAAAATGCTCAGTTTTTAAAAAATTTGCTAAGTCGTGAATTTTTTCTTCGACACATAAATACCTTACTTAATTTTTTTTTAACCATAATACCAAAGGTGCATAAAAAAATTGATCTTTTTTGATTCATGATTTGATAGATATCACTTTTATTATAAACTATTCATACCCTTCCTATCCTCGCCTCAATCATTCTGATGGGCTTGTTCTCCGCATGATTTTGGTATTCATCTGCTGAAAGACGTGATTTTTCATAGGTTCTTCCAATTTTGGCTGATAAATTTATAGGATTACCATCAATGGGGGAACTGGAAGGTAAAACGGTCCATTCGTTGAACAAAAAATAGGCGTACCCATTGTGGGTAAAACTATGAATAAACTGAGGTCCGTTCAGGGCTGGGGCGAATTCGTGAACCGTACGCACTGGATCTCGGTATAATATAGGCTGCTCGCTCCACACATCCACGAATGTGGCGGAATAAATTTGCCCTCCTAAAACAAAAAAAGGTATATATGCTGTTTATATAAAATAATGTTTCTCTCAAATCAAATATATAAAACGGCCTATCACATATATATGCTTTTGAATGATTTTACCCAAATTTAAAATTTAAGCAAATCCTTTTTAGCAAGTTATTTTTTTTAGAAAATATAAAATAACCTGCTACACTGTATGAAAAGTTTTGGTAAGGGTTAAAAGGTACGTATCCCAGGCCCGAAATTTCTGATTCAAGGACATTATAATTTCCTTCACCATCGGGTTTCTATATAAAAATATTGTTTAACTTTGGTATAACAATTGAGTTTAAAAAAAAGAGATTTGAAATATTACATTTATATAGTTGGTGCTTAATTCCTAAAAAAATTATGCATGTTCAAATGATAAAAAATAACCTAATCAAATTGTCAGAAAGTTCGGATGAAAACTTACATTAGTTGAGAGATATCTCCTGCACTTAGGCTCAAAGGCGTAAGTTCCACAGATGAGAAATTTATCGGTCGACAACCTAGCCATTAACATGACGTAGTTTTGGCAATCTTTAACCGAATAATATTTACCGCATGCTTTGATTTTATCATCCGGTACATCCCATATTATATGCTTTAAAATAATACAAATTAAACTGCCATTGAGTGCGATTAACTATAATATAAAACTGCTATACTATTTATCTTAAGTTAATATTAGTTTTTTTAGTGGTAATCGAACAACCCTCCTGAAAGAAGGATAAAAATTTATGAAATATTATAGAATGAAACTTATTAATAAATAATTATAGATGCTACTTTTTTGTCAATATTAAAAGTTTACAGCGAACCAAAATTAAAATTATTTGAAAAACCTATAAAAACAATTTTCTTACAAAATATGGGTCTAGTAGCCATAAAAAACAAATTTGATTTTATCATATCTATTTTAAAAATATTTACAAAAAAAAACAGCCAAAATCATTTAAAAATACCTAAATTTTACAAATCCGGGAGGGCGAAGCCATAAATATATTTAAAAAAAATCTAGACCGAGCTTGAAAAGGTAAAATTTAAAAAATTCGATCTGGGTTCAATGTTTCCAGCAGGTTTCTGCCGCAAACCACAATTTTTTTTAAAATTTAATATAATTTGACTAATATTTGTAAGACTTGAAATGGTTTAAAAATATGCCGAGCTATGCCAAGACGAAAAAAGTAATCGATTAAAAACCAGGAGCAAGATCGGCTAAAAAAAAAATAAAACCTGAACCATTAAATTATACAAGAAATTTTAACATTATCGGTACCGGACTGAGAATTAAATATTTCTTTAATATTCAAGACAGTGTAAATAAGTACAAGCAGGTCTCTTTATTTTTGTTAATAACTCTTCCCACAAGCTACAAGAATAAATATATATTTTTATAAAATACATCAACAATAGGCCTGTGCAGATCAAAATTTTCATATACCCGGTCCATGAATAAGATTAAAATATACGCTCGCCACAGCTCGCAAAAATATAAAATAATTAAATGATGCCTGGCCCACCCTCGAGAGTTTATTTAATTTTAGACTGATAGGTTGCGCACGAATTTATCTGGATTAAAAAAAATATCATCTCCGTCTCCCCTCCCTTTCTTTATATAAAAAAAAGTTTTCTCCTGCCTCTGGGAATATTTTAGTCCCCTTGTGGATTTAAAAAAATTTGCATACACCCTTTGATTAAATTGATTCATAACATTTTAAAAAAAAATTTTTTGTTTTAAGATTTTGAGGAACTATTGTCTGGGATCAGGTTCTAGGAACGTGTTTTAGTCATATAATTATTCCTATCTAAAACACACAATAGAAAGTTAAATCGTTGATATTACCGGTGTAAATAATTTTTGCATAAATCACTTTATGAATAAATTATAAATGAGGGGGGAGGTAGGGAGGATTATAAGAAATATTTGCATAATTTTTTCATATTAGCATTTATGTAAAAACCAGCAGCAATAATATTGATATCAATTTATTTATAAATATGGAAAATAGAATTATCAATAAATTCATTAAATGTTATCTATCACCTTCCCTTCCTTTGTTATTATCTACATTATATATTTTTCTTTATTTAAAAATTTTAAAAGCAATAAAAAAAATAATCATATAAATTTTAATCTGGGTATCAAAAAATAATTATGAAAGGTAAAATAAAGCAAAGTGACCACCCTCGGGTGTTTATTTTTATACTATTATTTATTTTATTTTGAAAGAAATTGCAAGCTATTTTATTTATAAAAAGTTTACAAGATATATTACCTACCCTTACCTTACTAGAATTCGATTAGATAGATTATTATTTTGTATGTATAAGAAAGTTGTAAAAAAATAGAGAAATATTTTTCTACCTAAAAAAGAAATAGAGAGACGTAGGCTTAAAACGAATTATTTGTTATTCGATACGATTCGCATGTTACGAATATGAATAGCACAATTATTCGATTCGAATTAATCGAAATTATTTAAAATGGAATAAGGCAACAACTTTATTAAAAAAATTTAAGGAAATATATAATGAATACAAAGTTAGATATAATATTATTACTCATCTGATAAAACGATAATTCAGTCAAACATGGAAAAAATATTCAAACAAAATATCATCTCCATATCTTAATGAATTAAGAATCGTTTCTAGTAAGAGCTCATTAGAATAGTGGAGACTGCATGGGAATCATTTTCCCGTGCTGCCGAAAATGGCAACTGTTATTTGTCCATTTAGGGATCTTCGGGTACATATGAGCTGTTATTATCAGTATCGACAAATATATAAACAAGAATAGAATGTTTTTGAAGGAAGAAACCATTAAAAAGACTTTATATTTGAAAAACTGGTTTTTGTCTAATTCGGATATAGCATAACTATATTTTTCTGTATTATATTTTGATGTTTATAAAATAATATAATTGTGCATTTTTAAAAAATTTTGATAAAATTTTAGAATAAGAAAAACATATAGAAAATAATTTATTATTTTTATAAGCAATTCTAATTCTAAAAATAGGGTGTTTTTGGCCAATTATTCAGATAACGTTTTAAAATCATGGGTGTCTACTAGGTTTGTTATTCTGTAAATTTTGATATGCTACAATTAGTTTTAGTAGAATACAGTGCTATTTTAAAACATCCACATCTGTTTATATTTTTTTATGCTAAATATAATTTTTTATAAGCTTTAGAAAAATTTTCGAATATAATCGAATATTCGCCGAATCAAATCAAATAATGATTTTATTATGAATATGAATAATAAATTATTCGATTCGTTTTTTTTGTAGGCCTAGGGAGACAGATCCGCGAAAATATTAATGAACCCAAAGAATCTTTCTTTTACAAAGATCTGATACAGCAATTTTTAGCAATAACTATTTAAACTTTATTCCATCGAATGATCTCATGCCCTTCAAACATTACCTTCTTCTCATTCTTTTTGCTACTCGATATTTCCTTAAACTTTTATTCATTTTCTCTCCTTAATCATAGTTTTACATTTAACGCCAGTAACTTCTATATTTAAAAAAAAATAACATATGTTCTTCCTTTATTATATAAATACGACATATTAGATACATTTACTCAATAATTAAGAATTAGGCCTGTGTGTCGCAAAATTTTATAGTTATACCTGGGACAGTCTCATGAAAAAAAAATTAAACTTAAACCCACCCAAAGGCCTGTGTGGGCCGTAGGCATTCACAGTAGAGGTCATAAAACAATTAAAATTTAAGATGGATCCAACCCACAGTCTAAAACAAAATATATTATGTTTTATCAGAGGCCCAGCCCATAATTATTTAAAAAAATTTCTACCCGGAACACAATATCCCTTCACAAAAAAATCAAACTCAAGGCATAGCCCAAGTACATGAAAAAATGAGATACCCATAGTTAATTTATAATTTTATTTTTTGGGCGGGGTAAGTCACCAGCGGCAATCTAAACAAAAAATAATTCTGGCTTAGGCCTAGCCGATATCTATTAAAAAATTTTAGAAGCTTTCTAAAAAAAAAGGAGAATACAACTCATTTACATATAAATTAAATTGACTTTCTTTCTTAAAACACTAAATGTTTATTTTAAAAGAAGAACATAGAAAGACAAATGCTTGATCTGACACGGAATGAAGAATTTTTAATACTAATTTTTCTTTAGGAGTTAATTGTTATTCGTATTCTAGTGGAAATGAATAACAGCAATAGAAATGAATAACAGCAATTGGCGGTAATTTTAATTTTCAAAATCAACAGTGAAAATTATCATTATGATCGATCGTTTCAATTAGGATAAATTTGTGTAGTGCTAAAAGGTGATCATTTTCCACACCCTTCATCATTTAATACTAGCCGACAGCATAATGTTATAAAATATTCATAATTATCTCAAACAATTAGAACAAAAAATTTTTTAAATTCTCTTAAGAAAGAAAATTTATTTAAAGGATATAAACTAGCATTCAGGTGGAACTTTAATTTTTTTTTATAATTTTATCTTTAAAAAACTCATAAACGCAGAACTAGAAGCCATGAAATAGATAATTATACTTTTAAGAAAATAAATATAATTGATATGGTAAACGGATTAATTAAGCTATTAAGGGGATAAAAATATTTTAAGAAGAAACAGGTGAATTATAATGAAGGATATTTAAATAAGTCTATCACCCATATGATGCTAGTATCTAAAGCACAACTAGTTTTAATCAGAGGTCTGCAGACCCGCCATAAATAAATTCAAATTATATCAAATTAACCCGTTAGAAAATCATATAATGGAGCATTTAATAATCATTTATGGCTCATATTTTTAATTTTCCTTTTGAGTTGTTTGCATAATAAAGCCAAAATTATTTAAAAATAAAAATTAAGGTCTGGCCAAATAATTTCGGTAATAGTCCACAGAAGTGTTTTTGACACATAAAAATACTTGGGAAAGACCCCATTTTAAATAAATTTCATGCTTAGAAAAAATAAATATTTTTTTCGAAAAATCCTTTTAATTAAAATTATTATTGTGTTAAATTATTACTAAATAATAAATATATACAAAAAAATCTGTCATTTTTTTATAACACCTAGTGAAACAATAGGTTGTGAAATATCAATTAAGGAAATGGTCCAGGATCCCCTTTTTTGAAGTTACCCAAAACGAACAGTTGGCTAAGGATTAAGGGTTAAATAAAATTTGGTTCGTTGAATTCAAAAATAAATAGTCAATTTAAAGCATCTTATCAGTTAGACTATGTTAATGCAAGTGAACTATCTCATATTTAAGAGTTCGATTGCTCGCCCTCATTTTTTCTCAAGCCTGTCATAACGAGCCGTTAGTTAGAGTTAGAAAAATAGTAGCAAGTCTATATGGAGATAAGGTTAATATATATTTTAAAACATCCTAATGGTGTAAGGGGCTAGAGGCAAGGTTAATACACCAGAATTAAATCGTTGATATACGTTTAATTCCTAGCGAGAACCTATTTTTTTTGCTGAAAGCATGCGCAGTTACAACACGGGTTGAGTTAATATTATGGAAAAAATGGTGAAATAAAATTTGCTCATTGTATAGTTGCTATATTATAATATGAACATATCGAAGACTAAGATTTTTACTATTGTAAATTTATAATTTCAAATAATTGTTTCTTTTACTCAACATAAGTGTAAAAAAATTGTTTTTTTTAACATTTACCCCTTTTCAAAAAATAAAATTAATTAAATTGGACTATTGTTTTACAAAGTATTTTTGTCCGGGTTTTATGTTCCTGGCCGAACCTCATCTAGACCTCTGCAGGTCTCAGGTTTTTATGATAATAGGCGCTTATTAAAGATACTATTTCATTTTTACATTATTTTAATTTAAAAAAAAAAGAATTACAATAAATTTTTGTTAAGCTTCTTCTTCGAGGAATAAATTTTGACTCACCTTCCCCCAGCCCAAAAATATATTTTTAATTTTCGCCTTTACAAGAGGATCAGTTTATCTTCGTTTGTTTTATATATTCTATCACCCTACGAAATAATGCAATATAAGGGCTGATAGACGGATTTAAAGGGAAAAAGGCATCATTTAAATCTTTCTCTTAAAGATAAACCAAATTTGAGATTATGTTACGTAAAATCGAACCACGCACAGCGGCTCCATGGGAATTAGTGCTAAATCACTGATCTTAACCAAAATATTCGTCACAGAAGCTTTAAAAAAGGAAGGTCCAAATAAATATTACTTGTTGGTTTATTTTAAATAGTAAAATTTACCTTGTGTTCCAGGATCGTTCCATCGATGACTGACACGCTCAAGTTGTATAATCTGTTCCTATAATTTTATAAGAATAATAGTTCTTACAAATTGAAGCATTTTGTTTGCGCTTTATTTTAAATAATCCACCTTAAATGGACATTAACGTTTTTATTGGAGTTAAAAAAAACGCAAAATAGGTTGTGTTTTTAACATTTTTTTTAAAACAAATACCATATTTTAACAAATACAACATTAAACGCTTTGCTCAATTTGTAAGTCTTATAAATTTAAATAAATTTTTATTTGTAAGTATTATAAATTTAAATAAATTTTTGATTCAAAATACGATGTGGCCAGCCCGTATATTCTTCCTAATGACTTTTTCTTTGTTTACAAAAAAAATAGTTCATTGGTAAAACTGTTATTGTATACTTTTTTTTTTTTATTCTTATCTATATTTAAAATTAAAATATTAGATAAATAAGTTGAATTATTATATAATAATGATTGTATCCTATATAGACAAGATATACATAATAATAGGTATGTAATTATAATGATGAATTGTATAAATATAATAAACAAAAGGAATATATTGTAAATTTTAATATATTTAAATTTATGATAATTTAACAATATTGGTATTTATTACAAAACAAATATATATTATTATGAATCAATTTTCCTATAATTTAACTATTATTGTTATAGCAGTATGAATAGAAAACGAAATATACAATTTGATTAAAATTTTTTTTTAATAGGAACCATACAGCGTTACCAAGCTTATAGTTAGGAAAGGAAAAATAATATTAGATTGTATCACTGAGAAAGCCAGATGGAAATATATGGTTTTAGGATACAAAGGAATCGACACATAAAAGATATAGTATACATTTCAAAAATAAAGATTGAAAAATGATAACGATAAAACTGAGGAAAAAGGTTTACTCGAAAGTGAGGCGGTCTATCACGAATTAAGTTATGAAATTTTATACTTTTGCGTAAATTCATTGTTTTTAAAAAGATGGCACCCCTTGTTTAAATTTATGTATTCATTTTTGTCCTTGAAAATTTGGAAGAAAATATAAATTTTGGGGGAATACAGAAAAGAACTAAAATATTCCCAAAGGTATGAGTAAATATTGTTATATAATAAAGGGCTGATTAATAATATAATAAAAAAACTAATTCTGTGGTAATTTAAAGAGATCTGGATTTAAGACCTTGACATGGACTATTTAACGAATAATTTATATTCAAATTGAATTTTTAATATATTTTTTTAAATAAAATAGAATGGTTTGTCATTTTTATTGATAAACAGTAAATCTGGCAGGTTTACCAATGTAAAATTCGCTGGAATTTTGAGACATTTGAGGAACTTTGTAAAAATGCCCCAAATTGGCTAGTCACACATGCTTGACTCATTGAATTAGATATATTACATTCAGTGTAAACCAAAAAATAAGTCTAAACTGCAATATTAATTTGATGCATAAACTTTTATTTAAGACTTAAAATTATAATGATCGAATTTTATATAATAAAATTAATTAATCGGAGACTTGGGAGTTCAATCATGTCCTTCTTCTGTAATGATATAACTGTTTGCTGATGATATATTTTCATTTTCTTAAAATTTAAGGAGTTGAAATAACTGGATGATTATATATAGTATCAATAATTTTATATTGTAAATATTAATTTTAATGGAAATTAATTTTCCACGCGTTTAATGATAAGTTTATTATTTTATTTTTGGAATAGGTTATTCCAAAATAAGACCAATCTCCGAAGTAGCAGGGAAATCGATAAAAGTTTTATAGCAAATAAACTTATAGGTTGGTCCACTTTCAACCATGTCAGAGGTTGAAAATGTTTTGTACTTATCCATTTCCACGTTTCCCCAAAACCACTCTTTGTTCGAAATTCTGCGAAATTTGCTAAAACAACTCCTATATCAAGATTGATATCTGCCATTGTATTTTGAAACTCTTTCTAATGATATTCAAATATTAGGAATAAATGAAATATGCCAGGGAATTTCAATGGAAATTTTAAATTTCGTTCCTGTAGCACGAAATTTTTGGCTTTTACATTAGTACGACAGGTTATGTGATTAACGAGGTACATCAACTACATGTGAAAGGATCAGTTGGGAATAACTTTCTAAATAAAGATAGCATGTCTTAAAATAATAAGTAAAACTTCTTTCCTTAAAAATTGGTTTAGCATTGTAAAACAGGTGAAAAATCCCGTGAGTTGACACTCAGTGAACATATTTATTTTTAAAAATGATTAAATTCTCTTTTGCCTATTTTTTCTCGCTCTTATATTCATTCAAAAAAGTTTTCCAAATAAAAGAGCACCTAAAAGTGTTTTTTTTATTAATTAAAAAACATGCAACACAAAAACTTATCAATTTGGAAAACAGCAAAAAATATTATAAAATGAGCTAGATTTTTGGGACAAAAAAAACAAAATAATTACACGAATTTCTTAAAATAAAAATTTAGAGTGCCATAATTAGATATTATATATATATTTTTTAAAAAAAAAAAAATTAAATCAGGAAAACACGCCAAACTAAATATTTTTTTACAAAAACAATTTCAATTTTATGAAAAATTTTAAATGTTTTATTTATAATTAACACGACAACTACTATAAACTTTATCCACCATTGGTAAAATTAATTCGCCAGAGATGCACTCGGGCGAATTATTAATAGGCATTAGTATCGGTTATTATTGGTTGCATCTTTGCAAAATATTATCGGCTCTAATTAGCTCTATCCTATAGTAGATTGAATGTTGGAGTGAACTATCTATACTATTCAGTAATTATGAGATAGTGCCAGTTAGTCGGTCCCAACATTTACGCTACGTATTGTTACCTTTTAAAAATAGGGCAAATTAACTTCATTTATCATTTTTTCCTCCATGAATAAAATAAATTTCAAAAATATACAAGTATAAAAAAATTAATTATATTAATATTTTAAACTTGACTAGTGCTGAGTTTCTTATTTTTAAGATAAAATATAGTTGAAATTATTTTTCGGCAAGAAATAATTTGATAATTTTTTTTGATTATCAAATCATTTTTTTTTGATAATATAAAAACCATAACAAATTTTTTTATAAATATAAACCTTCCGCCGACATAGATGAAACCATTTTCTTCGTACAAAAATTTGAAATGCTCTGGAAAGGTGTCGTTTTTCTGTCCCAGAAATGTTTTGAACGATTGACCTGCAGACAATATTAAATGGAATTATGATAAGTAGTTTTATATATTACATTTTAGCAGGATGACCTAAAGGGCCAAGATAACGAAGCAATTATCTATAGAAATGGACCTTAACTCTAAGTTGACCATATCTTAATTATCATTTGGTCACATTATGTTGCATTTTAAATGAATAGATTTCGTCCCCGAGTCCAACCGTGGCCAAGTGCTAAAAAACATAAGGTCATGCCCGAATTTAATATAAATGGAATTAGGAAATATATACATTTCTAAATTTAAAGTTCAAGAATAACTTGGCTTATGATGTTTATCAATTCCATTCTACTTAATTACAAAATATGACAATAATATATTATAAATTATATTAAACGGATTTGAAAAAATTTTCAATTTTGATGTAAAATAGTAATAATAAAGAAAGAATTCGATATAATAAGATTTAAAGACCTCATTCTTTAATCTAAAGTGAAGCGTGGTATATCAAATAACCTTTTGTCTATTTCCGGCTATTTGTCCGTTCACATCTTTTTTTAAAACTTTTATTGCTTTATTGTTTTTTTTGGTATTCGATCATGGAGAAACAAAGAATAGAAAATGAATATCTTTAGGGCTATGGGACAAAATATTTTCATCCCTTTTATAGTGTTGCTGAACGTCTCGATTTGAGCCGCTTTAACAGCTATCAATGTTCTACAAGAAAGGTAATGCCTAAGTTTATAAATTTTGTCAACAGATGTCTAAACCTTTGTGCCATCTATGACCGAAATCTTCAGGCATGCATAGTATTTTTCTGGTTAAAATATTGAGTTAACCTTTTTAAAAATCGCCTCCAGCACTACCCCTTTATAAAGGTTTTAGATGGGTTATTGATAAACTTATACTATAAGAATGATGGGACAATCTTTAATAAAAATAATAATATTAGAGCCCATCATTTATATTATCCTCAGAATGCTAAATTAGAAAATGTTGCCTTTAAATGATAATTATTTCTTTCTTTCTAAGGATCACAAAAAATTCCATACACATTTTAAATACGATATAAATATCAGAAATCTACAGATGTAATAATTATCAGTTTTGGCCACAGGAAAAATCGAAAACATGAGAAGAAAATTAATTCTTCGAGATCGCTTCGAGACATGATTTTTCAGCTGATTATTTGATATAACTTAAATATATTCCATTTGAATTTTAGTCAATTTTATAATTCAGTCCGTATCAGTTCGGGTTTTAAGGCCTAATCGTCGGGTTATTAGATTTTTTTATTTTTATGCCCGACCTAGCACGAAATATATTATTAGATCCAGTCCTATTACCAGGTCTCTGATAAATACACTATCGAATTTTTTACAATTTTAGAGGACAAAAAGACACTTTGTGCCAAAAAAATTGAGAAATAAAAAACATAATATTTTTATTATTGGCAGGCGTAATATATTCGAACTTAAAAAGGGTAATAATTTTATGTTTTATTATATATTTAAAAATTTTTTTTAAAGTACTTTTTAATTTAAACGTAATTTTTAAAAATGATATTTATTATATGTTACATACCTTGTGAATGACAATAAATTATAGGGGCAATTATATTTTACGCTTTTAAACAAATAATTAAGATTCAATGAAATTTTATACATATTACATTTAATATACACAAACTTATAAACTAGCTGGAGGTTTAGCTAACAAACTAAATAGCTAGTATTCAAACTATTTAGAGACTTAGCCAGTTTAAAAACTAACCAGCTAATATACAAACTAAACTATCTAATTTACAATCTAGGTAGCTAATTTTTGTTTTTTAGATTTCGGAGTATATTTTAGGATCTGTGTCTTTTTAATATATTTTTTTAAGCTTATTTATAATTATTTTATTTTTAAAAAAAATTATTAACTTTTATATATTATTTCATGTATCTTTCCTAAAATTCTTGCTTGTTTTATCATATATTTTTTTTAAATTTTGCTTTATTTATATTTTCATTTTGTTAGGATTTGGAGTCTAGATTTTCATTATACGACAGTAATTATCAGTCAAGAAGATTGATTATATTTTTCTTAGAATGGCTCAAGATTTTCTAAAAATGTGTTAGGAGAAACGAATTATTTGACATATGTGATCCAAGTTGTTAGTGTCAAATATGCACAAAAAGTATGTAATGCAAAGAGATAGTACAAGTGAATTAGTAGCATGTCTAGGCATGGCATAACATGTAGGAAAATACAATTCAAGGAAAACTATTAAAAAAATTAAACTTATTGATTGGAAAGGGGGGGGGGGAATAAAATTTGACAAAATGGAGAAAAAATAAGTTTAATAAAAGAAAATAATTATTAGAAAACTCACAAATGGTAAATGTAATATCAGGTAAAATATATAATAGGCTAAAAAAATGGGGGAAGGGGGGGGCAGAATTAAACATGGAAGAAATGATATTTTAAAAAAAATCAAAAGAATCAATAATGAGATAAATTTATGATTTAAATCAATTCTCTCGTTGTTTGTATTTTAATAACTTTAGTTTTTGTTTTCAAATAAATAAAAAACATTTTATTATAATACCTCATTTTTACTATATTTCGCATATAAGTTTTAATTGGTTCCTAAATTTTATTATTATATGGTTTTATAATAGGTTTGCTTTAATCCTGAAATTATTTTTTTTGGTATAATGAACTACTATAAAATTTTAAAATTTTTATATTGTTAAATTAAAAGATTTATCAAAAGGTCTCGATAATTATATCTGGCATGTTTAATAGATATTTTATTTATTATATATTTTGTCATTGATAGAGAATACTAAGATTAATTCTGATGCAGTTTATAAATATTAACTTAATTATAGTTTATGTAAAATTATAAATATTAAAAAATATTTAAAAACTGGAAATAATTTTTACAAAGTTTGTATATTAGCTAGCGAGTTCCTAAATTAGTTAACTAATTTATAAACTAGCTAAGCCTCTAATTAGTTTAAATATTATAAGTTAGCTTATAAACTAGATAAACCTCTATCTAGTGTTAGTAAACTAGCTAAGTTTTTATATTAGTTGTAATAAATTTACTAATATTTAAAAAAAATGATAAATTATAATAATAGCAGAAAATTTTATAAGTAAGAAATTAAAAAATATATATATATTATTCAAAATTTTTAAGCATATATCTTAAATACTTTCATTCTTTTCGGAAATGGAACAGAATAATAATAAAAAATGTCCATGTTCCTAGGCCCCTGGTTTTAATGTTTCAAGCATAATTTATATAAATATCAAAGATCTTAAAATTACCATTTTTTAGAAAAATATTTTTGAACCTCTTAAGGAGAAAAAAATAAATAAAGAAGACCATGCCAGGGTTCCAGAATCGGGTCCAGCAAAAAAGCTCAATAATAAGGAAATAGAAAATGAGGTTTAAAAAAAAATTGAAATATTTTTAAAAATCAATAGTTATATTATATTATGATCTAAATTTGTTTTTTTTACATAACTTAATCTTTTACTTATAAATTAACATGCGGCAAATGTATCCCTTTGTAACATTTATTTACAATATCTTTACATATATAAAACGTGGTTGTTATTATAAAATAAGTTGAACATACTAAGTTTTTTTTTCTAATAAAAAAAAAATTTGGCCATCCAACAACAGAATTAATTAAGGATTAAATCTATGAAATTTAATCCTAAAATAATTAACTTGTTATCTCAAAAACTATGATATCAAATTTAAAGCGGATAGATCAAGAGGTTTATTAAATTAATCTTTTGTATAGGCGTCATTTCAATACTAGAGACTAGGTTTATTCAAAAACGAATACTTTAAACGAATCAAATAATTTATTATTCGTTCGAAAGAACCGGATACGAATATATTCGTTTTTGAATAGGGCTAATAGGGAAGTGTATGTCAATTTATTTTATTTCTTTCCTATAATTTTTTGACCAAACAATAAATAAAAATGGTAATTGCTTTGTGTTTTTACTTGTTATTTTTTAAAAAAAGATATATTTAAATATGAATTCAAATCCATGATATTTTTACTATTTTTTTGTATTTCATTTAGAATTTTAAAATCTTGATAACGAAAAATCTAAAATAAAAACGAATAAATTTTTATAAAATATCAGAGTTAGAAAAAAGAAATTTTTAAATACATTTTGTAAACCGCTATAATAGATAGTGGATATCTCTATGATACTATGGCAGGGAACTAAAAACAAAATAATTTATTAGTGTTGGTTTTAAAATAATTTTTTCCGCTTAAAAAAAACTAATGTTCAAAAAAATGTATTTCTTTCTTTCGTTCTTTCATTTTTAAGGTAATAATTTGAAAAATGATTACTTCTAAAACACCAATTATTACCAGATCTGTAGGTAATAGGTTCAGGTATATAATGGTCTAGGTAATTATTTAACCACTATGTCACCTCATACTTTCATATTTAGTAATGTAGTCTAATAGGTAAGAGTGTAAGATTATAATTATAATCATTTTTATATTGTTATTAATTTTTTTCAAAATGATAACTCTCAAGAAACCTCAAATTACGAGGGGGCTCAAATAAATGTCTATTTTTAAAGAGGACCCTAAGATTTTTGCGGTACCCCCTCTGATAGTTTTAAAAGTTCCATATTTCTGGCTTACATTTAAATATTCATGATAATGATTCCAGATTAAGTCTTCTTTACAACTCACCATTTTTGTAAATTAAATATAATAATCGTTCCCTCTCCTAAGCCTTTTTTTATCCCCTTCACATAATTACTATAAAAAATTCTATTTAAATGTTTTAATGGCATTATGAAAAATTATAAAAAGATCTGATTTTAATCAAAAACAGATTTTAAATAATTTTCACAATTTATAAATTTCATCGTTATAGATCCACGTTATAATTATTAATTAGCGATTTCTGCATATACTACTTTTGTAATAATAAAAAAATCGATAGAAATGGAATTATTAAACTTAAATGGTTCCATATCATTAGGGCTGCTAAAAACACAATTTTATATAACTTTATAAAAAAATATAACCGTTGTTTTGCTCTTGGTACCATTTAGTGGTTTTCCTATATTTTTTTTAATAAAAACCTTTTTTAATTTTAGTTTTTTGTTTAAATTAGGTTTGGATTGTTTAACCAAAAAATAAATGCATTTTTGGTCTGAATTTTATTTAATTTCCATTTTTGTTTTGTTTACACATTTAATTAATTATGATCCAAATGTTTATAAAAATTTAATAACATCACCCAAATTATCATTTTTTGTTACATATTTTTATTTTACTATTATTATAATAGTAAATCGATATTAAAAAATATGACAGGAAAGATAATTAAATATTGGATGAATACATGAAGCAGATATGAGTATTATCCTCCCGAAATTTTTGCGATATGATAAATTTGGGTCAAAATTTTTGAATTGCTCCTTCTTAATTCATTAGGGATTTAGGGATAGATTTTATAAAATGTGTGCCATTGAGTTTCTATATGTTGTAAAAAATAATAATCAGAATGAATGGCGAGTTTGTTAGAGTAAATTTTTTACAAGTCACTTAAATAAGTCCTGAATTTCTATGGAGATGCGAACAGGTATAATTAAAAAAACATACTTTATCTGCTAGGAAAGGTATATTAGTTTAGGTTCATTTTCGTGTATGCTTTTTCGGAATATAAGAATTCTTTTCTTGAGCCATAATTATCAAAGTTTGACTCAAACCACTTGTAAAATTATTTTAAAAAATAGTTTGCATCCAGAGATATTATTTGAAATTAATCTAGATATGATAGTTGGTCGGATTTCGTCCATTAAATTTAGTCAGCAAGACAGAGAAAACTCGTAATAAAGTTTCCAAGAATAATTCTGGTAAAATTGACAACTCCGCTATTATGATACAGAGGTAAAATCCTGACTGGAATGCCGTTTTTTTAAACTTCGATAAAATAAGAAATAAAGTAGGAGATAAAATTTTTATAGTACTTTTGTGGGGACATCAACCCGACTCATAGAATTGTTTTATCTTTGAACAGTGTTGAAAACCAGCAAAGAGTAACTAGATTTTTACAAGTGAGATATGTTTTTTAAAAAAATAATGACGCTATTTTGTAGGCGTACTAAAAAAAATGAGTGTGCTCTGTAAAATAAGGTTAAATTAAATATTTTATACTTATAATTTAGATTAGACGGATCGTATCTATATAGAAGCGTGTCTAAATAAAGATATTTAATAGGCACATTAAGATATATTTTGGAGGCCTCCAAGCACTGAAGATCAAATTTTTTATTATTGTTGGGAAAATTGTATGTTAGTAAACGGGGAAAATAATATTACATATTGTGATTTATAAGAAAACACAGATTTTAAGTTTTTCACCTAAAATTCACAAAATTTAGAATAAATTACCTGGGAATTTTTATTAAAACCATCAATTTCAAATTGTGCCCTTCGATTCGAGGCAATGATCATTATTAGGATTGCTTTGGAATTGGGCTGACGACCCCAAATCCAATTGACCACTTTAAGCCATTGAGGGTGAGACCCCCTACTCCTTGACGACTTAAATATATTATTTAAATATAAAAAGGCGTTTGTTAACCCCCTTGAGTCAAACCCCTACATTGCATTCTCACTTCAATAGAGAATCCTAATATGAATCCTAATATGACCAGTGTCCAACGTGGCTATTCAAGTTAGGTTTTATTCATGTTAATAATCGTTCCCGTATTTATTTAGAGTTGGAATGAAACTGTAAAATATATTATTTTTTTTAAAAAAAAACTTACGTAGATCGAAAGAATAAATAGAATTTAAATTCTGGATGGAAGAAACGTAGAATTGCAAGCAGAAATATGTGATTTGAGTGAATAGAAAAATTGTTCCATCTAACCCCATATTTTAAAAAATTAATTATAGGATTAGACCAGTGCTATAGGGATTTTCTTTAAGTTTGTACTTATCTCCATTTTCCAATTTATAAAATTAAATATTTCTCTTCACATGACGTTAAATATTTTTAAAATAAAATATTTTTATGCTTTTCTTTGTTTAATAATTTATTTTCATTTTTTATATTTTATTTTATCATACACAATTAAATTAACATTATATTTATGATATTTTTTTTTTATTTACTTGAGATTTGATTTTGAGAAGAGAAAATTAGCATAAACAAAAGCCATTATATGTAAAAAGAAATTATTGGTTAGCAATAAATAAATAAAAAATTATAATAAATTGAGAAAAAGTGAAAAGTAAGAAAAAATAAAATAGAAGATAAATTTAATTATTAGGTTTTAAAATTATCATAGAAAATTAAAATTTAGTTATTCTAATTTTGTAAAATCCTTCGAAAAACGTTTGTTTATTGTATTCAACAAATTCATCAAATTAATTAGGGAATATTCCCTATTTTTTTAAAAACTTTTTACCTCCAATCAAACTGATAGCCAAAGATTCCATTTAGATTTTTGAAAAATTTATTTAAAATTTTTATATCAGGTCAGTTTTTTTACCTCGCATAGAAGGGAAAGACCCATTCACTTGACAAATAAATATTTTAAGCCAGTGACTCGGGACTCTTGTTGGGAATTCTATTGGTACCCGTTCTTTTCAGTATTTTTAAGATTACTTTCCAATTTTCATGTTCAAAAGGTTCTAAGAAGCCAAAATAAGCTATTATTTTAGTAATGGCAGCTTTAGTGCGCTACTTTAAAAAAAAATAGCGATAAAGGTAGCTCGCTACTAATTTGGAAAGTAGGCGCTACTTTCACTTTTATATAATAAATACAAATAAAAATTGTTAAAATATATTTATAATTAATTCTAAAATTATAATCTTATTATTTAATTTTGATATATTATTACTTTATAATTTATTATTTTATAATTATGGAGATTTAAAAAACTGCAATATAAATCTAGTTTTCAAAATAATTAATAATTTAAAATGCCGACGTAGAGATTGATATTGAAGATAATTTTCGTTAGATCATATAAAGTAATTTTATTGGAAAATGATGATAATATGTAATTTCCTCTTCCTGTATCTGTAAAATATTTTAATATCGATATTAAAATTAATACAGAATATAAATTTCATTGTAAGATGTGCTGGAAGGTATTATCATCAAACAGGACTAATAACTTCAACTAGGAAACATTTAAAAATAATATATCAAACAAATTTCATATCAAAGGGTAGCATAATTTTTATTCTGTAAAATAAAATTTGAATCAAAGCTGTATCTATAATAGTTTTTGCTAGATGAGTTTATGTGATAGTTAATTTTCTGGCCCATTTTAAACGTGGTAAGATATATTTATTAATTACTTATAAATTAAGAATTACAAGAAATAAATATTGACTTTTATTTATCATTAGTTCATCTATTTAATGATAATATTTTATAAATTATCATCTGGATTTTAAACATGTATCTTAACATATATTAACTAATTTTGAGAGAAATTGGTACAATAGGTAAAAATTAAAGGGTAGTGGACTGGTCAGTTGGCAAATATGGTCATCCACTTATCATCTACATATTTTTCATTCTAAAGATTACTATAATAACTTTAGATTACCCTAGCCAGATCAAAAATGCTACCTATTAGGGGTGATTTTTTTATAATTATATCATTGAAAATTCTTTAGACGCATTTTTTCTAAAAATATTCAAATGAATATTTTTGATGATTTATCTTATATAAAAAATATAATTTAAGGTTAATATTGCATTGCGTGCTGGTGTTTAACGATTATTTAGTCATAGCTTATACTTTCTGATAGTCGCTCTAGACTTGGGGATAGCAGTCTGGAAATTAGTGATATGTATCGGGCCTAATTTTTAAAACCTTGCCCGAAATTATTTTTAAAAAATTTTCTTGCCCGAACTCTATCCCGAACAATATTTTTATTTGTCCCAAGACCGACTAAAATAAAAAAAAAATTTATTGTAAAAGAGATATTCTACAATAACAAATATTAACGCCATGTTTCTTCCAAGGAATTCAAAATGTATCAATTTATTTGACAAAATGTAATGATGTTTCAAAACTTAAGCCCGACCCGGCCCGGCACGAAATTTTTAAGAAATATTAAGCCCGACCCAGCCCGAACCGAAATTTTTTAAAAACAGACACGGCCGGGAACGACAGCGTGGGTTTCAGATCTCTAATGGAAATATTATTATGAGAGCAAAAATAAATAAATTATATATATTAGAAATTTTATTCATAGAATAACTAATAGCGGGCTACTTTTTTGAAAAGGCTAGCGGTAGCGATAGCGCGATACTTTTAAAAGTAGCTTGTGCCTATGGTCATTCAAATCATTCTTATTTTTCTAAAATGGTCTCAAAATGGAAAATTTAAGTATAAATATATAATGATTGTTTAAATGATCTATCACCTGATTTTTAAACTGGTTTAATAAAATATCAATCGTAATTTTCCTTGTTTAAAAATTCTTTCTAATAATCTTTAACTAGACATTAATTTTATTTTAACCCAATAAGATCACGTAAGGCCGCCCTTATTTGTTTAAAAAAAGATATTATAAAAAAAATTGAGACCAAATTTATTTTAAAATATAATCGATAAAAAATAATAGTGTCCCTTTTAAATTTGATAGCAAAGACAAAAATTATTAACTAAATAATATGATTTATTAAATATTGATTTTGTGATGGCATAATTTTGTTTGGTCTGGTATTATAAAAAGATTTACTTTTTTTTACAATTTTAATCTACTCTCAGGTGTATAATATTTAATTAAGCCCTAATATTAAATTACTCCTACATTTTTTAATTATGCTTTATTTTTTTTAGTGTAATTTTAATTACAAATAAGTCTGCAGAAAATTTAAACGAATTATGAAATATTTTTATTCGATTCGTAAATTTCGAAACGAATAAGTACACGTATTTGCAATAATCGAATAAATGAGTATTCGTATTTGTACGAATTGCATAATCTACTATTTGTACTCGCAATTAGAGATCTGCAAATCACGGTCTCGTCCGTATCGGGTTTTTCTGGATATATAAAAAAGTTCGCTCGGGATCGGACCGGGCACTAGCCGGGCTTGAAAAATAAGGCCCGATGCAGATTACTACTCATAATATCATATACTCAAAAAGTTTCACGAAGCGCGAGTCAGTTAATTCACAATTAAGTTTTTTTTATTTTTGAAAAATTAGATCAATAAAAGTATGACGATATTAAAAATATATTTTTAGATATAAATTAGCTTCATATTTGTAAATTATGATTTTCTAATAGATTCAAATTTCTTTCTTTCTTTTGATAGTTAATTTATTAAGAAAATAAGGAGAATATTTATAAATTTTTAAGTGTAACTGTTTTAATTAACGTTTTATATAAATATTTATATATTTATTGCTCTAACTAATATTTAATAAATAAATCTATATGTATTTGGTTTTAAATAAATAAATATATATATTTAACCTGTCTTTGGCCATGCATTTTATTGACTTTGTGGAAAAGAAATAAATACAGTGGACAAGGAAAGTAATGCTAGACAATAATTGTAAGAAGATCGCCATTCTTTATTTTTAAGAAAGAGTTATAAAAATTAGTAAATATATTGAAGAAATGGAATAAATTATACTTTACGAAGAAGATAATATTTCAAAGAATATAATATTTCAAAGAATATAATTATTTAATATATAATGACTACTACGCCACCAAAAGGTTTTTGAGAGAATTGTTTTATTTAGGAAATAATATAACTGAAAAATTGTTACAATTTCATATTTATCTTAAATAAAAATCAGTTTGGATTTTGATATTAACGCAAAAAATAATAACTTAAGAATTAAACAATATTTCCTCTATTATTAAATCAGTTCCACTACAATCGATCGTTGCTCCACTTGGTTTCGTACGTCGCCTATCGCCTTATTGATTGTCTAGCTTGCTTGTTGATTTGTTGGTTGAGTTTGTTTATTACCGTTCGTCAACTTCTAGCAATTTTAACAATTCTTATATTAATCTGATAAAAAAAATTTAGGAATTGGGGATCGGGGTTCCCCAAAACAAAGATTAGAGGGATAAAATAAAAGAATTTAAGGGACGTATATTTATTGCATTTTTTGATTTCTTGGAGTTCCGAGCGATCAGGTTACTATTGGCAGGAAATGGCATGCGTCTTAGACATTTGCCGTAGAGCCAAGATGTAAAAGACATGCCATAGCTTACCATCCTCATTTGAAAGACTTAAAGACGTCAAACTATTGGAAAAACCTGCGGAAATTAAAGATTTGCTGATCAACTTATTCAGATTATTATCCGCAAAAAGCGGCCTCTGACTTTAAGACACGAGAAACAATGTCTAGAAAATGAATCAACTTGCTTATTACAGGCAGTATTAATGTCAACGGAAGGGATAAAACGACATATAGCAATTTGGAACTCATCATTTGTGAGTAACATTTCCTCTTCAATCAATTATTTTTTACGTAATTAATATTATATAGAATATAACAAAGTTTATTAGGCCAAGATTATATCTAAAATTTAATGTAATTTAATAAGAATACTTCTTGAAATTCCATTTTCAAATAACAAAGGATATTCGTCCTCAATTTAATAAAAAATCGTTTTAAAGTAAAAAAAAGTCTATTCAAATTTTTTTTTTTTGAGGAATAAGATGATTCCTATTTTTCTAGCTCACCATTGACTTCATATATTACCAATATACGATAAGATTAATAACTTTATAAAGTTCAAAAAGAAGGAACAATAAAAAATAAAACTCAAACATTGCGTAATTTTTTCATACTCGTACGTATGATGCAATATAATCAGGTATGTAGCAAAAAACGTCAGTTGAGGGGGGAGGGAGTTTATTTTGGGGCTACTATATTTCTTTTAATAGATATTAGATACAAATTTGGAGGTCAAATTAAAGCTCCAATTTTTTTTAGAGGATTCACTCACCCCCTTAGGGGCTAGAAATGATTTTAATAAAAATAACTATTTTTTAAAAAATAAATTTATTTAAAAAGTTATCATTTCAGTTCCTATGTGTTTCCCATTTTAAGAGACGTGTAATTTTTTGGAAATAACATTTATGTCTATAAAAATAGATCTCACAAGATTTAAAAGAGTACTACTAATTCCTCTCCTTCTGATTTGCATTATCTTACCAGTTATAAATATTTATTTTAATTTGGTTTTAGGAAGTTTTTAACAAGAAGTCCACTATCACAAATATAAATATACCGTAAATTTCTGGAAAAATTAAATAATTTATTATAATGGCTTGGCTTTAGATTAAAAAAAATTATTGCAAATATTTGCATATTATTCTAAAATTAACGAATAATTAGCGATATTTACTAAAATTTGCAATTTTCAAATTTACGAATATCACGAATAATGTGAATATGTTAGCGGCAATGTGTTATTTTTTAAATTTTAAATGATCATGTTTTGAATACCTGACCTATGAATTTTAGACGATTTTGTCATGAACCTTTAAATTTAGTATATATATTCATTTTTCCATAAATTAATGTCTCAAAGATTAAGGACAAAATTATCCACAATTTATAAGAAAGATATTCTAAACATGCTGGAATACATTTCCGAAAAAAATCAGATTTAAATTTTAAAAAAGGCGCTTAAAAAATGATTTAAAGTTGAAAAAATAACACATTGCCAGAAAAAACACATGACAAATAATTTAAATTTGTTATTTGTTGAAGATTTTATTAAAAATTATTATTCATATTCTATTCGAATTTTTCAAATCGAATGATTTATCATTCGTATCTGTAAATTTCTGATCGCATATAATTATGTATAATACCAATAAAAATTATTTTACAACACTATTCATTTTCAAAAATAGGGTTATGTGTACGTCTGTCAAATTTTTTAACTCGAGTTCAGTCAGGTTCAGATTCGGATATTATTCCAAAAATGTGGGGTAAAAGTTTAGATCAGAAGGTTGCAAATAAAAAGTAAGAACTTTCCGCGGTATTAGTATCAATGTAATAAACCAAATATTTGATCTAATAAAATTTTTTAGTTCTAAAAAAACCTATCCTTCCGTGAATCAGACTACAATTAAACACTTAGCAATGTTGAAAATGAAAAGCAAATTATGGAAATCTCCCTTGAGATGATAACGAATTATATTTAAAAAAATATATAAACTCAGACACGGAAAAATATTCAAGAACAAACGTAGAAAAGGAAAAATGAAGCTTTCCGCTAAATCATAATCTAAGAGATGAGTTTTTCTCTACTATAACTTTGTTGACAAAGACAACAGTTAATAAAGTTATTAAAGATGTTTTAGGTAAAATTAGGAATTTAATAATAATTAAAAGGGAGATAGGAATATTTAATGCAAATTTAAAATGTTAAATCAGCTCTAACATTTTTTAGAAATTTTTGAAATAATAGGAAAGATCTCATTATAACTTCAAACTAAAAATTTTAATATTTTATCAGCTTGGAAACAGATCGATGATGCCAAGTTTTCTGTACCTTTATAACCTTCACATTCATTCAAAATAATGGCAACAAATTTATTGAAAAGATTTCTGCATAAAATCTACCAGTTAGAATTTGTGTTACTGGAGTGTATAAAATAAGTCATACAAGTAGGATGTGTATTGTATTGATAAATGCAAAGAATAATGCTCAAAGATTCGATTTACACTCTGCTGTTGTAATATTAGTTTATATAATTGATCAAATTACAAATAGTTTGCCCGAACAGTTCGGTTAATAAAGAGCTTAAAATGTACAAATATGAAATAAATACTTCTGAAAAAGACTTGAAGAAAGTTTTACAGTTGGAAAATGTATTCAGTGTACAATATGAATTGTTTTTATTTGCTCGTAATTTACAAAGATTTAAGTCGGATTAAATGAAAATACAGACGATATAATTAGTGATGCGAATCTAATAAATAGGAAGGAAATAATATAAAATAATAACTATAAACCAAAAGTGCAATAACAAGTGTTTTTTTAAAGAAGATATATAACTGCTAAGTTACCACAGTTATCTAAATAAAAGGTTAACATTTTACCTTTATTTCGATTATGTAATGGCTATAAAAAAGCTTTTCATTACATAACTAAATAAGAATAAAAATCGAAAAATGTGATAAAGAATTTTATTGATTTATTTCTGCATAAAAAAGGTCTAACGGCAGTATAACAAGGTATAAATGGAAACTAGTTCATTACTATTCTAATAAATATAATAACAACCAAATATTATCATTTTTAGGATTAGCTTAAAGGACTAATTTTTCAAATAAAGCATCATTTTTTCTCATGTTTGATTTATTAATTAAAATGGTAAACAAGGGCTCGAGGAGGAAAGTTAAACACTAATAAATATTTATTCGATTACTGAATTTTTACATCAGAGACCTGTGGAGGTACCTTTTATATGGCCTGGCCGGAATATTTTTTTTAAAAAAAATTTTTCAGCCCTGCCCGACCCGAGTTTTATATTTTCAGGCCCGGCCCGCATTTTTTTAAATATATTTTATTTTATTTATTTTTTAGATAATAATGGTCACTTAAAATGGTTTAAAAATATATAACCCGGTCCGGGAATATTTAAAAAAACAAAGTAGACCTCGGCCCTCGTACTCGGGCCGGGGTTACAAATCTCTGCTGATATATATTGTATATTGATTTCATGGTTAAGATATAGGATTATTATTTGTAAATTACAACTGGGAAGTAAAAAAATGATTTTTCGGTTTTATCTTGTAAACTAGTGTAATTAACAGAGTTGTTAAAAGATACTTTTTTAATGGATCTAGATACAGATACAGATACATAGTCTCAAAAGTTATCTAGATACAGATACAGCGTCTAAAAAGTTATCAAGATACAGATACATTTTTTATTATGCTCTTATAGGTTTGCATAAAGCTAAATTAATATTATATTGTGAAAATTCATGAAAGGAGCTAAAAAATTTATTGACGCGATATAACATTTATCAGAATATAACTAAAATAATGATTTTAATATAATATATGAAAATATATGATTAAATAATTATTAATAATTATTAGATTTCAGTAATAAAATATTTTCAAAATTTTGATCATTTAGGCATCCTCGTTTATCTGTAAAGACATTTTTAGCAACACTAAATAGTCTTTCCACAGGGGCGCTTGTAGGAATTGTAGTGTTATATTTAATAAATAACAATTTTATATCAGGGTATTCTTTAAAAATGCTTAAATCTCTACATTCATTTTTGAAAAATTATTTAAAATTTGTTGATTATCAAAATTTAAATCATTATTAGAAATTATATCTGCTGTAGGGTACTGAAAAAAATCTGAAATTAAATCTTTGTTTTTTTTTGGCAAGTTATTTTCTTGCAGTCAGTTGATGACTTTGATAATTCACCAGCTTATCTTTGTATCAATTGTTTTTTTTATTAAGATTTTCTTCCATTTGCAACCATGTCCAATCAAGTTTAAAAAAAGGGTGGAGCATGGTTGCTATAATATTATCATCTTCAAATAAGGTCACAATAAACCTAGAATTATTAAATATTTTTAATTTATTATATTAATTTACCTATCCTCAATCCCTTTAAGTAAGGCATCTAAGAGTGGTAAACAGATGAAATAAAATAAATTTTACAGTCAAATATTTTTATTTATAATAAAAAAAGGGGTATATAAAATGTATCTTAAAAAGTATCTAAAACAGATACCTCTAAAAAAATATCTAGATACAGATACCTTTCTAAAAAATCTATCTAGATACAGATACTACATTTTTATATCTAGATACTTTAACAACTCTGGTAATTAATATATGATTGTAACATTAAATAACATGATAATGTTTTTAAATGAAACTTTTAATAATATACTTTTAACAATCTATATTATTCAATCCATCTTCCACTGTACTAACATTGTCTTCCCTTGCTGAAGTAACATTAAGTTTGTGTACCTTAATGTAACGTTTGTTTTTCGTTTCTTTTAAAACATTTATTTAATAAATTTTTTAAACAAAATTTATTATTTTTTGATAAAAAGATAATAAACGTTTAAATAGAATGCCTGATTGTTAATGAAACAAGGAGATTAAATAAAGACAGGAAATAGGATTGCTTTATTTTCAAATCTTTTCGTTATGGGATTTAATGATAAAATTTTTTTATTTTCTTAAATAATGGCAACTTAACAATCATATAAAATACTATTACTGAAACTATATTTGCAATATGCCTAATTTTATATACTCTCGATGTAATATAGTATATTATATTATTTAGATTTTATAGTACAATATTTAATAATTTTATATGTACATTTAATATGATATTATATATGGAATACTAAAAAAATTCCCCATAAGACCATAGCTTGGCCAATCCGCCCCTGATCTGATAAGTATATATATTAACAATTTAGTCTACTTTTATTACATATATATAATACAACAATAATAAAAACAATTACATTTACGATATAAGTTATAAATTGATTGAGTATATATAATATATATAAATTACAGATACATAGTTTATATTGTAAATACTATATATTTATATTAGCGTTTAGTCTAAATATTAGAATTTTGGTTGACAACAAAAAATTAGATAATTTTCTTTAAATTATCATATAAATCTATTTTTTAAAAAAATGTGTCTAATATAAAAGTGTGATTGAAAATTTTTATAATTTAAATTAGGTTTATTTAAAAAATATCCTTTTATCAATAAGTATTACAAACATTACTATATATACTGTGAGATCGTAATACCTTGTCATTAGATTTGAAAGTCAAGGAAGGATCAACCAAATAATTCAATATAATCAGAGTATAATTTCAATTTATTTATAATACAATACACATTATAATATATTTTTTTTGGAATGCAATCTCAATTACCGACAAATTTGGGAAAATAAAAATTGGAATTGTGATTTAAAATTTTTTTTATAACGGATTATTCAATCTTGGAGCAAACGTCAAAAGGTCATCGTTTATCATTTGCACGTGAATGTTGTATATGCCATCTATCCCAATAACGTAGTAAATACCATCCTGTCGACGTCTAAATTGGTAACCGATAATTTTGCGCAAATACTTTTGCATAAATGCTAAAGCCTGTATATTTAGGTTAAATAAACACAATTGAACAAGCCATAATTAAATTCGGTTCATATAATCGTAAAGTTTACATAAATCATTTTTTTTTGATATAACAAAAGAATTGGTCAATTTGTAAAAAAAATCGAGCACATATCCCCTAATTAATTATAAAATATATATTTTAAAAAATAATGTTCGCCATTTTTTTAAAAAAAAATTGATTATATTCATTCGTTAATTTATCGTTTGCTCCTTTGCTGATGGTTATTTAAAATAAAAAGGGGGTAATAATTATGAATACAGTAATTTTCTCAACATTGCCATAAAATAAGGTGTTTCAACAAAACTATTTTTGAAATGTCCAATAACATTTTTATTGCTTCCGAATGTAAATATACAAAAACGTATTTAAAAAAATATAATATTTAGCACTTTTCAAGTAGTTAACAAACATACCCAAGAGCTAGATTTTTAAAAACGGCTAACTCAATATTTTAGCCAGAAAAATATTGTCTAAGCCTCGAGGCTTCGCTAATAGATGAATAAACGTGCTATCTATGACCAAAACCTTCAGTCTTGCGTAATATTGTTCTGGCTAAAATATTAAGTTAGCCTTATAAAAATCGGCTCAAATCGAACCCTTTAACAACACTAATTATAGTATAAAATATTTATTATCACCAGAGACGTGACTGGTTATTTTATTTATTTTAGTGGTTCTTAAAACTTAGTATTTTAATTTAAAAAAATGATTTTAAAAACCTTAGATTTTTCGTTTATTATAATAATGCTAAATGATTTTTAGTGATTTTAAATTCACTTAAATTTTTTAACTAGTCTTAGGAATGTCGAAATATTTTTTTTTTTGGGGGGGGGGGGTATTGTGTAATATTGTGAAATCATTATCGTAGTGATATTTATGACCGAACCTATACTTTTACGAATAATCACAATTTAAATTCCTACTTATAGATTTCAAAATTACAGATATTTATAAACTACAAAAGATTTTATTGGTGTTATTGGCATATTTAGATAAAAATATATTATCATTTTTCAATAAATCAAATTTTATAAAGTTATGGTTATGACAAATGTTTTAATGGTTTTTTAAGAGATATTGGTGTATCTAAATAAAAATGTATTATCATTTCCTCAATAAATCATAAATTTTATAAAAATTAGGACAAATGAATTTCATGTTTTAAGATGATAGGGTATATTTAAATAAAAATATATTATTATCAATTTCACAGGAAATATATTATTAATTTCTCAGGATAAGGGATTTTCTCATTGGTGTTTTAAGATGTTGAAATATATACTTAAACACTAAATCTTAACTAATTTAATTTCTCGATTTACATTTACAACTAATCATAGATAAAAAAAAATGATTATAAGGCAACAAAAGATTACCTAGTAACAAGGCAATATACTTCACTATTTAAAAACAACCTAGGGAAAAGCTAATCATTATATGGTTAAAGAGGATACTCTATAGAAATACAATGAATAAAGAAAGTAAAGGTGATCACTAAATAAGAATTTGATATTAGATTGTAGTTTAAGGTTCTAATATTTTTTAACATACGCGTAAAAAAAGTCACAGTTGGGTCCTTGGTGTGGACATCGAGAACGGTTCAGACTGAGATTATAAAAAAAGACTAGTTATGATTATGCAAAGTTTATTTTTATATATAAAAAAAAGAAAGTGAGTGACATGACATTAACCTCCTTATATTTTTCAGGTTTTACGATAACTTTGTCCAATTTGAAGATGAGACATTTGGGGTTAGATTTGAATTGAGAGGGTAAAGGTACAACTTTATCGAAATGATAACATTTTTCGTAGCCGTAGTCAATAAGAAACATTGTGCACTAAAAAAAGAAATTATTATTGAAAATAAGTTGCTAAAAAAACAATAAATATTATAACAAGCCTGTGACTGAGTGATACGAAAGCAAGATGTAATTAATAGTGAAACTATATGAACTTTAGGCAATTATGATCTAATATATTATTTTAAAATTATAATATAATTTCTGTGTAATAAAACCTTCGCAGGTGATTTAAAACTAACTCAGCTTTTTAACTATACTATAATGAAAAAGAGAACATGTACATATGTAATCCTTTATTTAGTTTATGATGGATGTTGTAAATCCTAAAAATAACAAAACTTTAACTAATAGATTATTGATAAAGATTGATCATTTGTGACACTTAGATATTTAAAAAAGAAGTTGTTAATCACTCCCCAGTCATTTTTTGCTTGTCATAATGTATATCACTTGCAGAATTCCATATGGCCCTGCACTGCACACCCTATTTATTATTATTGCGATATGTAAATTATTTTTGATTTTCCTAGCATTATAAAACTGATTGGAAAAAATGACAATTAAATATATCTTTTAAACAAATAAAATTTATATTGGGTAGATTATATAAAAGTTTTTTTTAATCTTATGGTATATTTGGGAAATTTTAAAAGAAAAGAGAAGTTCTTTCTTTCTTTCTATGTGCTAGAATTGTGGTAGTTGAGGTGAATGTGTGATAAATTTCAATTTTTTCAAAAAAATGTGATAGTCTACTAGTCAATATGGTAGACATGGCAACCCTGATCCTAAACATAACCATGGGAGTTTTAAAAGGAAAAAAAGTGTACCGAGCTGAAATCGAACAAGTGCGGTAGCGTTTCTGGCTCAAATTATCTAACCTTTAAGCCTCAACCGCCACTCCAAAACAATAATTTTTTAAAGCATTTTTGTCTAAAATTAATTATCATTACCCAAAATAATAATAATTTGAGAGGTCATATTTCGAATAATTAAATTACCATGTCAGGGTGATTATTTTGTATACATAATCCACGTTGATAGTCATTGTGGTCCGCGCAAATGTACAACTAATAAATAAATAAAAAAAATATCGATTATTCGATATAATAAAAATAATAACAAACCTCATTATTTTGGATATCCGATTGACTTTTGGCGGGAACTGATTTTTTCAATTCTTTATATATGTCGGCCAATTGGGTTTCCATATAGTTCAATTTGATAATTTGGCATTTGAGTTGGCACGCAAAGGTTAATGGGTCATAAACATGAGTAATTTTAGCGAAGGACTTTAAAATAAAATAATGAAATTAATTAAATATGCGAATCTCGATTGCATATTATTTTAAAAAAAGTTAAAATATAAATGAAGGTAAATTTGAATCTAAATGATGTAACTGTCAAAGCTAGTGGTATATTTATGAAATGAAGAAATGCAAACTCTGAATATCATGTTTAAAAAATATATATGACGTATGTTGAAGATTGAACTATTATATCTCCTCGTCCAATTCTAATAGCCGTTAAATGATGGCCGCCCAATTCTCAAAAACAGTAAGAGATAGATATCTGGGTTTTTAAAACAAAAATCTCGTTGATAATAAAAATCAACGGATTTTGGGGTGGAGAAATACATTTTGTAAATTTAAATGCAGCAAAAAAATTGTAGCTAGGTATTCTATATTAGAGGTCTGCATCGGGGTAGACTAAAAGATTGGATGGGCCGATTCGGTGGGCGGGTCAAAAATATTTTTAAAGCAATAGGCGGGCTGGGTTAATTTGATATTTTTTTCGTGGAAAATGAACAGAAAGAACTTATATTTTTTCAAAAAAAATATTTTAATTTCATAATGTTGCATATTTTATAAGTTTAAGAAAACAAATAATGAGTCAAAACCAACCGATCAAATACTTTTAAAACATTGTGTGGGCGAGCGGGCTAAAAAACAACTTAGATAAATGTGCGGGTATGGGTGAGTTTCTTTTAAAGTATCTACGGGCGGGTGGGGGTTTAAAAATATTTAAAAAATGGGCGACAAGCGGGCTTTTGGGCCATAAACGTGCCCATTGTAGTGTTGTTAAACGGCTCGTTTTGAGCCGATTTTCCAAAGATTTTGATAATATATGTCTAAACATTTATTCCTTCTATGAAATCTTCAGGTTTACCTAATATTTTTCTGGATAAAATATTGAGTTAGAGTTTCAAATTGAAATCGTTATTTTGTATCCTTAATCCAATTAAAATAGACATTTTTTAAAAAAAATTTCAAAAAATTAATCTCATCAGTTAATTTCTCAAATTTTATAAATAGATTTTAATCCTAATTGATATCAAAATATATAGTACTACTATGTATTATTTTCAAAAAAATAATTATATATGCTATATAAATTATATCAATTTCCCTGAAAAAAATAATTAAATATTATTATATAAATTATATCAATTTCTTGAAAATAATTTTTATGCATCAATTAGCTGCAATTCGTCTATCTCTAAAATAAGAATAATATTCTAAACTTAGCAAATTAATAAGATAAAATATGATCAAATGATTGCATTTTTGTAATCTTATTCGTTCTCTAGTTCTATAGAAATGAAATTTAAATAAACACTCATTATAGTCCCGCAAATCACTGGAAATCAAACTATTTTTAATATATACTTTTATTTGCTGAATCAAACTTTCGGGCAGTATTTTTTTGAATATAAGACCTAGCCTGAAATATTTGTAGTTGAATATCAAAAATAAACAACAATTTATAATATTTGGAAGTTGGTTAGATTAAAAACATTATATTTTATGGATTATCACTGGTATCAAATATCACAATTCAAGATCACTAAGAAAATACATATTAAAATAATGTCCTATTTTTGGCAATAATAATTTGACCTTGTTTTGAAACCAAATTTAAAAAAAAACAAAACCTAATAATAATTTGTCATCAGTAAAATCATAAGCCGATAAAATAAATAAATTATTTTAACAAAATTAGTCTTTTAGAATAATTTTTTTATATTCTCTAATCTCTATTAAGCAGGCTCAGCATCTAATATTTGCAAAAAATGTTATTTTATCAGATATATAGGAGGTTTTTAAAAAAAATTAGGGAAATGCTTTACTTATCCAGTTTTTAATAAAAATTTTAAAAGCTTAGATAATTTATGGATAGCGCATGTTATTTAATTATAAAAGACCAGATTTTGTAGGAATTGCATTCCAACATGTATAGAGTGCCTTCATAGGGTAGATACGGTATGAGAGACCTGCAAGATCCGGCCCGTTACGATTTTTAGTCCAAGTTGCCCAGCCCGATATATAAAATGTTTGTTTGACTATTCTGTGGTCCGTTGGGCTATCAATTTTTTTAATATCTATATCTACCCCCCCCCCCCCCCAATATCAATTAAGACTACTAATAACTCTACTCTATTGCTATCTATTTCTATAATAATCGTTTTATAAATCAATTGTGTGTTTGATATCTGTATTGTTCATTTGTAAATTTATTACCCTTTTACATTTTTTTATATATTAAATTTTAAAATAAAAAATAAGGGTAATATATTTTAAAAAAAATTCGGCTCGCATTAATGCCAGGTGTTATTTTTTTTATTAAATTATGTTTGAAAAAAAAAATCATAACGTTTATATACCTTTGTTCTTTAAGTTTTTTTTATATTGTTATATAAAAAAAAATCTCGACTTTTTGATATAAGGAACTTCGAAATTAAAAAATGCAAGGTCCATCTTAAATTCTTTTATTTTTACCCCTCTAATCTTTAGTGTTTAGGGAAACTCCGGTCCCCCTATAGTTTTTAAATCAATTGGGTAAGAAAATTTCAATAAGGACGGGGATTAAAAATGAGTCCCTTACCCTCAAATAAAAAACTCAATAGAATACTAAAAGGGCAGGACCAGGAGTGAACTAGAATGAACCGATAAACCGTTATAAACCTTTATAAATATCTGAACCGTAACCGAACCAAAATAATTATTTTTTGAAGAAGTAAAAGGAACTTTTATAAAAAGTTAAACCGGGTTGAACAGGGTTAAACCGGTTTCGGCCAAAATAAAATAATTAATTTTACATTTTTTAACATTCTTTTCCTTGTGGTGTATTACATATTTTACCACATCATAAATATATTTTAGGGTAAATTTATATTTTGATTTTTTTGGCTCTGGCTGAATCGGGAATGGGGAATTAATTTTATGTAAATGTAGTATGATTTTAATAGTTTTATAATAGTGTTAAATAATTCATTAACAATTATTAAATAATACAGTTTGGCCGTAAAATGGTTAATATAAATATATCGAGGATGGCCCAAGCCTAAGAACAGTATAAACCGAACAGGCTTAAAAATAAAAAAACAAATTTAAGCGATGCTTAAAAATAAAAAATCACAAGCCTGGGGTATAGCGTTTTGGTCAATATAGATATACAACATTTTAAATAGGAAACAATATTATCTAAATTTAAAGCTTAGAGAATTCTTTATTTAAACCATTAAAATATTTTCGTTTATGATTTTTTAAGTTAAAAAAGATAAAATTGTATGTTTTTAATCATTTATATTAGAGATTGGCAACGCCTGACCTGTTAAGAATTTTAGCACAAATTTCCCTGTCCGGTGCGTTAAATTTTGAGAAAAGTCAACCCCGATCGGTTAAATTTTTTTTATATGAATTTTCGGCTATCAAATTTTTAATGTCTATATCTATTTTTATTTTCCCTCAATGTCAATTAAGGTTCTTTGTATAACTTTTCTCGGGCTATCTATTACTACAACAACCGCATTATAAATCAATTAAATTTGATAACTGTATTGATAATTTTAATTTGTAATTGGATCATGTCATAAGTTTAATTTTTTTGTGAAATTTAAGATAATATTTATAGATTTAATATTTTAGTTAGGACAGCTCTTAGAAAACAAAAAAATGTTATTTTGTAATTTATTTTCAAATATTATTAATAAAAACATTGGCGTAAAATTATCAAATTTGTATGCCTGGGGCCTGGCCTATTAAAATTTTACAAATATTAAAAGATTAGGTATGTAAAATTATCCGGCCTGTCCCAGCACCAATTTTTTTCATCTACGAGGCCAGTTAAATTTTTTGCTAGGCCCTGTCCATTTAATTTTAGAACTAAATTGCCCAGACTAATCAGTGGTACAGATTTTCGGATGGACTGGGCTTTGTAGATCTCTTATTTATAAAGATGATTACGATCAAAGAACAATAAAAATGGACTTCTTTATTTAAATTCTTTTAGATTGCCATGCCTCATGAACATATGTGTGGAAGTAATACCAATAATTTTTGTGAAATATATTTGAAAACTTTTAAATTGTAATTATTTATATAAATATTATCAATAATATTAAAAAAAATTCTAGAAATCTAATATATTATATTTTATAAAATATTTATCATTCAATTTTATAGTAGTCCAGACCAAGAAGATTGGACTGGAATTGGAATGGAGACCAATTTATAAAGACCTTTCACTAAAGTAAAGTCAGACTAAATTTTGAATTCAGGAGGCTGAACTAAACCAGGAATCCAAAATAATCTTTTAGGCTATGTCCTAGTTTGGGTATACATTTCTGTTTAGACTAGGCTAAATAGCTTTTGAACTAAGACACCTTATTTTGGCTTGTTTTAATTATTTGGCATTGTTATTTTATATTTTTTTGTCTCTCTCTTACTGTTTAGGCAGTTTAGTGATCAGTCAAAACCAGGACACAGTTTTATAAATTTCTAAATCAATCAAATCATTATAATATTTTGAAAGCAGAAAATAAAATTATTATAAATACTTTTGAACCCATTTAAACTAGTTAATAACAATTTTAGTTATGGGTCATTCCATGTCAAATCAATCACTTTTCGGCCGACCCCTTTCGATTTCGATAAAAATTCGTAGGCTGGTTATATATGTTCCCATTAGATTATAAAAAAAATTTTAGCGCATTAGAAACTATATTAGCGGAGATATTCGGGGTTAAAGGTCCAAAAAACGTCTTTTTTTGCTTTTTACTGATGTTAAATAATTAGTTTTTAATTTAAAACTAAATATGATCAAATATTGAATCTAATATCAATAGCCAAGTTAATAATTGATGATTATGGCGAAAATCAAAATTAATTTTTGATAAAATATGGGTCATCTTATGGTCAGTTGAAAACTTGAAATTAATATTTCGAAATGTATATGATCTCCGATTTTTAATTTTTTTAAGAATTATTATCCGTTTACTATTTTTTTAATAATTTATTCGACAATCAGTATGGCTGGGTATTTATTTAAAAAAATATTGGTATTATTATACTTTAGAAAAAATAGATGGCGCTATATATAATAGTTTTAATATGTTAAAATTTATTTTTTTATTGATTAAAAATATTTTAATGTATATATATCATACTAAATCGATTACAATGTGCATTATATATATTATTTGTAATTCAGATCATAAATTTTTAAAATCTTCACAAATTTTGCCTAATTAAGATAGTTTATAAATTAATTAAATCTTACTTCATCTAAAGGAATACAAAGCCTGGCTAGCTTGTGAGATTCTTCAGGAGATAATATATATGTTCGACTGGTGGGAGTAGAAGGATTGACCAGCGAGAGAATATGAGATTTAGGCAACACTAAAATATTATCTTTCAGAGGAAATTTAAATGAGGCTGAAGGTCCACAAGGGTGTAAAAATCGGATTTTTACTTCTTCATTTGTATAACTTTTATGGATTATATATCCTAACCACCATTTATCATCATATACACATGTTATATATTCATTAATATTTTAAAATATAATTTTCTCATTTAAAAACGGAACTTGTTTTATATTATATTTTTTGGAATTAGAATATATTTTGGTTTTTAGTTTATTTTGATCAATGGGAATAATCCCGTGAATTTTTTGGGTCCCATGTATGGGCAGTGCAGAATTAAATCTTTTACGAAGGGCTAATTCCTCTTCGATATATTCTTGATTGGATACATATTCAAATTGAATATTAATATTTTCTTTAGCATAATTATATAATTCTAATGGGGTTAGGATTTGATTTTTATTTGGCCTTTGAAGACTAGCTCTGGCAACTAATCTTTTGACAGTTCCTCTGATACCGTCACATGCATTTTTGCCGTGAGCAGTGACAAAGAAATGCCATTCGGCAGGAATATTAAAATCGTATTTATGAAGGCATATGTTCAAAAAATTTTTGCGATTCTTGTATTGAGACGCGGCTTCATCCGAAAAATATATTATTTTTTATGGTTTAGAATGAAATTTGGCTGTTAAGAATTTAATGAATTTTTTTTGATAAAGGTGGACTGCACTAGTATTATGGCTTAATGATTCGGACAAAATAACAAAATTTGTATTTTTTAATTCTTCTCCAGATTTATAATATGCTACAAATGGATGTATAGTGGCCTGCACATTGTTCCAATGAAATCCCTGAACTTCATCTTGTAAAATGAAGGAATAATTTTCAGAATAATCTAGAATTGTTGAAAATTCCTCATCTTTTAAATTTTCTTTGGAATTCTTCAAAAATAAACTTTGTGTTTAGCTATAAACGAGTGACGCAGTAAAATTTGAACTTTTTATAATAGATATTCGATGAAACCATCAATGGACTTTATAATAGTTTCAAGATTTGCTCTATCCACCGTGATCCATTGTTTAAACGTGACATATTCTATACGATTTCTCTGAAACAATTCGTATAATTGGCCCATAAGAGATTCTATACCAGGACATTGATCACAATTTGTTAAATAACATTTTGGCTGAGATGGATTATAAATAATTTGCGCCAAAAGATTGTTATAAGAATTTAGACAGTAATCTTCTCCTGCTGTACTTTCAGCTATTACATTTGTCATTAATTTCACATTCTGATGAATGGCGCAGACACAAACAGTGTGTGTGCCATCCAACTAAAATTCAGTTTTTTGGTCTAAGTTCGGCAAATTTAGGGAATCCAATTGATATACTTGGGTATTCTTCCTTAAACATCTTGAATATTTCTTTAAGATTATTTAATATAAATCTTTGCTAATTCTTTCTCGCCTTTAACAGACACACAATCTTTTATTCCAGGCATGAGTCGGCTTATTTCATCAGAACTATAATTTTGTTATTTTTATTGCTTAAAAAATTTTTCAAAATCTTTGAAATTTTCTTTATCTCTGGTTATTTTAATAATGTAAGATAATGACAATTTCATAACATTCTTGGTCTTAATGGGTATGACTTAGTCTGGGGAGGGGGTGGATAGGGGGTAGGTCTGGTAATTAATGCGATTTTCGATTTTTCCCTTAATAATTTTTCTGCACCCCTTTAATCCTGCTTTTTTGTTCGTGTGCTAGTCCGATTTTTTAATTATTTTAATTTACAATGAAATATTAAAAAAATTATTAAAATTTTTTATCCTGCGAATATCTCAGGGGAATAAGGTTTACAAAGTTATATAATCGAATTTTATGATATATTTACATTAAAATATTTTTAATCAATAAAAAAAATGAATTTTAACATATTAAAACTATTATATATAGCGCCATCTATTTTTTTTAAAGTATAAAAATCGCAATATTTTTTTAAATAAATATCCAGCCATGCTAATTGTTAAAGAAATTATTAAAAAAATAGTAAACGGATAATATTTCTTAAAAAAATTAAAAATCGGAGATCATATACATTTCGAAATATTAATTTCAAGTTTTCAACTGACCATAAGATGACCCATATTTTAAAAAAAATTATTTTTGATGTTTTCGCCATAATTATCAATTATTAAGCTATTGATATTAGATTCAATATTTGATCATAATTAGTTTTAAATTAAAAACTAATTATTTAACATCAGTAAAAAGGAAAAAAATGCGTTTTTTGGACCTTTAACTCCGATTATCTCCGTTAATATAGTTGCTAATGCGCTAAAATTTTGTTTATAATCTAATGGAAACATATATAACCAGTCTACAACTTTTTATCAAAATTGAAAGGGGTCGGCCGAAAATCTTGATTTTTTTGCTCATTTGACATGGAATGACCCTTATATATATTTTAAAAGATTGGCATTCTAAAATATTTTGAAAAAATATAGTATATAAATTTATACGTTGTTTTATAATGAAATACATAAAATCAACTTTTACTTATTGTCTTAAATTTTTTTGTTTTTATTTCTAAGTGTTTAAAAGCTTGTTGTTTAGTTTTTTACTTCTAAGTTTTTAAAATTTATCAGATTTTTTGGTTCATTAATAAAATAATATTATGACTAATTATAAAAATTATAAAAAAACCATGAATTTCTATGAAATAAACTTATATAAATTTGGTCAAAACTGAAATGAAACTAAGCCATTATACATATCATATCACTCGATTATATCTCTTAGCCAATATAAAAATAATATAATTTGATGTTCATAAAAAGATCTTTAAAAATTTAAATCAGGCTATAAAAAAATGAAATTTTAAAAATTCAGACCTTTAGCTACAAATATTCTTTTGAAAAAATCTGGACCAAACTCAAATGATAAATTTTGAAATCCAAGCAAGGGTTATAAATAATATATCCAAAAAAAGTTATGAAACTTTAAACAAAATTTAATAAAAAATAAACTTCTATTTTTTAAAAAATGCTACAAGTTTATTTTGGTATGTTTTTATTTTTTAATAAAAAAATGTTAATTTCTTTATTTTCAAGTTTTGAACCTAGTTTAAACTAGAGCTTAGTCTTTAGGTAACAAATTATATAAACAATTTATTTAAAATTCAACTTCGTGTGAAACTTCTTGCAATATAATACCATCATCAGTTGATAAACTTTTAAGAAGTAATGAGGAATTTATTATTTCATTGTTTTCCACTCTAAATGTAAGTTATAATGACATAATCGGTTTCATTAATATACTTGGCTTTGTTATTCTCTTCTTCATTCACACTAAATTTTAATTAAAATTATAAATAAAAAATATATTATAATTACTTAGGATTCAAAGACCTTAATGTCAATATTGTCTTGCCAATATATCTACCTTTAATTTTATTGACAAATGCATTTCTATTTTCTTCACGGATAAAATAACAGGTTCTAATCATTAAATTTTTATAAAGAAATATGTATTTGATTATACATTAATTGATCTTGAACAAAAAAGGATGGTTCATTAAATTTTATTTCATTTAGATATGAAGAGAAATTCTGTAAACATAAATATTAATAAAGGTTAGAATTATATTTAAACAGTATGTGGAGGAAAATTGGTGATTTGGGCTATAAATCTCCCTGGTTTTTTCATTTCCATAACAGCAGGCAGCAGCAATTTTTTTTATAAACCCGCACTTAAAAATGTAATAATATTGTGCTAAACATTAACCAAATGAATATTATTTTAATACCAGTTGATATATTTTTTCTGACCATATTTAACCTAAGAACTAGTTAACGGCAGTTTGATGATATGATATTGTAATAAATGTAAAAAAATTGGTCATTTTGCAGTTTGCTGTAAATCAAAGAATTTAAATTATAGAAGAGTGTCATCAAGTGATTCTATTCATAATATTTGGAAGATTCAACAAAATCGAGAGAATAGAGCAAAACTAACTGCAGAGATAAATGGTTTAGATGTTGAATTTGATTTTGACACTGCTGTACAAGCGTCATTGCTAGATATTGACATATGGACAAATATTGGGTGACCAAAAATTAGGCCAACCAGTCCATTGACTGTATACGGTGATCATCCGTTAGACGTTAAGGGCGAGACCCAAGTATATTTTAGGATTGGATCACAGACAAGGATCCTATCAGTGGCAATAATGAATACAACTGGGGTGCCTCTTTTCGGATTACCATGGATTTTAGCATTCAATTTAGAAATGCCTCGTCCGGTTATGATTAAACAAGTATGCAATTTGGCCAACAATATTGAAAAAGAAAAATGTTGCATAACACTAGATTCTAGAATTCAAGATTTGATTAATAAACACCAAGAAATTTCGGAAGAGAATCAAGATTTTAAACATGCTTTGGATATTCGAAGTATTAATTTGGATGATATGCAATTGTCAGAAAATATTCTGCAAAAAGAGTCCAAGATTTAATATTAAAAAAAGTAGCAATACATATTCAGCAAAGTTGGCGAAACTTTGATCGTCATAAAGATAAAGTAATAGTTAATTTTTATAATCGATGGGAAGAGCTTTCTGTCAATCGTGATATTATAGAATGGAATGGGAGATTGGTTATTCCTAATAAATTAAGAAATGCAGTGTTAGGAATGATTCACAGAGGACATCCTGGGGAAAATGTAATAAAATCTATTTTTAGATTGTATTGCTGGTGGCCCAGATGTGATGTATAAAAAAATTTATCAAAATATGTTCTGGATGCCAGAAAAATAGACCTAGTATTCAAGAAATACCTCTAAATTCTTGAACTGTTAGTAAGGAATCTTGGGAGCGAATTCATATTGATTTTGCTGGACCAGTAGATTCGCTATATTGGCTAATTGGTGTCGATTCCTACTCCAAATGGTTAGAAGTTCATCTAATGCAGAATACCTCTGTTGATGCTATGATAAAACGAATAAAAAAATGGTTTGCTAGACTTGGAATACCCAAGTACATTGTGTCAGACCATGGACCACAATTCTTATCTGGGGAATTCCGTAGGTATTATGATTTAAATAATATACGTCATATACGTTCGGCAGCATCTACATGACACTGGATGAAGACCCCCTTCAAAAACCTGTGCATACCCCCCTAAAAAATCCCCGCCGCCTTCGGCGGCGATGTCTCTTTATCATTATTTTCACCTATTTATTTATTGATACTCTTTTCAAATAATTTATAAAGGATAACTTAAATTAGACTATCTTTACTACCAACTATCGATATTTTTGAAAATAAAGAATTTATTTTTTAGATAATAAATTTAATTAAAACCTCCATTATTTACAATGTCATCATGATTTACATTCAAAGAAAAGAGAATTTGAAATCTCACAATTTGTATGGTTAAATAATGAAAATACCAATGGTTGGAGAGAGGGAGTTATTAAAGAAAGAATAGGACTTTATTCTAATATTGTTGAATCTTCCGGAAAACATTACAGAAGCATGCAGATCAGTTAAGAAATCGTTTAGTTATCCCAAATCATGAAAGTTCTTTGGAAGTTACAGAAATGGTTGTGCCAGTGAATGAAGCAAATACAAACACAAATACCACATTACGTTGTTCATCAAGAAACCGTAAACCTACAAAGAGGTTTATTGAAGAAATCTAACTTTAAAATGTTTGAAGGAAATGTAATAAATTAATAAAATATTATTTATAGATATTATATATATATATATAGAATAGAATATTCGAAAATTAATTAATAAAAATTTGATGTTTGAAATAAATTGAAATATAAATTAGTAGTCGTATTGTTTATAAATTAGTAGATGGTATAACTACAAATTTTGTAGCTGGACATCTCACTTCTCGGTTATGAATAAAACCACATTTATAACATTTAAGTTTATTATAATCTTTATCATTATTATATTTGTATTTATTATTCTCTTTATCAAATGTATTATTATACTTGACTTTATTATAGCTTTTATCAAATGTAGTCGTCGTTTTAATTGGATGTTTATAATTATTATCATTATCATTTCTTTTGTTATTATCATTTATCTTATTAACAACAAGCATATTTTTATTTGCCATTTCTTTATCTGCTCGCTCAGAAGTTAATGCCAGATCAAGAATAAATTGAAAAGTCAGTACATTATTATCTCTAACAAGATCGTCGGTATATAGAGCTCTAAGATCTCTTTCCAATCCCGGTATTTCTATGCCAACCATAAACTGATCACGTAAACGCTCGTCAATATCATTAAGATAATGACAACGCTTGCCAATTGTTCTAATTTTATCTGCAAATTCAGTTATGGTTTCAGTTGTTCTCCGTAATCTAACGAAATCAAATCTAGAAGCAAAAGCTGTTGACGTCGGTTTAAATAGTTTAAAACATATTGACTTATTTTCCTTAAAAGATAAAGTTTCGATCGAATCAGGATAACAAAAACGGTCCACCAACTCAATATTCTTATTGCCAAAAAATTTTAAAAATATATCTTTATATTGACATTCAGATGGGCTTACGTTTTAACCGAAAACTGGCTTCCCATTGAGAAAAGTATCTATAGATTGAAGTTTCCAACTCGAATTTATCAAATTTAATCGTAGATAAATCCGCTATTTTTTTTTGAATCTCCATTTAAGGAATTATTTTCTCCATTTAAGGAATTATTATCTCCATTTAAGGAATTATTTTCTCCATTTATCGTCGCCATTTGTAGTAATACCAACTACTAATTAACAATACGACTACTAATTTATATTTCAATTTATTTCAAACATCAAATTTTTATTAATTAATTTTCGAATATTCTATTCTATTTTTATATTAAATATCTATAAATAATATTTTATTAATTTATTACAGATATCAAATAAGGCTCTTCTACATATGTAAATTCGATGAATTTTAAAAAACATTAACAGACTGTTTCAGTCAATCATTATTGAAAAACATGCAAAATCAAATTCAAGCTTAAAAGTATTTAGATTTTTTTCTACAATGAATTTACAAATAAATCCTGAATAGGAGTATTAGGGTTAGTTAAAAATTTAAAATAAGGGAATCTAAAACAGTCAATTAGCTTAGCTGTTTTATTAAAATATTTAATTGTTTTAGAAAGTTCTTCCTTGCTTATTCGATTGGATTCGGTTGTATAGGAGTTGGGTTCCTCAGTGAAAGCTTAGCCCATTTCTTCTAATAGGGTGAAAGTATGCTTCAAATAGGGCCAAATATTTATTCGATGAAGCAATTTGAGTGCACTAAAAATATCGGGTGTTTCCATGTATGATTAATAACTTTTTAAATAAAAAATAGCATATTAACACTCTAGAAATTGAAGCAGGCTTAAAATTTAAGAAAACCAGAAAAAATAAATAAAAATGGCAATTTTTAGATAATTAAACTAAAAATAAATTATTTTTTTTGATTAGGTTTAATAAATATAAAAGAAATTTATATGAAAATGAATCAAAAATTTGAACATATTTTTATAAGTTTTGAATGTATTAGAAACCCCATATTTAACATTTAACCAACACCATTTATTAAACATGGTTAAAATTAATAGGCACAATTAAAAAGTATTTATTCATAGAAATTTATTTATTGGATTGATAAATCCATTTAGTATGTCATTTCGAATTTCTTTCTATAGAGGATTGTGTTACCCATATGGAACTCTTTTTATTTTATAATTATAGGTTATTAAATACAAGTCTTCTTGAGTGTAATTGAGACATTTAAATATGACATATTATAATCTTTAAATGCGTTTCATTACTTTATATCATAGCAAATTTATTATTTTTAATCTTCCTAAGTTTAGATCCGGCTATTATTTTTTTAAAAAGGTAAATATTATTCATTAAAAGCAAGATCTAGTAATTAAATTAAAAACTCCATTGATTTTACGCTATATTAACTCTAATTGGTTAAATGAAGCCTCACCAAATATATTTATTATTAAGAATTAATTCCAATTACCGTGGCATCTTCAGAACGCAGCTTCACAAAGCTGCTCAAATTAATTAAACTTATCTACGATTCTGTATGTTAAAGGACCGATGTTATCTCTCTTTAATTTCAATAGAAAATTATATCGCCCTGTTGTTTGATTAAATTGACACAATATATTCCTTGCAAATATAAAGGAGAGTAGGAAAAATAAAATAGCAATATTTAAGTTTATGATTACATTTATTTATATAATGTGCATTACTCGTTTATGATTAAAATTTAATAAATTAAATGTGCTTTTAATTCTCATTGCGAAAAGTTATCAAATAAGCTTAGTCATATCATGTTTTTTAAGGGGCCGCCAAATTATTATAGCTCTGGATCGCCAAAAGTCTCGGCACGGCTCTAAGTAGAGGGTCTAAATCTGGCGGGACAGGTTAGGGGTTAGGAATATTTTTTCAACACAAGATATTGATATGAGAATCAAATAAAAGGAAGCTAAAATATATTTTGACTAAAATGTTAAATTTTAATTTAGGTGGGCGTGTCTAGGTTTTATGGGGTCAGGAATATTTTTATCAACACAAAATATTGATAAAATATTGATATAGGTATCAAATAGAAGCTAATTAAAATGATATAGGTATCAAATAGAAGCTAATTAAAATGATATAGGTATCAAATAGAAGCTAATTAAAACAAGGAGAATATTCCTATTCCCTTTCCCAGCATTTTTGACGGGATATCCTCTAGTTATAACATAGTAATAAAAGTTAATGATCGATCCGGAAAATCAACCATTGGTATATAAGGGGTTAATTAACCTTGTAATAGCTTTATTGGATAACTATTTTATTAAAAATGCATATCTTTTAATATTATTTTGAAATTAAATTTAGTTTAATATAATATAAAAACTTATATAAACTCATCCAAAATTAATTTGTATTTGATTAGCATCTTTATAAAAAATACCCTGAAAATTTTTTTAAAAAATATTTTAGTTGGTTATAAATCTTTTACCATGTAGCGACTCTAGTGCTTTAAAATGTAAAATGCCTTGATCTAGGAACGAAAACTTGAACTAGGTAAAAAGTTTTGAGTAGTAGAAAACTTAGTGAGTAGTTAAAAATTAAAAATGCTCTCATTATATTTATTTAAAAAAAATGTAATTTTTTTACAATCTTATTCTTTTTATCTATTTTTTAACCAGGTCAAATTGTTTTTCCTTGTGAAGTAAAGAAAATTGGGACTATCGATTTCAAACTGTGATAAAGAAATGAATATTATATTTTAATCTGGTTTGGATAAGAAAAATAGTCAATTTAAATTAGTTTTATTAAGATAAGTTTCCTTTCCTCATACACTTCCCCTAGTTGGTAGGGTCCCACTTAAATAAACCTTAATTATAATATACTGTGATTATTTAACTAAATAAACTTTGCATAAATTCCTGATATTAAATATTCTCCAAATAATACTCATTTAATAACCACATAACAAATAACAAAATGAATATACCAAAATATTCTAAAAATTTGCCTAAATGACATTTTCATTCGTAAGAAAGAAATTTCAATTGAATGGAAAAAAAAGATAATTAATATTAGAAGATTTTCAAATCTTGTAATAAGAACTCATAAGTTTTCTAATTTTCCAATATTCAATTATGATACTAAAATTCAATATCATTATATAGAAAAGTAATTCTAATTTAAAATTTTAAATTTGAGTGCTAGTCTTAATTGTTAATTATTATTTAATGTAGTTAATGTAGTAAAAATTTTTTTTATTTCTATAGTGTTTTTTTTATATTAAAACTTATTACTTAAAATCGGTTATCAATTATTTTTTGGCACTTTTCAAAAGTTTATCTTCGCTTGGATGTTATAAATATAAAATATTCTTATAATATAAGGTAGTATTACAAGATCAGAAAGAAAGAAAAACTAAGATAGAAGTGTGAAATAAACATGGAAATTGAAAATTAAATTTCAAGGTTATTTAATTCTAAATATAAGGATCGTTTTTTGAGATAAATAACAAAAATTTTACAAATTTATTTACTAATTTATAGCAAATTTTTATAAAAGGAATTGAAAATTTTCATTCTCGCTCCATCCAAATCATGGAACAACTAGAAAAAAAAATGATATTAATTTCTGTCGAAGGAACAAAAGAAGCGGAATTGATTTATTTATTATTAATAGAATATTAAAAACAACGGATCACGGAAACTAGCCAAACTAAATCCTTTTCAAAAAAAAAATCATTATCATCATCTTCATTATTATTTGGAATCACTTCAAATAAATCACAAAGGAGCAAAAACTAAGGCAAGACAACAAATAAAAGAAATAAGAAATTTTTTTTAAAAATATTTCCAGTTTTAAATTTTCGTCATTAAAAAAATAAATAATTTTTGGAAGAAAAAAAAACGAAAATTTTATTTAATAAAAAAAAACATTATAAAACCAATTTATAAAATTTCAGTTAAAAAAAAATTTTCATTTCTCTTAAAATTATTAATTAATTAATATAACTATTCCTGTGCTCTATTAGGAAAACAAGGAGAAGTAAAAAAAAAGGTAATAAATATATATTTCTTACAAGAATATTTTATATTTTATTTTTGTTACCCCTTTTATTTAAAAAATAGTAAAAATAATTATGCCAAAGGGGAGGGTTTGGTGGAGAATTACAAATACGAGACCTTAAAACACTAGTATAGCATTTTGTGGTATAAATATTTTTTTTTAATGGTTATATTATACCTAATTTCATTTTAAAAATTTTTTATTTATGCCAAGGGGGCGAGATGAGGATAGCAAGTTGAATACCATTGCCAGGAATACAATTTAATAACATTAATTAACCCTTATTTTAAAAAAATTGAAAACCTTAACGTATAACAAGAAAATAAAATTTCACTGCCAAATTAAACTATTTTGTTCCCCAAAGTTATTCTTACATAATTAATTTGATATATTTATAAAAAAAATACAAATTAGATTTGGAAATTCTTTTTTTAGTAAATTTTTTAAATAATATAATATAACAATAACATTATATTTTCATAATTTTTATCCATATTATATTTTAAAAAATTTAAAATTATAATGGGATTTTATTAGGGGAAAATATGAGAAAATTCTAAGACTGAAACAAGAGTGAGCAGTAGAGAAATTTGAATGGAGAATACAAATTCAGGGTTTAACAAAGAGTTTTCTAATTTACTTAAAAATAGATGATAGCGTAAATAAAAAAAAACTTCGTTTTTTAATACACATCAAATTATGTAATAATTTCAAGATTTAATTTTTATTAAATACATGTAAGAATTTATAGAACCTCTGAATGCCAACCTCTATAGCAGAGCTGATATCGGAGAAAGGCAGAGCATTTATAAAAAAAATATACCCCGGTGATTTCTCGAAAGATTCCTCAGAAATCTATCCCGAGACCGGAATAAATCTAAGGGCCTTAAAAGCATTGAACTCCTCTAATGTAGAATCGGGAAATAAATCTTCGATACCGGTGGTTCCTTATAGAGAGAAATGGAGTGGAAAGTTAGATTTCATGATGTCTTGCATAGGATATGCCGCGGGTCTGGGGAGCGTGTGGAGATTTCCAGCTATGGCCGGAAGAAATGGAGGAGGTTTATTTTATTTTTTTATAAACATAGATAATAAATGATATATAATATATTTTGTATAAATTTAAAATAATAATGACTACCGAGATTTTGAGAAAATAAATTTCAATCATTTTGCTAAATTAGTTGATTTGAATAGATCAATTTTAAAACCGTTTGAGAATAAAATAGTGCGTATTTGCAACCAGTTGTAACAATTTATTTTTGATGAAACCGGAACTTAAGAAGATCACGTTTTGAAATAAATAAAAAATGCATTCGATTTTTTCACAAAATAAAACTACAATTAAATATTGGGAAATTAGGCCGGAACCATAAAACCGGATTAAATCTAAGAACGGGAAATAAAATATTTTTTTTAAAAAAAAATCCTTAAACTTGTTTAGTAATTCCAGGGATTCGAACCGAACCCGAACCCGGAGAAGTGAACCCGGGTTTTTAGAAATAAACTCTGAACCCGAACCGAACCTGAACCCCATTTATAAAATTTTCAAAACCCCGAACCGAACCCAAGAATTTTATTTGAACCCGGGTTCAATCGGGTTCAGTGTATTATTTAAATCATATATTAATATATGTAAATACAAATATTATATTTTCAAATTTCCAATTAAATGAAGTCTTAATAAATTTTAAACAACTTAATTCATTTATGCCATTTTTAAATTTATTCTCGATTCCTATTGGAGTGTTAAAAAATTTTAAACAATTGAATTAATTTGCGCCATTTATTTTTAAATTTTTATCTTATTATTCTTAAAGATTATTAATTAGAAGAAAATGGTTAACAGATCAAAGTAAAAATTATTATATTGTTAATTTAAAAAATTCTAAACATCTAACTTAAAAATTGTTAAATGTAGGGCAGTTTTTGTGAACTTATTAAAATGATTTTAAAATTTATATATGCTAATCATTTATTTTTGGTTCAGTTTAATTTTTACAAGATATTAATGAAGTGCATATTATAAATGAAATTAAATTTATAAATATCTCTTTTTAAATTCTGAAATCATTGCTATTTAAAAAAATTGTTCTCTTTTTATAGATTTAAGATTAAAGATAAAGTCATATTTGATAAGCATTTTACCCTTAATAAAATCAATATGTTCATATTGCAAAGTAAAAATGTCTGGTAATCACTTGTCAAATTTAGAAAGACACCTGGAAAGAAATCACAACAATGAATATTTAAATTATTTAAATGAAAAAACCAAATATCAGGAATTGTTATTGGCAAAAAAACCTAAAATTAATATAGAAACCTTTTTTCCAAAAAAGCATATAAGTATAAATATATCATCTAATGATTTGATGAGTTCTATACTAGAACTTGTTACTGTAAATGGCCGGCCTTTATCAATTATTGAAGATTCGGAATTTCAAAGAATTATAAATCCACTCCTATCTGGGCTCAATTTAGTTATAAACAAAGAAAATTTATCCAGAACTATTAATAAAACAGCCCAATCAATTAGAGACAAAATATCGAGAGAGCTAGAAGGAAAATTAATAAGTTTAAAAGTTGATGCAGTTCAACGACTAGATAGGTCAATTCTTGGTGTAAATATTCAATTTATATCAAAGTCCATTATAAATTTGAGGACTCTTGGAATTGTAGAGCTGAAAGAGAAATGTATTGGGAAAATATATAAAAGAGAATATATTAAAAACTTTACTAAAATTTAAAATTAATATTCAACAAATATACACAATTACTTCTGATAATGGTTGTAATTTTTTAAGAGCTATAAAGCTCCTGCAACCTGAAACTGATTATGATATAAGGAGTGAATCAGCAGATGAGGAAAATATGGATGTAAATGTATATAAATATGATATTGATGATATACAAAATACTTTTTTATCAACTATTATATCCTATCCGATTTATAGTGTACGGTGTGCAGCTCACACACTTCAGCTGGCACTTCAAGATGCTATAAAATTATCACCTATTGTGGAAACCATTGCAAAAGCTAGGAGCCTAAATTTAAAATTAAGACATCCCACTTACCAAAAGTTATTAAAAAATATGAAACTCCCTAAGCCTGTGTTAGATTGCCACAGATGGCATTCAACCCATGATATGTTAAAAAGGCTGATTTTACTAAAACCCAATATCGAAGATTTTTTTACAGAGCAATCTGATTATTTATTGACTGAAGATTGGAAAGAGATAATAACGATTGTTGAAATTTTAAAACCGCTAAAAATCGCAACCAAACAATTCCAATCTGAACAGTTAACACTGACAGATTTTTATGCAGCATGGTTAAGATGCTGCATCGAACTGGAAAAAAATCTAAACCATTTTGCTCAATTACTATATTCTTGTCTTAAGAACAGAGAAGAAAGGTTTATAAAACGAAATTCTCTTAGCTGCCATATACCTGGACCCAAGATACAAGGTTAATTAAAAGCTTAGTAAATTAATTATTTTAGATTTATATTAAAATTGTTATTTTATGAAATATTTAAATATAAACAATATAAATCCTTAAATATTACAGGTATTACTTAGTGATGATGATAAGATTTGTGCGAAAAAACATCTTGTCAATTTATGGAGACGAATTAAAAGCTTAACAACGCCGATTTTATCTGATGATATTAGTTCCGATGAAGTTATTGAACAAGAAGATGATTTAGAGAAATTGATACAACTTAAAGAAAGGCAGGAGAAAATACTTAAAAGAGGGCCAACGATTTATTGGAACAATAATTACTGGATTTAACGATTATAAAAGTTTAGATAAGAAGGAAAATATTTTGCATTTTTGGGAGTCTGCTAAGCTGGAACACCCTGAATTATATATTTTATCTAAAATCTTATTTGCTGTTCCTGCAACCCAAGTTAATTTTTCATATTTTCACATATAAATACATTTAACATAGGTTAGCGTTGAAAGATCTTTTTCACATTTGAAATTCATTCTTTCACCACATAGATCGAGGATGAGTGAACAACTCTTGGAAGATATTATGCTAATACGTCTAAATAAAATTTTTAAAATTGATACATGACTATATGCTTTGTATTTTTAACTATATTTGCCTATAAATAAAATAAAAAATTTATTTTTTATATCAAATTTATGTCTAGTTTTTTATTATGATTTAAATATAGAATTTTTTTTATCAACTCAAAAATTCTTGAACCCGAACCGAACCCGAACCAAACCCGGGTTCAAAAATATTTCCCTGAACCGAACCCGAACCGAACCCACCTTTTTTTTTATACCCCGAACCGAACCCGGGCAAAAATTTTGTCGGGTTCGCATCCCTGAGTAATTCATTTTGAGGAAATTTTTTTTTCCAATTTAAGGTTCCAAACTTAAAGAAAGGTTATATTATTAAAGTAAGAAAGAAAGAAAGAAAGTTTAATAAATTAAATTTTAAATTTTAAAATAAATACCTTTTTCTAAAAATGAGGAAACGAATTCACGATTAATATAATTTTTGTGTAATTTCACGGCCATATTGCTAATTATTAGTAATATTATATTCTATTATATTAATATAAATTATGTATTAATATGATTTGTTGTAACACATTTTCATAATGTGAAAAAACATTCTTATATAGTTAAATAACTTTCCATAATTAATGTAAAAACATTTTGATAAAATTTTTGATATAATTTTTTTTAAATTTTTTTAATAATAAGAGTTTTTAAACTTTAATGAAGATTAACATCAAAAATATATATCAAATATAATTTTTTTATGTTTTGGACCCAAGTTTAAGTGGGAAAATAAGAAAATTTTTCTAAGATTTTTAGAATAATTTTTTTTTTAAATGCACATTATAAATTTTTTTAAATTAATATTATTACAATATATTAATGTTACTTTAAGTTATCTAAAGAATGGAAATCAGGATAAGAAATTTGATAATTTCTTAATAAACATAAGTGAAAGAAAATTCGAATTTAGGGTTTTCAGATAATTCTTATTTTTTTTTGGTTTTAAAATTAAATAAAATTTAAAATTTCCTAAAATGACACATACCAAAAATCATCGAGATGTGCCACCAACCATTCCATAACGGAAGCCCCGACACTTCAATTTAACTTTCCGTAATTATTGTAAAAACTTGTTGAAAAAAATACATCCTTTTTTAAAAAAACTTTTAAAAACTTGAAAGAAAATTTTGAGAAACACATTATATTTTTAAAAACTTCCGGTAATTAACTTAAATTAAAACCTATAAAAATTCTTTCTTAAATTTGCGACAATTTTAATTTTAAACTTCTATATTTTATAATTTATAATTTTTTTTTAAAACTATATTTCCATTTTTTAAATGTCAAATTTTACTATCTCTAGTATGAATCTATCTCCAGTTTCAGGTTTGTTAATATAATATTCTATTATTACCTTATATATATCTTTTAAAATTCTTATTTTTCCACTTAAACTTATGTCCAAAACATAAAAAAACTATATTCGATTCATAACTTTGACGTTAGTCTTCATTAAAGTTTAAGAACTTTATTATTAAAATTTTTTTTTTGAATTCTCATTTTCCCACTTAAACTTGTGTCCAAAAAAACTATTTGATTCATAACTTTGATGTTAGTCTTCATTAAAGTTTAAAAACTTTTAAAAATTTTATCAAAATTTTTTTAAAAAATTTAATTTATATTAAAATGTTTTTTACAATAATTATGGAAAGTTATTTAACTATATAAGAATGTTTTTTCACATTATGAAAATGTGTTACAACTTACAACAAATCATATTAATACTGTAATATAATATATATTTCATTATAATTTTAATTTTAAATTTTTTTTTTGAATTCTCATTTTTCCACTTAAACTTGTGTCCAAAAAAACTATTTGATTCATAACTTTGATGTTAGTCTTCATTAAAGTTTAAAAACTTTTAAAAAATTTTATCAAAATTTTTTTAAAAAATTTAATTTATATTAAAATGTTTTTTACAATAATTATGGAAAGTTATTTAACTATATAAGAATGTTTTTTCACATTATGAAAATGTGTTACAACTTACAACAAATCATATTAATACTGTAATATAATATATATTTCATTATAATTTTAATTTTAATTATCATATGTTAAAATATATGACATAAAATCAAAATATGTATAATATAAATTATTTATAATTTAAAAAAAGGTTTGAAATCAATTATTCATTTAATTAAAGTTATTATGAAATATAATAAGATATTATTAAATTATCTCAGAGAAGTGTTACCTTTCTGTTTAAGTTCTCTATAGGAAAATTTGAAAATTTGGAGTTTAATAAGGGTTTTCACTAATAAAACAAATTTGATGTCATAAAATTTAGTGATCTGCATCGGGCCTAATTTTTTAAGCCCAGCCCGGCCCGAAATTTTTTTTATAAAGTTTTGCCCGTCCCGAATTTATTTAAATATAGAAATTAATTTTTATAATTACTCAAAATAAACGATATATGTTATTTGGCGTCTACTTTCTATTAAATAAAATCATATATTATTATACATAAAAAATTCAACATAAAATTGATAAATTTAGATATATTTTAAAAATTTCTAAGGCCCGACCCGACCCGGCCTACAGGCCGGGACTACTTTTGTAGATCTCTAATATGGCGTCTACTTTCTATAAATAATATCACATATTTTTATTTTACATAAAAAAGTCAACATAAAATTGATAAATTTAGATATATTTTGAAAAATTTCTAAGGCCCGACCCGAATCGACCCAAATTTTCTTAAAAAATATTAGGCCTGGAACTTTTTTTATTGTTTTTTTTGAATTGGATATTGGTTTTTGAAGTCTCATTCAAATTCAAAAAATTTTAAAAAAATAATCTCGCATTTATATATTTTGCATCCAAACTCGATTTCGTAAATTTCAATAATAAATTAAATTTTTTTTAAAATAAAATGTTGACCTCAATTTGATGTAATCTTAACTATGCTCTCTTATACTAACTTTTCGGTTTGCCGAGGCTCAATCAACGTTTTTTTAAAAATATTTATTGCTTCAAAATATGTATAAATTCGAAATTTTGTGAAGATTTTGAACGGGGCTCGAGTTTCTAACAGCCCCTTTCCAACGAGACTACTATAACCCACAAGTAAGTTAAAGGTGTGAAATCTGTAAATACTAAACTAATATGTATTAAGATTTTCCTTTTGTAAAATGCAGCATTTTGCCTTATAAAATGTATTTCAAAACTTGTAAATGTCTCGTGAAGTTCAGAATGAAATGACCTTTTTGAGTTGGAAATGATTCCTTCTGAGATACAATATAATTTAATACAAATAAAAAATCTTTTCTAATTATAAAATATTATATATATATAAATATAGGTGCATTTTTGATTCCCTACTTTCTTATGCTTTTATGCGTTGGAATACCTCTTTTCTTTATCGAAGTGACATTAGGGCAGTTCTCAAGTTTGGGACCCATCAAATTATGGAGGGTAGTCCCTTTAGCTCAGGGTATATACCAAGTTGTATTATATTTTTTATTATACATAATTTACTTGTCCCATAAAAGTAGTGTTGTTACCCTATTCGGTTCGAATTTTAATTGCCCGGTTAAGATTTTCGCCAAAATAATATTATCCTACTAAGCATGGAGATTTTGCTCAGACAATTTGTTTTCTCCCTCTCTAATTAATGATGTTATTTACGATTTTTAATACTTAATAATGTCACCAGAGATTATTTAATTACCACATTTTGCAATTTAATATTTTTTATAATTAAAATTTTTTTTGTTTAAATTAATTTATTTGTCTGAAATGAATTTATAATAATCTTTGAAGGTATCGGATACGGCATGGTTTTTATAACTTCGTTAGTAAATCTGTACTACAATGTGATCATAACTTGGATCGTTTATTACTTTTTCGCATCAATGAGAGCAAAAGTACCTTGGGCTGATTGTGACAGACCTTGGAATACACCTAGTTTATATAACACATACATAATTTGATATTATTTATACTTATATAATTTATTGTCATATAATGACAAAAATCACAAAGAATTATAAATTATTTATTTTTATATGAAGGAGTCGTGTTAGTAATTACCTATACTAGGGGGAAATATGTAGCCAAGATATAGACAAGCAATTAAGGAAGATAACTTTATCCATTAAATTATTAGATAATTTGATGCAAAGATTAAATATTCGATTTTTTATTGGCTAATCGTCATTGCTTATTAAAATTAAAATTTAGTTAGATATAAAGTCTCTATTAAAAAGCATATGTTTGATATAGTTTCAAAATAAATTATAGTAATAAAAACCCTCGAAAAAAAACGAGAGAAAAAAAAAATAGCGGAAAATTATTTAAATAACTTTTTTTAAATTCGAAGAGCATCATTAAATAAATTTCTATATGAGCAAACATTCAATGTATCCGAAAAATTACTGTAGTTGTTAGATATTTTTGTTTTTATGGAGAGAATAGAATGAAATACTAAGACATCACCAAAATATAGAGTTATATAATGAAATAATTTTAAGGTCATAATTTAATAAGTGAATGTCCCTAGATAAAATCTAATGATACAATTATAATTAAAAAATAAATACCTAACAAGTCTTAATATGCAATTATTATTGTTAAGATTCATAAAATTGAACTACATTATTGAACAATTTACTGGAATAATAAAATCAAGGCTCTCCACAATTTAAAAAATAATGATAAAAGATTTATATTGGCCATATCTGATAGATAAATTTAAAAAATGCCAAGGCCAATTCCAGACAGAACTGGAAATGGCCTAAATCTTTTATTATTTTGTTTAGCATTTTTATGAATTATTTTATATTACTTACAAAAAAAATCACCATTAGATTGTTTCTCTAATAGAGATTTCGCAAATAGCGTAGAATGCAAGATACAAAATGGTACGTACTACTTACATCAATGTTTTAAGGATAACAGAACACAATATGACGTATTAGTGAATAAAACGAGGCGTGTATCACCTTCCGAAGAATTTTTTTAGTTAAAATTTTTGTATTTTGGCTCTAGAAATTGAAAATGTGAAAATAAATATAAATTCGTTTAAAAAATTTTTTATCCGAATTTTTATCACAATACTTTATTGAATCTAAATATAAAAAAAATAAAATAAATAAAAAGCAATAAAATGCTTCAGCCCACTAGTTCAATAGAGGAATTTGGAGGAGTAAATTGGGACTTGCTCTTGACTCTTCTTCTATCATGGATAATCGTTTATTTAATCATAATTCGAGGAATTAAATCTTCTGGAAAAGTTTAAAAAAACATTATTAGATATATATATTTTTAGATTTGTTTGAATCAATATTATCGGGATTGAGATTCTAATGTCATTATTCTGGCCAATATTTTATAGGACAGCTTGAAAATATTATTTTTGTTAAAAATTTTAGAACCTTGTCCTATACTAATGAGTAAAGTATTTTTTAAAAAAAATTGTACTTATTATTTATAGGTTGTTTATTTCACCGCGACCTTCCCCTATGTCGTATTGCTTATCTTGGTTATAAAAGGAGCTACTTTAAAAGGTGCTAGAGATGGAATTAGATTTTATTTAGTGCCTAAATGGGAACGTTTAATGGATCTCCAGGTTATAAGATATAAATTTTTACACATAAACATTATATATTTTTTTTGTGGGAATAAAGTTTATTTCATATAAATTGTTCAATCAATTAGCTTATTTATAATTATTTCGAATTTCACAAAATATTAAAGATTTTGATTTCATGTTTAACGATTAAATATGAATTATTCAAAAATATTATTTATTTAGGTATGGACAGATGCGGCGGGGCAAATATTTTTCTCCCTCTCAAGCGGTTTGGGTGGACTACACGCTCTTTCGAGTTATAACAAATTTGACAACAACGTGCTAAAGTTCGCAAAAAATAAATAGAAAAAAATAATAAATAGATATTATATTTTGAAATTCATATATACATTAAACATTTTATTTCGAGCATTTTTAATTAATTGAGCTCGTCATTTTATATTTAAAAATTTGATTTTGCCGGAAATGCATTCCAATAGGTGTATAATATCCATAAATTTCGGATGAACTTTTAAAGAAACTTTAATTTAAAATGCAAAACCTACTGCGCATGTCGGGAAAACCTAATAAACTATCACCTTATCAAAAATTTTAAACATTTTGAACGTAGAAAACGAACCCATTCTTCAATAAAAATGAATATGTTTACGTTCACAATTTGTTTATAATTAAAAGGAAAGCCGTTCACCATTTTGTTTTCTTCATTAAAGGAACGATTTTTATTCGTTTATAAACAACAAAAAAAAATTTATTATTCTCTTATTATTTAATAAACGCAATTACATTATTATAAAATAATAAGTATTCTTCTCCTTCAAATTTTATTACGATGTCTAGCAGAGTTTTATGTCCCATTTATGAATATAAGTCCTCTATTTACCTTAAAGTTCCCAATAACAAAATATTTGGAGGTATGTTTAACTCTGAGGCATGATAAGTTTAAACATTCTGATGAATCCTAATTGGCTATTGTATTTGATCCCGATCAAATTTTTATATGCTTAAAAGAATGTCATTGGGAAGTTTTTATTCCATCTTTTAAATTCTAAATTCCTGCGCCAAGTAAAAATTGATTTTTGTTTTTAGAATGTACTAAAAGAAGAGTTTTTTTCTGGCCTGTTTTCTTATGTAAAAATAAAGAATTTAAGGATAATTTTGTCGTTTATACCCTAGAAAATGAAAAGATTGAATAATAAATACCTTGTTAGTATAGGTTCAGCTAAAATTTTATTCTAAGCAACTTTTAGGTACGGTTACATCTTACAGGTCTTATGCAAATTTTTCTCACAGTTTTATATTCTTTAGTTGTCATTTCTTTTAAATTTTCCATATATTTTTGTCATATCCCTTCTAGCCGTGAAAAGAACAAGATTTTTTTAATAAAACATCATTGTCACTCAATTCGTGAGAAGACCAATAATTTTAGATGGATATTTTTATATGATTTAGAGATTTCGTTTTGGTGTATAGAAATTTATTTAATAATTGATGCTTGATAAATATACCTATGTGAAAAATTTATCACTTCAATTATCAAATTTGTTCTAAATTTTTCATATATATTTTCTGTACCATGGATTTTCTTACACTGGAATATTATTAAATTCATAACTCATTTGGTCAAGATATATTATATAGATATTTAAGCCTGATTTTTTGTGTGTTTTCTTATTTTATACCATTAAGCTAATGTGAACAAAATATTGTTGATTTTACTCATTATTATCTTGGTTATTGCTATTTTAGGGTTTGGAGGTAAAAATACATCTTTGATGAAATATTTTTAAATGTATTTTATAATAGAATTAAATATTTTATGGGTATAATTTAAAAAAAAATTGTATTGATAAATTATTTTAAAAAAAATTATTTTTGAAGAATGTCAAAATTTATATTTTTGTAAAATATAAATATATAATTTATTTAATATATATACTTTAAAAAAAATAAATCGGTAAATCCATAAGAAATAAAAATATTTTCCAATTTTACGCCTTAACATCGTGTATATTACATATGTTCTTTTAAATTCAGTTTGAAAATTTTATTTAATAAATTAGAGACACCTGGATTGTCACATTGATAAATTCATTCACTAGCTTATTTGCTGGATTCGCTATTTTCTCAATAATTGGGAACATGTCTGTTATCAAAAATGTTCCAATAGAAACTATAGCCGCCTCTGGTATAGCATTTTTTTTAAAAACATATTAATTATATTTATCTTGCTTTTGAAATTATAGATAATCATGATTAAGATTAGGTCATCGATTAATTGCTATAAATTAAGGAAATTTAACATAAATATCATGTTAAAATTTTTTAATAATAGTTTGACGGGGAAGAATTTAGTTACATATGAATTTTTAAAACAGCAGATTAATTTATTCAGGGCTTTCTCTGTTTTTTAATGTAAAATAAAAAAAATTCCCCCTATTTTGCAGGAACTGGCTTAGCATTTATAGCATATCCTGAAGCTTTATTGTATTTACCAGTACCAACAATTTGGTCTCTCATATTTTTCTTCATGTTATTTCTCTTAGGAATCGATAGTCAGGTATAATAAAATTTTATTTATGTCTTTTTTTTTATAAAATAAATCACTTGGTTTTAAATTTATAAACTTGTGTTGTAAAAGGGCATTTGAGCCGATTTCTAAAAACTGCTAACTCAAAGCTTTAGCCATAAATATATTTCTAATTGAGATTTCGCTAATAGATGTCCAAACCTTTGTACCATTTATGAGCAAAATCTTTAGGCTTACGCAATATTTTTATGGCAAGAATACCAAGTTAGCCGTTTAAAAATCGACTCAAATCGTGGTGTTTAACAAAACTAAGCTAAATAACTTCAAACCAATTTTATATTTAATCCTTCCTGCATAGGACCAAATTTTTCAGAAAAATTTTTTAAAAAATTTTGTCCCGATCGATTTGATCCTAGAATTTTGTTTTAACGATTTGAGTCCCATTTAATTCTTAATTTTATTTTAGAAATGATTTCGAATCCAATCCACTCCGATCTATTTTTTTTTATTGGGCTATTTAAAAAAAACACGATATTTAAAACGAAATAGGAAAAAAAGTATATAAAGAATAATAAGCATTCTGACTGCGTTCTAGCTCGACTATCTTCCTTTAATAATTCAAATATATCTGTTACCAAAAGTGATTTTATTTTAGATTTAACAAATAGGAATAAGTATATACAACCTTTACTATTCATTTACAGTCGAGCTAGAATGGTGGTTATTCTTAAAAAATTATTAGAAAAACAAAATAATCGATCGAATACAGTCCAAATTTTGTAAAATTAAGTTTCTAATCTGGCAGAGTGCTAGAAAATGTCTACCTCCGACCGACTGAGTTTAGCTGGATTGGATTTAAATCAGTCCTCGCAGAGTCCTAATGATTATTTAATAATAATTCAGGAAAATATTTTTTTAGTTAACTTTGTTATTATAGTTAACCTTTCGTGAATTTAACCAAATTTGACAGCCTAGCCAGAAACCTATCGAACGCATGCATTTAACCTTAAATTATTTTATGAGAGTTAACTTTATTTGTTAAACTTCTCTTTATTGTTTTACTAAATTATAACTATATCATAATATTTTCGATAAAGTAAACTTCTATTTTTTAATTTATTTTATTCACATAATTTATTATAGTAATTAAAAGATTTGTTTGCAAGAATCTTTGAAAATTTTTTTTGCAGAGCAGAGATTTTTCCTCAAAAATTTTCCTAAAAATGAGTAAATCTTTTGTAATTTTCATATATAAAAAAATCTTTCATGATGAAATCAAAATTTTTTAAAAAATCTTTTATTCAAGATTTTTTTGAAGATTTTTAAATTAATCAAAAGAATACATAGTTATTAAATTGAATTATTTCAATAATAGATAAAAAATTAACTAGTTTCTAAACATCGGCTCAAACCGAGCCCGTTCGCTATAGTTAGCTATCAGGTTTCTCCGGTAGGTTAACTATTACGAAGTTTTATGATATAAATTTAGAAATATACATATATATATATATATATTCATTTTATAATATGAACTTTAAAAATAGTTCGCTGGGGTTGAAACAGTCATGACTTCAATATTTGACGCTTTCAAACTCCACAATATTGGAAAATGGAAAAAATCTGGATTAACTTTGATTGTATGTATCGGATACTTCATAATATCAATACCTTTGGTGTCCAGAGTATACTATCATAATTATAATATTAATTCAGTGGCTTATTTCGAATTTCATTATAAAATTAGCAAAAAAAATTAGCATAAAATTCGGTTAATGGACCCTAATATTTTTTTGATGCCTTAACTTTTTATGGCAGAATATATAATATCAAATAACCAGAATAAATTTATCATTTCATTATATTTAAAAACTTTTCTATATCCCACATATTTTTTTACGATCTAAATGTTTTCTATAAAAGTCAGGAATATATTGGGTCGAATTATTAAACAGTTTTGCCACAAATTGGGGTTTAATACTGATAGCTTTGGTGGAGGGCATAGCAATATCTTACATATACGGTAAAAAGAATATTTTATAATTATGATATGTTAGCGTCAATTGTTGTATTTTTTCAGTTAATATGTTATTTTTACAACTCAAAATCATTTTTCAAGCGCCTTTTTTTTAATTTAAAAATCTGCTTTATGTTTAGAAGACTTACTGTGTGATTTTTAGAAAATTCAATGAACTTTGGAACCTAATATAATTTATATTAGTTTTTCCATGTATTTTTATATAAATTATAAATTAGGTATTCTGGACATGCCGAAATACACTTCTGATTAAATCAGATTTTTAAGTTTAAAAAAAACTAGCTCAAAATATGATTTAAAGTTTGAAATAATAATATTGACGGGAGAAGCACATCGCTAAACAAAACCATCTTAACATTCTATCTTTCTAGACATTCATGCATGCATGAATTTATTTATTTAAACATTTTTTTTGGTGATAAAATCATTGTTAATTAAGTTTTGGGCAGTGATGTTATATTTATAAAAAATATATTCTTTTTGTGGGGGGGGGGGGGGGGAATTTTTATTTATTTTGAAGAGCATTACACACTTTCTCTCTTTCTTTCTTTCTTTCTTTCTTTCTTTCTTTCTTTCTTTCTTTCTTTCTTTCTTTCTTTCTTTCTTTCTTTCTTTCTTTCTTTCTTTCTTTCTTTCTTCCTTCAAAAAATTAATGTAGTTAGAATTTTTAAAAATAATAAAAAAATAAATTTTTTTAAAAAGAAAAACCGTTTTATTTTTGAATCTGTTCTGGGCCAATCTATTCAAATTTTAAATTAAAACCCTATTTTTAAATCTAAATGGTCTCTTTCTATTTGTTCTGTTTGGGGAAGCTAAGACGGAAGTTTCTGTTTAGAAATATGGCGAGTCAGGACACGCCCTAAGAGCTATAAAAAATGTAAGATGAATTCGTTGATAAAATTAATCTTTTATAGATAAAATATTGTCTTTTTGTAGAATTTCTATTACTGAGTGGGTAAAATTAGTAATTAAGCTGAACAAAGAAAATAGGAAAAAATTATTAGATTTATCATGATTATTATTAAAAGTTATACATAACTAAAAAAAAATGATAAATTTTTTCATAAATAATAAATATAGAGGATCCTTTTTTTAAAAAAACAGATCCCAGATTAAATCTTCTCATAGAGGTGGGGGGAGGGGCTTCTCATATAATACAGCACTTCAGACGTTCCATACCTATCTAGTTTCGGTCTAACTTTGTAGCCCATATCCAGCTTTAGTTTCTACCTAGTTTTAATAAAATATATTTTCCCCTAAAAATTTCACTCTAGCCTACATCAGGCCTTGTTGGCCTATGCCTCTCATTTAAGGGAAAACTGAACAAAAAAATTTATATTAAACATCTCTTGGTTTTGGGACAGAAATTCCAAGGGAAAAAAATCTAGACCAAAAATAAATATCTCAATTTTGAAAAAGCTTTGAAAATAGGGAAATTAAAAAACTTTTAAATAATTAGGCGATAAAAATGACATGTATTGGATAAGAAAATAATGGACTATAAAGGCCTGATTATATATTTAATGGTTGGGGCTAGAATATCCAATAATGTATAAAGTTTTTATAAATCTTAGTTTCATCTAAAATTTTCCGCAAGTTATCAAAATTTATTAAAATGTAATAATACCCTCTTATTATTTAACATATATTAACGGAATCACTTGGTCGAGTCCGATCTCCTATATATCATTCCCCCAAGGACGGAGCCACCAAGTTGGATTAAGAATAAACATGATCCTTGCTAGGATTCGAACACAGGGCCATCAGATTGGCAAGCAACTCTCTTGTCGACTAGGCTACAGACGCTTAAATTTACAATTTTTAAATATATATAAATTTAGCAGTGCCTATCCAAAAAATAAACAGAATACAAATTTAATTGGTACTACCTTAGGCATACATATCATTAACCAAAATAATACTAGAATGAAAGATGAGAAAATTTTTATAGGGGGAAAATAAGATTTTTTTAAGGATTTTATTATAATAAATATTTAATGAAAATAACAGAGCCAGCCCTCCCCTTTCCCAATTTCCTAGAATTTTTAATATAATTTAATTTTATATCATTTGAATTTACAAGGTATTAACAATTTAATATATGACATTGAAATGATGATTGGGACGAGACCAAAATCTAGATGGATTTATTGGAAGATTGTCTGGACTATATTTCCGCTCATTATGGCCGTAAAAAAATATTATTTTTTATTTGTGCTCCGTTGGATATTTTATTTATATACATATACTAATCATTTGTGGGCTATTCTCTCCTTTCCATTCGATTCTTATTTGAAATATTCTGCATTCTGGTTTCCTTTAGCTTGCTTTAATAATCCGTGCTTTTATATTTCACATAGCTATACTGAGTTTATTTTCAGTTAAATTTAGCATTATATTATGCAGTACTGTTATATTTCGCATTCAGTTAAAAATTCGTTCGGGATCGGGCCGGGCAAATATTAGAGCCCGATGCTGATCACTACTCGTAATATCATTATACCACTCTATTATTTTGCGTCAATGTTAAAAATGTTTACTTAACCATTTGTTCTTTTTATGACTTCTTCACAAATCTGTCCTTCATGTCTGAAATTAGTACATATAGATATGATGCTTGTTTTTAAGTTCATGGGTCACCTTGAGTCAGATTTCTGCATTTTAGCCTTGCTCCATTATCCCTTGTCAGTCATATAATTTTTTCCCCGAAAATCTTTGTTCCTCCTCTTTACATTTCAATTCTGATTCTCAGATTTTTTTTCAATTATTCCAAGTTAAATATTATCTCAAGGATCTCCAAAGGTGCAAGATTGCTATTTGCTAAATCTTTCGCTGATTGTGTATCTTCCCTATTACGAAACTTTAACAAAGAAAATGAATGGCTTAATCACTTTTCTATGCATATAACACCTTTAAGGTACCCGACACCGACAAAACTTCACAAAAATTCATAAGTTAGCAAATTAAGGATGCCGCATCCATCCATTATTCCCCCTTATCTTCTAGAAAACAAGAAGCCTACGCTCTTTAAACAAAAAAACCTTTACCTATTGAGTTGAAAGCAAATTTTATTTCCAAGAAAATTAACAATCTTAATATAAAAGGTGGTCTTAGATTGGAATCCTCATGACTCTCTTTGCTTCGTTTCTTCAATCTTTTGATCCTAGGTTAATTGCACTTCAAATACGATAATATTCGGCCCTGCATTATGATCTATCTTTCTAGGACTAGTTGTTTAAATTATATTTTTAAGAATAAAGCATGAAGCATCATGTCTTCTCACTCACCCCTTTCCATCTTGGGATCTCTGGTCGTTCTTGTAAAGATCAAATTGTTAGACATAAATTTATGTAATTCGATTACCCTTGAGATCAGCTCAAATTCCATCTATTCTTGAACCAGGTCTTATCAGATGTGAGGGGAAACGTCCAAATGGGATCTCTTGAATTGCTTAGAATCTTGGCAATTCCTAGTCTGGGATTACTCGTGTTGATTCAATGACTCCTTCCAATTAAACTCTTAACATACTTGAGAAAAGGAGAAAACAAAATATTCATAAATACAAGAACACATATTCATTCCGATAAAAAACCTATGGGGAATTGAGCCCAATCTTTTTTTTAAGGAATTTGGTTTTCACATTAGTAAACTTACTGATTTACCTTGTTCAGGCTTCTTTTTGAGGTAAAGTCTAGCTATTGCTATTAACAAAGCTAATTACATTGGCTTCATGCGCAGCCTCAATCCAAAAGATGATCATTTTTTATCAGAGTTGTGCATTTGATCGGTAAAATAGATTTGGTCAATTGACCTATATTTGACCGTTTTTTAAGATAAATATTAACTTTATTTTTAATACAATAGTAAAAAATGAATCTAATTATATTTTTTAAAATTCTATAATTAATGTTCCGCTTTCCATGGTAAAGTCGTGTTCTGATTTATATTCAATATTATCCTTCCTTAATATTTTTAATCAATCTTAAATTATGATATACACTTATCAATTTTTTGGTTGTCGAGATCTTCAATCGATTTCTTTTGTTCATATGAATATCACCTCAAACCGACCAATATATTTCCTAAAAAGAAGTGGACACTTCTCTTAATGTTCAAGGTGGGCAAAGCCCATTCCAATAACTCGAGGTCAGAATCTGATTTTTTTTTATGAAAGGTACTGTTTTCCACATATTTTGACTATTAAATATACCGATCTTTTTTTCTTAAATTTATAATATCACTTAAAATATTTTGGTCATCATCACCTTCTAAAATTATCACATGCTTTATCAAATTTACTATTAGTAAGATGCTCCCCTTATACTGGGGATCCAATAAACAATCAGCAGTGTTAGCACATCTATTTGGATTGCTTTTTCTTTTTCAAACGTATCTTTAATTATTTTTCTTCAGGTGGATTAATTATAAAATCATGGCATGATTGAATTATTTGTTTTCCAAATTAAGCGTACATTAATCCCTTTGCACCTACAACAATAAGAAGCTAAGTGTTAAAGAATAGTTTTAAATATTTCGTCCAAAATACTTCTTCATTTGATGTATTATTGGTAATTTCTTTTGGACAAATACCAACTTCTTTAACAGCTACTTTTAGAGCTTTCTTGTATGTTTGTATTTGCTCCTTGCATTTTATTGACGATGACCATCTTATTTGGAAATTTTACATAATGAAATATAAATTGACTATTATATTTATATATTGAAATTCAATCAAATTAATAATGAGAAAAATTCTTTTATTTTTATATTTTAAAATGAACTAATATTTTAATATAAAAATCCGATATTTTAATATATAATTATAATTAAATCGACGCCTTGATGTTATAAATATAATCTAAAATAAATTGTAACCTAATTGGATTAATAAACATGCTTTAAATACATATTAATTAATCAAATCAATATATTTATTCACCAATAATATTTTAGAGTATTTGACTGTATTTTATCAGGTCAAATACTCCTTGGGCAATTGACGGAATTTGACAGGTCAATTGACCCACTTGTCAACCCTGTTTTTAATATAATATATAAATTTTCTTTAATTAAATATATAATTTCTTTTTCTTCTTTCAATATGAATTATAAGCAATTTTAAATATTCAATATTTTCTTTTTTCAATTTATGTGAAGATTATGTTTGGTTTTTAGAATATTTTTGTTATAATCAAAAGAAAAAAGATTCTCTTATTCATATATTTTGGAATTTAATTTTATGATAACGTTTTAAATTAATTATTTTTTTTATTATTAAAATAGACATTATTCGCTTTGTCTTGGTTCAAACTCGCTCCTTTAACTCTTGGGGCTTATGTTTACCCTATATGGGCTAACGTCTTTGGTTGGTTCTTAGCTGGAATACCAGTTTTGTTCATACCAATACTTTTCATCAAAAACTATTACAAGTTGAAAGGTCGAACATCGAGATCATTTTTGCAAGTTTGTTATTTTGTTATTTTTCGTACAATTTCACATTATTTTAAACAATTATATAAGAAAATATTTACTTTTTTTCTTAATTTAAAATTTTATTTTAATATACCTGTATAGCCTTACTAAAACATTGGCAATAATATCTTAATATTATTTTAAAATTATATTAGAATTCACGAATATTAAGTCAGCCAAGAGATAATTGGGGACCAGAGCTTGATGTTAATCGAACAGGAAAATACAAAACATTCGAAAAATTTTAATTATATTAAAATTATGTAAATACTAAATACACCAAATCAATCATTTACGAACGTTTTATGGATGCGTAGTTTTAAATTATTAGTTTGACAGTTTTATATTAATTGTATGCGCTGTTTTTAATTAAAATATCTCCTGTTAGATTTAATATTTACTCATATTTAATAATCAAATGAAAAGTTTTCGCACAAAGTATGATCTGTTAAATTATTAGATATTTTCTTAATTTTAGTTATAAATTAAAAAATTTAAGATACTTATGATATTTTATGATACTTTGATACGAATAAATTTATAGAAAATATATGATTATAATTCAAAGAGATTTGATATACAATACTATCCACTCGAATTACTCAATTCCCTATTAAATAACATATTCAAAAAAAAATCTTATTAAATTGCTTGATGACTGAAAACTTAACGGAAACCAATTTTCAGATATTATAAGTCAATTTTAAATACTATTTTCTTAATTATTTTTTGTAATTAAATTATTTAATTGTGATTATGACTAGTATAATTATATTGTTTTCCTATTGAATAACATTTTATCTCATGATGAATTTAGGATAATAAAATATTTATCAATTTTTTACTTGTTTTATCTTGTCTCAAAAGTAAAACTTGGTATGACAAAATATTTAATTTTTAAGTAAAATTTTTATTTGTTTTAGCTTGCCTCAAAAGTAAAACTGATATGGCAAAATATTTTCAATTTTTAATTGTCTTTATAGCCAGTACGATCACTAGATTCTCTAAACTTGAGAAGGGGTGGGCTCATTTTCTAAAGAAATTTCAAAATAAATTACACAAAAAGTAATTCTATTTAAAATTTACAAAAAAATAATCATATCTATAAGTCAATATTTTTAGGAGGACTCTATAATATTTCCAGGGTGAAGGGAGGGGTTGAGCTTCTATGCGCTTCCTCCTCTCGACGCATTGGTATATAGTCAAATTGGCTGCTAATTCTTTATTTCTATTTAGTCAAATAGAAATAAGAATATATTGAATGATAATGTTGAACGGTAGAATTTGAGAGATGATGTTGTTGAGTAGATCTACAAAATATAGTTTAATAAAATTTTTATATAATTAATAATTTAATAAAAATTTTATATAATTAATAGTTTGATAAAATAAATATAATTATTGCAATATATGAGCCTTTTTGCTTTCAAGTTAAGCTGTTATTCCTTTGTTTTTTTTAAAAATAATAAAAAAAACCCATGGATGTCCCAATCTTAATATTTTTTTCCATAGAAATATATTGTAATTGAATATAAATATAGAGATATTCGAATAGCAACACTCACGGAGTTCTCAAAAAATACATAAAGTAAATAAAAACCGCACTATTAAAAAAATTACGATTTATTAAAAGTAAAAAGGTCTTTAGTAGAAAGTTACAAAATAAACACCAAATTTTTATTTTTAGCATATTCATTTTACCTCAATTTTTTAAAATCATATTTTTCGAAAAAGGATCATCTTTAACATTTTTGACCACTGATACCAGAGTATTTTTTTAATAGAAATTTTGAAACGTAATGGAACTTTTTTTAAGCAAATTATTAAAAGGAACACATCATAACTTTTAAACTTCCTAAATTAATTTTAAGCCCGTATCTTTTAAAATCTTTGATCTAATATCATTTTTTTTGTAAATTTGTACCCTTAATTTTGTTACTAAGATATATTTTATTACATTTTAGGCTGCGTCCAAAATCATAAAAATATAAATAAATTTTGAAGAAAAGAATAACATAAGCTATTTTTAATGTAAAAATAAAATGGTATCCAATTTCATTTTTCGGTATTTATAAAAATTTATTTTTTTATTTATTTTTAAATTTTTGTAGAAAAATAGTAAGTACAATTTTAATGCTGTTAATTTTTATAAATTTACTAACCCAAACGATTATAGTCTTTTATATTAATATATTTTTTAGTGTCAGAATATAATTTTATGGAAAGCATAAGAGTGCACAGGAACCTCTGGTGCAAAAATGACTTAAAATTCAGAGATTCAAAGATTTACTATATGTTGAAGAATATCTATTGCTAAAAGAGAATGTTGAAAATATTACCAAATATTCTGAGTCAAGTTTTAAATTGACTCAGACAAATGTAATAAATTTAAAGACATAAATATAAAATAGTTTTTATTTATAAAATTATATATTTTAATAGGCTGCACAATACCTTATTGAAATTGAAAGCCCAATATAATATTATTTATATTTCAAAATTTGTTGGAAACTTTCAAAACCATAAAAAACTGTAAATAAACGGTAACTTTACATTTTGCCTCTAACTGTAATTTTTTTCCCCTAAATCAAGACCCTATAAATCATATTAGACTGCCATAAATTTTATTTCTACAACTATTAAATTTCAACATACAATTTCATCTAGAGGATGATTCGATAAAGATAAAGTCTTAATTTATAAATCTTACAGAGGCTTAAATGCAACATATATTAAGAATAAAATCAATAAATCATATCAATAATTATTACACAAATTTTTCAAATAAGTTAAAGGTTTATATCTTCTGTTAGTTTAAAATATTTTTTAAAGTTACATTTCAATTGAACATTTTAAAAAAAACTCTTATAAATACGGATCCCCAAAAAAAATTTTGTAAATAATGATGACCAATCGTGTATTCATGATACCATATACTGATCCAAAAATACTCAAATGGTTCTCAGATCAATATTAAAAAAGCATTCATGAATAGGCTCCACTAAGAATGTGTAAATTCACATATTTTCTCATTTATTTTATGAAAATATGAAAACTGTTTATTAAGTTAAAATAATATTAAATTCAAACAAATTCAAAAAGCTCGCTGTTCCCTTAATATATTTCAAAAATTTATGGAAATGGCACGCTAAATTTTTTCTGCATTTTCAGGGGTACGGCGTGGCCTTGCCTGCTCTTGCCACTAGACCACTGGAAATTGGAAGAGGTGAGTGTAATAGAAGACAATCTGATAAGAGGACATAATATTGTAATACCAACTAAATTTATAAAGATAATCTTGCTAGTCCTGTATGCTGGACATCAAAAAGAACAAAAAAGACGTGCTAAAAAAATTATAAATTCTTGACAATTCCACGAGATTTTATGATAATCATAGTGAGTAGTTTTATTAAAGCAACTATTACTATTTACCGTCTAACTAGTTAAATTTTTATTTTTACTGTATCTTATTTCATTTTTGTATTGTAACGGTAAAGTAACTAGTTACTTTTCAAATATTTATAAATTACATTCAGTTACTTTATAGGATGGTTTCCCAATCTTAAAATTGCTATCTATTAAATAATCTCTCGTTTATATAGACTCACTTAGAATGTTTGCGTTGTCTAGGGAAGTTTTAGAGGAAGAAAAACTAGCACATTAAAATAGTTTGCTGCCAAAATTTTAATTTCATTTCTCAACTTAATTACCAAAAAATTGCAATCTACCCTGTTTCATAATGCACTATTACATACAAATTATTTGTTGATTGTTTTATAATGGAAAATTAAATTTTGAATCATAGTAATTCCAACCAGTGATATACAACTATTAGAAACTATTAATTATAATCTTAAACCTTCAAAAAGATGCCCGCAATGTCTTAAACATACCTTTTGTAGTTTTAATAGACACAAATTAAATAATGATATAGTTTTAAATGTTTACAATGACCATAATGATAACATCAATATATCGTATTCCCATCTACCTGATAACATTTCCTTCTCTTCCTTATTCTTTGATACCTCCAAGCCTAATTATTACTCGAATCTCCAAAGGTGCTCATATACTGGCAGCTAATAAAACTACTCCCTTAGTGATCAAAGCCAACCTTATCTCTAAAAAATTGATTATCTAAAGCGCTTAGGTTAGCATCTACGTAATGATTCACTTGCCGATTTTTGTTGTTATTTTTAATCGATTTATGTTTATTTACTATCGTGATTCCGCCCATGGATTGGATGGAATTTCTCCTGTATTTCTTTAGGGCATTACCTGTCCTTCAATATGTTCCCTTCTTTAATCCTTACCTTGCTTACCAACTACTGCAATAAAATTTTGACCAGTGTTGTTCAAGATTTTGCGCCTCTCATACTTTTTGGTGCATGACTCATTGCCTTGCAAGAACCATAACGATATCAGGTTAATAGATATAGGCGTTTCCTTTAGATGCCTTGTTGCCAAAATGATTTCCTCAAGAATTAAGAATGATGAATCTCTCATCTTGAGTCTTTTTCAACTGGGCGTCGGAGTTGCCGGTGGTTTTCGTTTAGTAAACAATCGCTCATGTGAAATCTTAATTAAGATCGACTTTGCCAATGCCTTTAATACCCTCTATAGGAATTCTTTCTTAAAATCCTTGAGCACCCTTTTTCCTGGATATAGCAAATTTTTCCATTCCTGCCATCAATATCCTTCCACTTTACAATTCAATTCATATAAAATCAACGATATGATCGAGGCAATTAATGCCTCCTACTCTCTTTTGCTCCATGTTTGGTACATGTATGATGGTATAATCTGTGACTCATCCAATGAGGTCAATAAAGTGATCGATATAATGTTAGAGATCGGCTCTTCTTTATTAATTCTCAATCAAAGCAAATCAGAATTCATTCAACTAAACAGTACCAAAATTAACTCCCACAATTTCAAGGTCATTACTCAAAATCAACTAATTCACTTATCATCCCAGGTTGCGGGCAACTCAACTGTTTGCATCTTTGGATTCAATTCTTGAAACTCTTATCAAATTGGGTGATATCCTTCTCATCCTTTCCTTTAGTTGTTTTTTGTTAAAACTTTTTAATATACCGCGCATTCTTTATGCTCTAAGGACTACTCCTGTTTTTAAATATCCTGGTCCTTTGAATGTATATGAAACGGGAATCTAGGTACAAACCGAAGAGATCCTAAATCTTAGGTTCGGAAAAATTGCTTGGGTTCAAACTTCTCTCCCAACAAAATTTGGTTTTGGCATCTTTAATAACTTTTATCTCAAGTTGCTTATTAATAAAACTTATTGTTATCGCTCACTCTCCTGCATCATGCATTGAGGCATTAGATCATGGAGATCTCGAATTCTTGCTGACACTCATTTACCAGTCACTTGCAAATATGGAACATCCTGGTTGTTGCCTGCTGCTTCGAAACTCGGCTATAAAGTATTCAACCCCTAGATCGTCCTCTCTTTTTTGTCTCTGCTAAATGGACCTGGGCACGAGTTCCCCAAGGCTATCTCTTCTGTTAATCTTCAATTACAACTCACCAAAAATGAATTCACTCTTGCCATTAGAATCCGTCTCAATTGCTTAATTAACCAACCTTACCATTGCTCTGGATGTAATGTTCCTGTTGAATCGAAGGGGCGACATATGCAAAGGACGTATTCCTAAACACAATCGTAATGCCATTATTTAACGTGCCCTTAAGTCTGGGCAGATTACATCTAATCTTTAACCTAGTGGTCTTTTTCGATCTGATAGAAAACGTTCAGATGGCATTACCCAAATTCCTTGGAAGAGAGGTCAATTATTACAAGCATCTTTGACATCAAAGAGCTATACAAAATTAATAAATATTCTAAAATATCTAATGAATTTTTATACCTATAATCTCTTCTAATTAGCATCATTTGGTAGCCGTGCTTTAAACTTTTTCACGAAACTCGGTTTTCTTATTCGTAAAATTACTGAGGAACCCAGATAAGGTATTTACCATTTACCTAAGGCAAAGACTTTCATTTTCATTCATAAATCGAATTACATCAGTTTCATTGGAAGTCTCCTTCCGAGCTAACCTAACTTTTTTAAAAAATCCTTTTTGCTTATTTAATAATCCTTTTTACATATTTTAATTTTATGTTCTTATATTTTATTATATGATGGATTAAAATTATGATGAAATATATATATATTATATAAATAAGCAATACATAAAGATAATATAAAAATATAATATTTTTTAAAAAGTGACGATTTCATTTTGAGGGACAAAACTTTCTATCAAAATTATTCCAATATAATTAATTGATTTATTTTTGATTTGTTGCAACAATCAAATTTTTTTTCCCATATATTCAATTCATTAAGATCTTATATAAACCTTTCATTGTAATGTTTTATCTTATTAATTTTGAAAAGCAAATTGACGTGAAAATTCTTATTTTGGTAAAATTTTATTTCTATATTTTTTTTTAAAATATAAAGGGATTTAATTTAGGGAGAGGACTTAAGGAGAACAGATGTTTAAAAACCCCCTAACCCAAAGCCGGATAGATTATCGGGTTGAACTGAGTAAGGTAACTTAGAGAATATCTTTTTTTTAGACTATTGGACGAGTGAAAAAAATATTTTTATGGACCGTGTTGGAATTTTTCAAATTTATTAAAACTTAAAATTAGGCAAATTCTTAATGATTATTGGTCGGGCCCGCCGCACAGTTTATACAAAATTATACTACTTTTACAGACCATGCGTAGTGATCTGCATCGGGCCTAATTTTTCATGCTCTACCAGGCCCAAAATTTTCTTAATAAAAGTTTAACGGCCCGGCCCGAACCAGAAATTTTAAAAAAGTTTTGCCGGCCCGGCCCGAACCCGTATATTTTTAAAAAAAATTTACCGATCCGGCCCGAATTTATTTAAATATAGAAATTAATTTTTATAATTACTCAAAATAAAAGACATATGTTATATGTCGTTTAGTTTCAATAAATAAAATCAAATATTTTTATTTTACATAAAAATTCAATATAAAATTGATAAATTTAGATATATTTAAAAAAAATTCCAAAGTCCGACCCGACCCGGCCCGAATTTTTTTTAAAAATATTAGGCCCGACTTGAACCCGATTATTTTAAATAGAATCCGGCCCAAAGCCCGTTCGGGCCGGGTCGGGCTCGGGGCGGGTACGGGTCGGGTCTAACTTTGCAGATCTCTACCATGCTGTGCAAATAATACTGGCAGGAAAAATCTTTTAAATTATCTTCCTAGACTGGTTCGCGAGCAGTGCAGATCTTTACTTGAAAAGATTAAAAATAAAGACAGAAATATATTTAAAAAAAAGAGAATTCCGGCTTTTATAATGAGTTCCTTATTTTACTTAAAATAGATACTATCAAAAATAAGAAGAAAACAATTTTTTTAACATACAACCTTTCGATTATGTAATAATTTCAAATAAAAAAACAATTAAAAACACAGAATTTCATAGCCAATATTAGAAACAGTTGAATGCCAATCTCTCATAAGCATATCTGATGTCGGAGATAAGCGTTACAAAAAAAATATATCCCGGAGATTTTATAAAAAATCCCTTAGAAAACTCTTTTTCCAATATCGGTGTTAATGTGAAGGCAATAGAAACATTGGCCCCTTCTAATGTGGAATTATCGAGAAATAAGTCTTCTATCGCTATTCATGAAAGAGATAAATGGGATGGAAAGTTAGATTTCTTGATGTCTTGCATAGGATATGCGGCGGGTCTGGGAAACGTGTGGAGATTTCCAGCTATGGCGGGAAAAAATGGAGGAGGTTTATTTATTTAAACGTATGTACATCATATAAAAAATTTTCAATTTTCATCCAATAGTAAATCTTGTGATCAATTTACATCCAATTGTATTCATTTTTTTTCTCCGCTACCAAAATTTTTTACCATAAAAACTGTAATAATTTTACTAATATAATAAAATTACTATTTTTGGAAAGTAAGTAAAGTAACGACGTTTCTTTTTTTTGAGTTTTAAAATACATAAGAACTTAGATATAAGTGTAAAATTATCATAAGTCCTACTGAAATAAATTGCCATTTCCTCAGCTGAATTATTATTTCTATTAATGTGACACCTATGACATGATATGTAAGATTTGATAGATCATCAAAAAATGACTAAATTTTATTAAAATATCCAATATCAAATTATTTAATTATATATTTTTATCAATTTAATTTATTTTAGCCGAGTTTTCAAATCTAATCAAAAGAATATAATATGGATCTTAGAAATTATTTTTTTCAAATTTGAATTTAAATAATAGATAATCTGTATACCAAATTTAAAAAGATATATTATTGCATTTTATGGATAAATTAGTTAAATTCTTCTATAGTAAAATTAATTTTCAATTTTTTTTTATCGAATTGCTACAAATAAAGTGCTATTTTATTTAATATAAATCTCCTTTCATCAGCACATTTTCCAAATTCTTAAAGCTTGGCTCAGTGGTACCCCCCCCCCTCCACCCAATCTACATCAAGTCAAGTACTTAGAGGGATTTAGTAGGGGGTAGGATAATTTTTTATTAAATTTTTTGGTTAAAAATTTATCAGAACTAATAAATATAAAATTTATTTTAAACCCATCATATAAAATGGCAATTTCGAACACAAATATTAAAAGGGCCAATATAATATTGTTAAAAAATATTAAGCTCTAACCGATATGTAAATCACATTAAAATATAGAATTACATTATAAAATGATTTAAAAAGTTAATCTCTTCAAAATAATATCCAAATCAATAAAAAAATCATACCTTTCTCCATTTTATAAACTCAAGCAAGAAAATCGCCGTATCTATAATTAGATCTATTTATCAAATATTTAAAACATCATGGCCCGACCTCGCCACTTGATATTTTTTTTAAAAATGTTTTTTCTTTTTATAAAAATATACATTTGTATCAATCTTTTTTTTTTAACTTAATATATGACATATTTTATTATATTCTCTATAATAAATGTTAATTTTTAAATAGTAATAAAATTAAAGTTTAAATAAAATTAAAAAGTTAATTAAAATACAGTTTATAAGTGAAAATTATATCTTTCCGATTGCGCTAATTTTTCAAAAATTTGTTCTGAGTTATCTTAATGTATATGTAAAGCTTCCATTCAATTGATTTTAAGATGTCGTACTCTTGAGTTGGGTTTTATTCTCCGTAACAAAGAATAGATTCTCATCTGTTTTATACTAATTGGTATAGTTGACAAAATATATTATTAATTTTAATATTTATGGTACTCTAAAATATATTTTAAAGTAGGTAATTCCATTGCGTTTCTTGGTGGAATTAATCTTCCAATAATTGTGGTGCAATTAAATAATTTTTTTTTCTTTTAAGTTTATCTTTTCAGGTGGTAAGCTCCTTCCTATCATCTCCACTTTATTACTCATGCTATCTATTTTTATCTAATTTCTATTTCTGATCGATTCCATTTGTATCTCCCACCGGAGTATCTCTATCGAGGGCAAAGGATCTTGATCTCCCACCGGTGTATCAAATCTATCAACAGATATACCACCTGAGTATTCCTCACACCAAAGTATCAAATCGACATTTATCCCAATCTTGATCTCCCACTGGAGTATCAATCCCGATGGTCGTTATCAGTCCAATGTAACTTAGTAGATATTGAGCTTAAACGGCCCCCGAGATTTCATCCTAGCGCTGGCAAGAAATCGTTATCATCTGACCCACGAGTTCAACTGGCCGTCTTATTTGGTTCAAGTATCCTAGCATCCGGCTAAGCCTGTCGGTGACCGGAATGGCATTTCTCAGCTCAGAAATTTTTCATATTATATGTCTATACCCATCCGTCATCGAAAAAAACCCGAAAATATTTAGTTCCTTATCAGGATTGAACCTGGGACCTTAGGTTTCCAAGCATACATCATACACCACTGGGCAACCTCAGCGATCAATTAAATATTTTATTAATACATTCAAATTCAAAAATAATAGGCTGTCGTATTATATCTAATTGTATCTGCTTAGGTCATTCTAATGTTTTCCCAATGGTTAAAATAGGTTTTTCAATATATAAAAATGCTGTAATCTTTATATTGAAGGATCCATCTTGTCGGGTATCCTTTTACAGTTTCTTTTTTATAGCACAAGAAGTCTCAGAAATGATTCTATAAATACTGTCTCTCTGGATATCTCATTATTTCATACACTTTAGAAATGTTGCCCAATCATAACTATTTTTGGTTGAGAAAATTATTTGAAATAGAATATCTTGCAATTCACAAAAATACCTTATATATTAAATTATTTGCTACAAGGTGGTTAGGGATTCCCCATCCCTCCAATTTCTCTGGCTTCTCGTATTTTTACGTTTTTCCAGTGATTATGAAAAAAATTATATAAAATGATTATTTCTAACATAAACTTTTATAATTTTAAAGTAAAATAAATATTATTATAATTTGAATGGCTAAAAAAATAAAAATTTTGGATGTATATATTATAGATTTCATCTCATTTTATTTGGCCCAAGCTGGGTTCGAGCCGGAGTCCTTTCCAATGGGGTTTTTCCTCAAATTTTAAATTGTTTAAAGATTTTTTTATAAAATGAGGAAACGAATTCACAAATAATTTTTTTGAAAGGTTAAATTTTATAGTGATGCTTCTAGTCTAGTTATAAAAAAATTATTCACATAAAATTAAGTTTGAAATAAGGTTTTCATTTAATTATATTGTTTACTGATTAGAAATTGGGAAATACCACTTTCCTGTTTACTTTCTTTTTAAAGCAAATAAGAGGAAAATTTGGAATTTAATTAGGGCTTTCCCCTAGATAAAAACTATTTTATTATATTATTTCTTGATCAAAGTTATTAAAATATTTTATGACTTTCATTTTCTTCGATGGGAGTTTGAATAGACTATTTAAATGTTTATATTTGTAGGACTCATTTTTAGTGACAACCAGAAATAACGCTTAATATCAATAAAATTTTAATTTTATGCTGCAACCTTTTATAAAAAAAAATGCATATATTATAAATTTAAATTCTCACTATTATATAATTAAAAAAAATTATTTTAATCAAAAAAAAATATATAAATATAAAAAGGTGCATTTTTGGTGCCCTACTTTATTATGCTTTTAATCGTTGGAATACCACTATTCTATATTGAAATATCTCAAGGACAGTTCGCGAGTTTGGGACCCATAAAAATATGGAGAGTAGTCCCTTTAGCTGAAGGTATAAACTAGTTATTTAGGTTATAAATTTTAAACAAATAAAAATGACTTTTTTTAAAAATAATTTAGAGACATTTGACCCGACTTTGTGTTCAAGTTAATTATTATGTATTAAATGCTATAAATTATTTAAAAGGTATCGGATACGGCATGGTTTTTATAACTTCTCTAGTAAATATGTACTATAACGTTATCGTTACCTGGATTATTTATTACTTTTTCGCATCCATGCAGGCTAAACTACCTTGGACTGATTGTGAGAAGCCTTGGAATACACCTAGTTTTATTTATATACTTATCATAATCGATTAATAATAACAAAATATTGTAAATTAGGTAATTTCGTGATGACAAAAATTATGTTTTTTACTTTCTGACACTGAAATGTGGGTGGGACAAAAGCGCTATTGCTTCTAAACTTAATTATAAAGCATGCCTAAATATTAAGAGTAGCGAAGAGATTGTTTTCTATAATATACTTATTATACACATTGAGTTTTGCTAGAAAAAATGGCAAAGAAAACTGTAATATTATGAAGGAATAAAATATCTTTAATGGTTATTTTATTTGATAAAGGAATAAAATAAGGTTTTCCCTAGCTCAGTCAGTCATTAGCTTATACCAAATGTCAGTTCAAATGGTAGAACGTAATTTCGTTCTTTTATTTGTGATTTTTGTATTATATATATAATATATTACATATCTATTACCTTCAGTAATTAATAAAGAAATATAAGAAAAATTTCTTAATTCTGAAAGTGAAATGATAAGACATTTAATGATAGACAATGCTGCTATTACAAATTTTTAATTCAAAAATATGAACATTCAAATATTTGTAACATAATTGTAAAATAATATATAAAATCTTTGCTTTCACCACAACATAGTGGTCTATTTTTTCCTAGGTAAGAAATGATGCAAGGAAGGTACTTTTTACCGCCTCTATCGTTCTAATATGGGATTTCAACCGTGTAAAACTTAAGGCATCGATATATACATTTTAACTCCAGTTTTAATTGCAAATCAATAAATTTGTTGTGATGGATAACCTAACTTGAAAAGCAAGCATAAATTCCTTCGAAAACATTAAAAAACATAGTTGATTGAGGTATTGATTATCAGGCAGAGAGACAGAGTCACACCATTAATTTTTTTAGATAATATAAAAGATTTTTGATATTTTTGTTTTATCAACATATCTAACACAAATACTAAATCGTGCATATGAGCTAAAATCGCCGGTGTCATTAGTCAAGTGAAATAACTAAGTTTAAGATTATTTTTCCTGCTGCTGAGGACATTTGATTTTGAGATTTAGATGAGCAATGTGGTTGCTTCCATTTAAATCTTCCCAGATTCCAATATCAGATTCAACCTCTCTTTTTTCAACACCTAAACGGAAAAAAGTAGAATCTAAAAAAAAATATTTAAATGTGCTTTATTGATCAGCATTTGGTGGTTTATTATTATTATTGGGTTGAATATAATTTGTTTTGGGAGAAGCATTTTAAAGTTATGAAAATTTATTAGAGTTGATTAGTGTTTTAAAATATTGAAATATCCGCCTCACATACAAATCACAATATATTTATTATTTAATTAGGATTTGATGACAATATTTTTATTTAAAAACAAATATCCTATTCAGTGAGCCATTCAAATGTTTTAGGGGGGGGGGCTCCCATGCCCCATAAAGTTACAAAAAATATTGATGATGCCCCCCCCCCTTACCCAGGAATGTGCTATTAAAATATTAAGAAGGTTTTTAAAATTTTGATAATTCTATATTTTTTATTCAAAATGAGCACTTAATATCTGGACAATTTTCTGCAAAGGGTTGTCAAGTCACTCATGCAATACTAGCTTATATTTAAAAAAAAAATGATATTTATTATATTTTTTTTGGAAAAAGATATAAAGTGAATAAAAGTAAAAAGGTTAAGATTGATAAGAAAGTGAGATAAATAGAAGTTAATTCCCCGAAATTAAGATTAAAATTATTATTACAGGCTTAAAAAAAATCTTTAAACCTACTCATTATATATATATATATATTTTATTTCACAATTACTCATACAACATAAAATTAAATAGAATTATACACATTATTTGTTTGATTATTTAACACCATGAGACACAATATTATATCTAAATTTTTTTTAAATCAAACCTTAGATTGTTTTTCTTATAAGGATTATGGAAACAGCGTTAAATGCAAAACACAAAATGGTACATACTACTTACATCAATGCTTTAAGGATAATAGCACATATTATAATACATTAGTGAATAAGACAAAACGAATATCACCTTCCGAAGAATATTTTTAGTAAAATTTGTTTTTCAATATTGGGCCCTAGAATAATATTAAAATAATTATAAATGTTTGAAAATAGTGTTGTTAGACGGCTCGATTTGAGCTGATTTTTAAACAAAGGGCGAACTCAATATTTTATCCAGAATAATATTTCGCAAGCCCGAAATATTTGGTCATAGATGGCACAAAGTTGGACATCTATTAGCAAAATCATGAGGTTTGGTAATATTTTTCTGGCTAATATATTTAGTTAGCCGTTTTTAAAAATCTCAAATCAAGCCGTTTACAACACTTATTTTTAAAAAAATTTTAAAAAAATTTATTAAAATTTTTATTCATTTATTTAAATATTTATCAAATTTTTATTCATTCAATATAAATATTTTATAAAAAGCAAAAAAATGCTTCAGTCCCCTAATTCAATCGAGAAGTTCGAAGGAATAAATTGGGACATATTATTGACTCTTCTTCTATCATGGTTAATCGTTTTTTTAATCATGATTCATGGAATTAAATCTTCCGGAAAGGTAGAAAAATAAATTGGTTAAATACTTTTAAAATTGTTTAAATGAGTTTATTGGGCATGCAATTCTATATATAATCAATTTTAAGAGAATACTTTAAAAAAACCTTGCATTTAAGATTTTTTGTCCTTATTTGATCATATAAAATTTCGAAAAGGTTATATTTATCCAAAAAAACATATACTATAGGTTGTTTATTTCACAGCCCTTTTCCCCTATTTCGTATTGATTATCTTAGTTATAAAGGGAGCTACTTTAGAAGGTGCCATAGATGGTATTAAATTTTATATAGTGCCTAAATGGAGGCGTTTATTGGATCTTCAGGTTAAAAAAAATTTATATTTTATATTTTTTTAGGAATAAAATTTATTATAATTATTTTGCTTTACAAAATATTAAGATGTTAAATCCATATTAATTGCATGCTATATCAAAAAAATATGAAACTTATATTTCCTACTCGTTATACTTAATTGTGAACAAAATTTTTTAAAATCTTTTTTAAATTATCGTGATGAAAAAAAATTGCTTATAACTAATAAATAAAGATTAATTATTTTAAAAGATACTTTAAATTCTCAGTACCTTACTAATATTAGTAGTTGTAATTATTTTGAATATGTCATCAAATAAAAAATAGGTTCTAGCTATTTTCAAAATGTCGATTTAAAAAAGTCCCCAAAGTACATTAGATAATCTATCTGATTTGAATATATAGTGTGTTCTCTATAATATCCTCCTCGAAATATCACCTAAAATTTATTAACAAATTTATAACAATGATTAAATACGTTATATATATTTTTTTAAACTAATTTAGGTATGGACAGAGGCTGCAGGACAAATGTTTTTCTCCCTCTCATGCGCCATGGGTGGACTACACGCTCTTTCAAGTTATAACAAATTTGACAACAACGTGCTAAGGTTAACAAAATATAATAGACACAAGAACATTATTTTATAATTCATAAGCTAAACTCCAAAATTTATCATTAATATATAACAATTAATCATTAATATAAAAATTATAATATATCTCATTGATTTAATTCAATTAAGTCACTCGTCAAATTATATTGGTGAGGTTTAAATTCAAAAAATAAAATTAAATCAGTGGCGAAGTGTCCATAGAAGCAATGGAAGCATTGCTTTCTTAAATAAACTTAATATAATCTGTATACTATGTTGAAAAAACTAATCTGACTTCGTTTTAATATAATTTTTATAATATTATTTTTACTACGTTAATAAGAATTACTATTATTTTTACTACGTTAAAAAAATTACTAATATTTTTACTACGTTAAAAAATTTATTATTATTTTTACTACATTAAAAAATTTACTATATTTTTGCTACGTTAAAAAATTTACTATTATTTTTACTACCTTAAAAAAATATACATGAGGGAACCAAATTTCGTAAGATTATGGTTTGTGAGAAATAATTACCATTGGTTATCTTTTAATTTGCATGTTCTCTTAAGTTAACAAAAAATGTTCCAATGATACCTCCCCCCCCTTTCCCATTTCCTGTATTTAAAAAATATATATTATATATCAGTTTAAACATTAATTTGAAAGAGAAAGAAGTAAAAGCTAATAATTTATTAAAATAAAGACCATAATTCAAAATTTTTAGAAAAAAAAATTTTTTGTAAAAATTAAAATTACATAACATAGCCAAAGGTCTATAATAAGTGCAGTGATGTTAAAAAGCCCGAGTTGGGCCAATTTAAAAAAAAAGGTCATCGGACTTTTTAAAACACCAAAAAAGTGGACGTAAAGACCTACAATAAACTTTATGATAGAAAACCCAACCTAATAGCTCCCTCCCCCTTCTCATAGGAAAATCCTGGATACGACCATGAAATAAGTGGACATTTACATATATTAGATATGTAATATTGAAGCTATAAAGAAGTTTTCGAATCCCAGCCAAATCTTCAAATTTATACTATTTTAAAGCGAGGAAAACGAAGAACGAAAAGGTTCCACCAAAAAACATTCAAGACAAATTAATATGGATTTATATAATTAATAAAAAAACATATTTTAAAGTTGGCTCATATATTTCTATCTTTTTAAAATTTTAATATAATAAAAAGAATAAAATTTGGATATCAATATTTTTCATTTTAAAATTTGATGGGGTCAAATTTAGGTATATCGGAGATGTATGCTTTTTAATTTAAAATTATAAACATATTAAAACTTTAGTAATTTATATAATTAAGAGACACCTGGATAGTTACATTATCAAATTCCTTCACTAGCATATTTGCTGGGTTCGCTATTTTCTCAGTAATTGGGAACATGTCTATGATCAAAAATATACCAGTAGAAGATATAGCCGCTTCTGGTATAGCTATTATCTAAAAAAAATTATCTATTTTATTTATCTTGCTTTAAAAATACTTAAATAATTAAAGTTATATTTTGTAATCATTTTTGTGTCTAATAATATTATAATCTAAGTTACAACAAGACCTTAACTAGTGCTTGATTAATATTAGAAGAAAAAAAAATCACTAATTTCTTGTAAGGATTCAGTAAGGTTTGTTGTGATTTTAAAATTTTAGATTAATTTTTAAGCTCATGCTCTATGTTTTTAGCAAAAAGTGTTTTAAAAAAAATTTCATTTTATTTTTTTGCAGGAACTGGCTTAGCGTTCATAGCTTATCCTGAAGCTCTATTGTATTTACCATTGCCGCCAATTTGGTCTCTCATATTTTTCTTCATGTTATTTCTCCTAGGAATAGATAGTCAAGTATAATAACCTTTTTAATGTTAATATTTTTATCAGAGATTAGCCGATACTCGCGGTATCGGTCATTAGCTGTAACCGCAAATTCATTTTAACCGATCTACATTACGCTATTAATTTATTTTTAAAAAAACACGATGGGTTTATAAAAACACTATAAATTTATAAAAAAAAATCTTATAAAAATTTATCAATTATTTAATTTATAAAAATAGATGAATTATATAACTATGTTATTTTTTCAATGAAATCAGAGACCTGTAATTCCGGCCCAGAACCTGGCCTGCAAAAATGTTTTGACTTTATAATATCTTAAACAAGATAGAAAAAAATTGAAGATTTAAAATACGGGATTTTTAAATTTTTAATCATTGATTTATCAGTGAAAAAATGTTAAAAAATCTAATAAGAGCGCATTCTCATATTTTTCGATTTTAACCTTAAAACCATTCGCAGAATACATGCCAAAATTATTAGAAAAAGCGAGATATCAAAAATTCAGTGCCGATCTGTAAAATGATCAATAGTAAAAATCAGAACTGCGGCAAGAAATATTTACTACATTATTATTTTTTGTTATCGATATTGGTTATGATATCAGTTGTTACCGGCTAATACTGTGTTTGGCATCGGCCATATCAGTCAGAGTAATAGCTAAAAAGATGGAATCAGTGTATCTCTGATTTTTATTGAATAAATTTGCTTATTTTTAAAATTTAAAAGATACAAAATTTAATTTATAATATCAAATTTATTCCAAAATTATCTTATTCTGATTGATTTAGGTTTATAATTAATTTATTTAGAGTGCCCTCCACCTCCCCTTTCAGACCAATGACGAGAGAACTTCCATAGGGAAATAGATGGGGGTACCCTATGAGAGCACCTCCCTCTCCCAACTATAAGCTAAATTTTAAATATTTTAAATGAGCATATATTATATTAACATAAAAACATAACTACTATTAATATAATTCCATCATTGATAATTTATTTTTCTTTATTCCATAAATATACTTGAGAAAATTATATAACTATGAATTAATTTTAGAATAGATTTGATCATAAATAAATTTTATTTTATTTCAAATATTATAGTTTCTAATAATGAAATAATTAAAAAGAAAATTATCTAATGATGTTGATGATGATTAAATTCAAAAAAAGTAATAATATTGAATTTCACAACGATTTATTAATATTGCAAAAATAATTTTCATGTTGTATAAAATTATAAGAACGATAAACTAATGATTCAAAAATATAGCACAATAATAATCTAATATTTGTCAAAATGGCTTGTATATAGTAAAGATAATCGAATTAATGACTGATTAAAAATATAGCACAAAAATAATCGAATATTGCAAAAATGAGAAGGTTGTATAAGTATTTGCCCATAATTCTGCTTTGGTGGTTTTTTATACCTATAGCTTCATAGTTTTGTGTTAGGCTTGAATGTCTCGTTTGGGGAATTCCTTTATTTAACATGAATATTTATTTTGGATATTATTCTTTGGCATCGCATTATCATTACATCATTATGTAGAAATTGAAGATGGATAGGAGTAATAAAAATTTGATTAAACAATAAGGGGAGGGAGGAGAGGGGTATACCATAGAAGGTGGCATCCATAAATAGTAATGATGCTATAGAATCATAACCGACCTACATAAGGTTTTAATGAAGTTATTGACTTAGATAGAGGGCACTGAGTATACATAATATTAAGAAATATGAACACAATATTTATTTAATAAATATGAACTTTTAAAACAGTCCGCTGGGGTTGAAACAGTTACTACTGCACTATTTGACTCCCTCAACATTCACAATATTGGGAAATGGAAAAAATCGGGAATAACCTTAATTATATGCGTCGGATTCTTCATATTGTCAATACCTTTAGTGTCTAGGGTATATTTTTTATCACACATACTAATATATATTCGATTTTTTTAATACTAATCTCATACTATATCATTAATCTACATTTCTTTTACAATATTTACTTTCATCATTTTACAAATAATTTTTTTTTAATATAAAAGACGGGGATATATTGGGTCGAGTTATTAAACAGTTCTGCCACAGATTGGGGTTTAATACTGATAGCGTTAATGGAGGGTGTAGCAATATCCTACATATACGGTAAAATATAATTCATTCTACTTACCGGAATTCATTTATACCTGTGGGAATTTTTTTTTAAATTAGATAATCTTTCAAGATTTTATTATTTTTATAATAATATTAAATAAATTCGAGTATGTATGGATTAAAAATAACATTAGATCGGCATATTTTAATTTCGATTTTTTTGCTCAGATACTAGTGTTTTAAAAAAAACAATTCTGCAGGGTATTTTTAAGAATTACATGAAGGACTCCCTAAAGTTTCCCGGAGTAATGCTAACAAGCAATGGTTTGAAAAAGGGAAAGTATTTTTTTAATATTTTATTAGTTTCTAAGATTTAAGGAACGGTTATTATTTGATACTATATGTCTATACATGTATAATCCAAGAGAGAAGCCGGCCCAATTGCCAAGGGGTTAGGAATATGCTATCAGAGTTTTTATTGCTCCCTAAGTTCATCTTCATTGCTTAGAAGTTGTAAGTAGGTATACCTTTGTTAAGGCTTGGGCGAATGATGTTTCTACAATGTTATCCTTTGAAATATTTACAAAGGAGAGGGTAATATCTGTTTTATGCAACATGGATATTAAAAAGCAATCATTGAAAAGGAATAATAACTATGGGACAAAATGCGGCGTCCAATAGCTAATCGTAATTCTTTCGAAAATATACACAGGCCCAACCTTTAACTTTTATGGCCTCCAGCCATTCATAGCATTTTTTTATGCATTCCAGGCTGGTCATCTTAACAAATCTTTCCTTCAATAATATATATATTTAACGTAACAAGTTATTCCCAGTCTTTTTGCGAAGAAGCAGAATGGCGAGGAAGGAGTTATGGTTTAAAATGACATATTGTTTTTATTTTTCAAAAAATGGGTGGAGGGGGGGGGGGGGTATGAGGAGGTTTTATTGTCATAACAATATTTGCAAATTTTTTGCCAAAGGGAAAACACCCCCCCCCCCTATAATTTTTACCACGTGGCTTTTTCTTCGAAGTTATTTTTTTTCCAGATCTTTCAATCTGGAACATTGTGATATCATCCATTATCCCATTATGCCATTAGTTTTGGTTAAATATAACTAACAATAACCATCTCCTAGCTCACATTTGTCTTAGTGTTAATAGTTCATTATCTTCTTCCCCAATAAATACTTTTTAAAAATTGCTTAAAGCTTAAATTATTTAATTTTAACAAAATTTCCTCCTTTTCAAAGTATTTTAAATTTTCTTATTCAGTAAATATGATTTTTAATCCTCATGCCATTTATATCAAATTTTTAGCCCACCCGCTCAACGTTAAAAAATAATTTGGTTGGTTTGATTTATTTTCTTTCATAAATTTTTAATAAATATAAACCCATCCTGCTCATTCTGCCCTTAAAACATTTCAAATTCATCCGCCCGCCCGACCGTTAAAAACACCTTTAACCCACTCATTTGCGGACCTTTAATGCCAACCCACGACTTCCCCACCAACTTTATTTGAATATTTAATTTAATTTGCAAGTTAAATTGGCTAAAATTTGATGGAGGTGCTTCTGCTATAAATATATTTATTTGAATTAATTTAAACAACGTGGTCTACCAAATGAAAAAGAAAAAATGCTTAAATTGAATTTTTTTAAAGAAAGATAGAAAAATATTTACAGTGGGTGAGACAAGCTGCAACTCTAGAAGTTTTAAATATAATAATGATCAGCTACACCCCCCCCCCCCCCAATTCTTCTTTGTTTCTAAAATTTTATCAATTTATCAATAATTTTTACATTGAATTTGGATCTGCTTAGGTATCAACAATCTAATATACGATATCGAAATGATGATTGGAACTAAACCAAAATATACATGGTTATATTGGAAGATTGTCTGGGCTATATTTCCACTCATCATGGCGGTAATTTAATTAAATATTTTGTTAATTTAAAAGGATACATTTTAAACCCGTAAATGATATATGCAAAAATTTGTCTAATTTTGGTTCTTGATAATTCGGGCAACTTCATAATTTGACCAAAATATTTAGACTCAATCAAATTCCATTAACTACTATTACACTTGATAAATTGGGTAACTATTTAAGTTGGGCAAAAAACATGGTTCTAACGGTGCCCAATAGACAGGTTTTAATGTATATATTCTAAATGGTTTATCTCAACTTATTTTCGGAATCTTTTAAAACCATTAGGATTTGGAATGATTATAAACGCAGCGTTTTTTTTATATAAGCCTTATTTTATTTTTATCTATTATTAAACCTCATTATCAAAATTTTAATTCCAAAAAATATTGAAGGTAAATATCAAAATTTGATTAATTTTCAACATAAAAGAAAAATAGGCGCCATTTAATTTTATTATTTCGTTAATAAGAATTGTATGGAAAAAAATTAGAAAAAATGGAAATTTCATAATTTTTTATTCTTTGATAATTTACCGAATTTTATTTTTCATACATATTTTTGTTCAAAGTTTTCATTTGAATGACAAAGGTAAAAATCTATTTTTTATATTTTAAAAAAAAATTATCATATTTGTATATTTTTTTTTCTATGTAAACGGTTTAAAATTTTATTATGCTTTGAGGTCTAAGGCCGTGTCCTAGGTAAGCATAATACTAAATAAATAGCTGGCTAAAAAAAGTCTTAAACATTTTATTGTAGATAACAGATTTGCTAAAATATTTAGACATATAAATGCGGTCTCTATATATATCTTTAAAAGGTAATGTCTGTTTTAAGATACATTTGACAAGTATCTTTTACCAATTTTGTCAGATAGCTACTGGATCAATTCCTTCTATTTCTAATGACACTAAAAAAATTGATTGATAAGGAATGATAAAATTATTTATATAAAAACAGGCTTTATAGTGGGACCTAATTGAGCGTTTGCGTTTCTTTGTGCAAAATGCAAAGAATGTATTTCAAATGGTACCGTGCAAATTGATCACAATTTATAATCATTAATAAAATCGCAAACTGATTTTTTTAGAAAAAGGCTTAATTAGGTCTCACTATTAATCGTTCTTATCTATATCGTTATCTAGACTCATTTGACAAGTGCCTTTTAATAACTTTAGCAGATAGATACTAGTGAGGGGCAATTCCTGTTATTTTTAATAATAGGATATCTAAAATTGATTGATTAAAAATGATAAGGTTAATTAATAATTCATATAAAAATAGACATTATTCGTTCTATCTTGGTTCAATATGGTTCCTTTGGCCATCAACAATTATGTTTACCCTAAATGGGCTGACACCTTTGGCGTGATCTTAGCTGGAATACCAGTTTTGTTCGTGCCCATACTTTTTACCAAAAACTATTACGCGTTGAAAGATCGAACTACGAGAACGTTTCTAGAAGTTAGTTATTTTTCCATAATTTTAATATTTCATTAGTATTTTGTTTTCATATAGTTTATTGACGGGTTTCCAGATTTTTAATTCTGAATATTAATTTTTAAAAAATATTGTTTATCGTTTATAATACCTGTAGTATTCAGCAGCTTCTACCATAGTGAGGTAAAATGCAGGATCATCATTAAAATTCTCAGGTCAGGGTAAAAAAAATTTAAATGATTGTCCTTGTGGGAATGGGGGAAGGGGGAGATTTTGATATTTACTATTTATTCTTAAAATATGGAATAAAATTTATTATTATTATTTTTCAAAATATATTTTGTCTTTTTATTTGCAATTCGTTTTTTTAAATTTTTGTTAAAATTATAATTGAGAATATTAGTAATAAATAAAATTGATCCTTCATATGCAATTAATTCTTCTAGTTCTAGGTACTCATTCTCGTCTTATTTTTAATATGCGTTATCACATTTTTTTTATTTTGTAATATATTTGAATTTTCATAGAGTCATAATTATAATAATATATAATTTAAAATATAGAAGAGGCCGGGGTTTTATAGCAGCTGTTTTACTCTTTTGCGACACAATTTTATTTTTTAAAATTATTTTGCCAGCGACGGCCAAGATGACAAGCCCATCGGGGCAAGATGACAAACATTAAATTTAATTCATTTATTATTGTTATGATTAAAAATAAAAACCAATTATCAATATTTTTCTCTTCAGAATAAAGATAAGCGAAAAAGGTTAAATTCTTGGCACAAATAGGATATGCCCATACAGGCAATTACTGCATTATATCAAATCCTCGTGCTTTTTACTGAATTATATTATGTCACTTCCTAAAAGTTTTACACCTCCCCCCTTCCCCTACCCTACCAAAAATTTATTTTTTACCTACCCCATAAATATTTTTACCAAATTAGAGGAGGAATTTACAGGTTTAACCCGAATACCACCACCCTATTAAGATTTTTTTAGCCTTCCCGACTGTGTAATAGTTTTTTTAAAATTCACTTACATAAAAAAATAACTTTTTAAAAAATAAGTTAGTTTTGCTTAATTTTTCCAAAAAATACTACAGATTAATCCGCAAGCCCAATGTTTAATTTTTTTAACTCGCTCGACTACGCCTGCCCTAGTATTGGCTGGCGAGTTAAAACTCCGCTTATTGCATAACTCTAATATAAACCATCAAGATTAGCTTAGAAAAATGATAATTACTTTCTCCACTCCTATTTTTCTACTACCACCCTTCCCTATTATATTTCAATGACTATCTTGCATTATACATCTCGCCGAATCTTTGATAGAGGTGCTTGCTATCTCCGATACTTACATAAGTGTTTGGGTATAGCTAGAAACAGAGTCATCAGGATTTGTTTCACCTCTAGAACATCATTACAAATATAATCAGTAATAATATCAAGGCTTAGTTGGTGGATTTCCTTAAAATATTTTGTGAGATCTAAGCCCAATGGTAGTGAGTTAGCTCAAACGCCTCTAGAAATTTTTCTAGATAAGCTAGAATCTGGGCTAAGTTTATTCGGTAGAAAATTTGAAAAATATATTTAATAAATTTCATAAAATTTGAATGTCCAGGTTTTGCATCAAATCAAAACCAAATAAAAAATTTTTGAAAATCGTTTTTGATCAATATCTTCTGAAGGGGGATCACTCACTACTAAATCAACATTTATAACTTTTGTTTTGTTTATAATATCGCTCAATCTGTCATCTAGAAATTGATCATTCAAATAGTTTAGTTTTATTTATAATTAATTTATGTATATCAGTGGTTTGACCAGGATTTATCCAAAGGAGGGGGGGGGGGGAGTTTACCAATTTTTTTGGATGCTTCGCTCTCTAACTTATATTTATCCGGCCTTTAGGAGGGTCTAGCCTATAAAATTATAAATAAGTATTTTTGGGTTTCTTGGTTATTTTTATTTTGCTTTTTCAAAATATGTAATATCTTTTCTTTATATAATTTCTATTGGTACTGTCTCTTAATTTTTTAATGAACAAGGACAATCATCCTTAAACTAAAGATCTGCAATGAGCGGGGTTTAACCCAAACGTCCTCTCGGTCATTGTTTTAAATTTTTAACCCGCTTGCCTGCCCGCTTATGGTTTTTTTAATTCACCCGCAAACTTGCATGGCTATCCGCCCGCTCATTAATTTAAAAATTTTGTTTAACCCCGCCCATCCAATGTTTACAAATTATTTGGTTTAGCTCTTTATTTATTTTTTATTTTAAAGTTTTTTTACACTTATAAAATATGCAATATTATGAAATAAATTATTTTTAAATAAATAGAAGTATGTTTTGCTCATTCCGACCGAAGTATTTTAAATTCGCCCGCCTATCGCCTGCCCATTTTTTAAAAATATTATTTAACCCACTACTCACCCACCCAATGTTTAAAATCTTTTAGCCCGCTCTTTTGTAGTGATATAAAAACGCAGTCATACTTGTGGCATCTTTAGAAAATGTCATACCAAAATAAAATAAACTAATATAATATATAATTTTTTGCACGGAGGGGTAAGATTGAATGAATCTTTGTAAATAACATTAAGTTCGCTTTTACTTGGAAATATAAAAGATCATCTGCCGTATATCCCTGGACTTCCCTTTAATAAAATGAATATTATACTATCTATATTTATCAGTAATAATCATTTAAGGTTTATGTGAGTCTGTATATAGGTAAGTTGGAGATCAAAATTAATTTTCGGGAGGGAGGAAATTTTTTTAGGGGAGTAAGGAGTAACAAAAATAATAGGGAAAGGTGGTGGGGTGTTGAAACCTCTGGTTTTATTAAAAAACAATGTATAATAATATTTTAATATAGTTTAATTTATTTATTTAAAAATATTAATATATTAGAATGTACGTATATTAAGTCAACCAAGAGATAATTGGGGACCAGAACTTGCTGTCAATAGAACAGGAAAATACAAACCATTAGGCATATTACAAAACTAAAATTATGTCATCTCAACGTTCACATTTTAACATTAACAACTTTGAAGCCAAATAAAAATAATCCAACTTATATTATGTAAATCAATAGAATTCGATTGCCCTTAAATAAATAACACGTTTATCATCGGTGATAACATAAGATTATTAAGTTGTTTAACAGTTTTTTGATTCACATAATTCTACTATCATGACGCAATATGCAAATGTTACGTTCTATTCATTTGCCTTATCTCTTATTCCTAGTTAGCGCGAATTCGCTGGGAAGAATATAAAAATACAGGCGAAGTAAATAATATATGCTGCATTTTTTACATCGCCGCAAATCCGTGCTAACTGTGAATATGCAGTATTAGGTTGATTTCCAAACACGTTTTTTCAAAGCGGGTTTCGAGGCAAGTTATCGAATTAATTTTTTTTAAATAAAGTAAATATTTCTTTTTAAAAAACGATCCAGATTCCAGATGACATTTAATCGCTAATAAATAACAGACCGGGGAGCTCAAAAATTATTTTTTCCAAATTATACCTGAAGTTTTTTCATCTACCATTTTCAAAATGACCCTTTCTTGGCTATTTTTTTTAGGAAGGGTGAAATTCTTTAAATTTTTTAGGGTGCCCTCTCTAGTGATGCTGCTGGTATTAAATACGTGATTATAGCATCAAAATATACTAGATACGCACTAATTATTGAAATATGTCTCCCCTTTATCCGATTGGATAAATTACTACAGTTTGTCATATAAATATAAAATTATTGGAGGTATTTGTTATATAATTATAAAATACTATTTATAATAAATTAACACTATATAATTTATCTTTTTAATCATTATTTTGCATCGGGCATAAAATTTCTTCAGGATTTTATAAAAATAAAGAATCAAGATTATAGAAAAAGTGCCTCATTGAAAAAATATTTGTATTGTCCATAAAAGTATCGTGATCCATTTAAAAAAAAACAATCCTCGATTTAGATCTATACATGCTGAAAAGGTCGTGATTAACAAGCCTGCTTTTCATAAATTGAAAGGTGCCCCTATTTTAAAAATGTGATATATTGATTTGACAGAATCCATTCAAATATAGCTAATATTACTAGTATATTTAGAAAAATAGGAGATAATGTAGAACAATTATTTTAGAGTTGTATTCAAGGGATAAAATTAGGTTTTATTTTGAAATTCACAAACCTTACTGCAACGAGGTAAACATATCATTCCAATATTATCGGTGCCTCAATTAAATTAAAACAGAATAATCGAATTTATGAATGATATTTTGATCAACCTTTACAAATAGTTTTACGTATCTACATGTTATCTTTTAGCAGTATTATGCATAATTTAATTTCCTCTTATATTTATTATTTGTACTAGAAATATTTAAACAAAATCCTGCTCCCTATAAATACCTTGTTCTCCTTTCCACAAGGTGCATTATTTTGGACACCAAACCAGTCGCTAGTTAAGAAAATTTATTTGTTAATTTTTGGTTTTGAATCATTCAAAAATTAACTGTCTTTGCTTTCTTTTGAAATACCTTTAGAATGTACCGAAAATTCTAATGATTCAGTAATATATAAATTAGATATTAAAAATGCCTTCAATGAAAGATTCGCCAACTATTATTCACTGGAACCCCTTTTGCATTGCATTGGAACTCACAGAATTGTAGCTCACTTCAAACCGGGGAAATAAATTTATTGAATAGGGCTTCATACTAAACATAAACGAAACCGAAATTTGTTTTATTAAATGGCAGACTTTCAATTTTCGCTAGTTATAAAAATTTTTCCCTCAAAAAATAAATCTCATTGGATTTTTCATTTATATCTTATCAGAAGAATCTCTAAGCATTTTTTTTTTAAATTTTTTTAAATATAAAGTATTTTATCATAATTTTATCTTACCAATCTCTATTTTTAAGAAAATGCTTCCATATTTCCAAATATTTCCATCATCATCTTTCAGCCTAAATTAATTTCGTCCAAATTGATCACATTTTTAAAGCATTCCTGAGGAAAATGTTAAACATTGAATCAATACCTTTCAATTTGTCTCTTTCGCAGATACTGTTTAAATTAGAAGGACCTAACTTTTTCCCTTGAAATATCATCGCACTATCCTCCCTTTTATTGTTTGGATTAAAGATTAACTCGATGATTTCAAGATTTCTTTAACCCTCCGACAATTACTGACTGAAGCATCAATAATTTGCAAGAGAAGTCACCTCCTAAAACCATATCTCCATGTCATGAATTCAAAAATAAAACAATACAATATTTTAAACATTATTATTTTTTTAATGTCCTAAGATGTATTTAGTTAATCCTTTAGTTATACTCTATAAATTTAATTTTGCTAATATTTAGTCCTAAAAAAGAAGTATAAAATGTAGGGGAAATGTGTCATAAATGGCCATGTGTGAAAACTGGCCCCCACCCTTTAACTTTTTATCTATTTGATCAATTTCTCTCATAATCGGTCAAAATGTGTATATTTATGTGATATACATCACCTAAGTTCATTTACTGAATAGAGCAATTCAATAAAAAAATATTTCAAATAAACTGTTTTTACTACCTCTTTCTGGAAAAATCACGTTAAACATTTTTTTTGTTTGGTGAAAAAATCACTTTAGGTTACTGATATTTTATATAAATATTATGCGTAGGCATTTAGCATTATTCAAACAAAAAATTAGACTTTAAAGGTTTTATTTAATAGACATATTTTTTTTTTTTTTCTCTTTAGCTTTCACCTTTTCTGGTGGTAAGCTCCTTCAACATCTCTCTCCACTTTATGTTATTCGTATAATCTCTTTTATCTATTTTATTCTTTATATTGGCTCTAACTTTATGGCCCCATTGAAGTTTTGGCCTTCCTCTTTTACGTTTGCCCATCACTTCCAATCTTTCAACTTTATTTCCTATGTAGTTCATAGGCCTTCTCATTGTGTGCCCATACCACCTAAGTCTGTTTACCATTAACTTAGTCTTAATGGGCACTACCTTTAAACTATTTAGTATTCTTGTACTGCGCACCTTATCCTTTCTTGTTACCCCAGCAATCATCCTCAGCATTCTCATCTCCATAGTTTGTAGACTTCTCTCGTCTGATTCTTTGGTTGGCCATGTTTCCGAACTATATAGAATAGTTGGTTGTACTATGGAACTGTAAATTTTTCCCTTTAATTTGTGAGGGATTCTTTTGTCAAATAGCACTCCAGATAAAGATCTCCACTTTAACCACCCTTGATTAATCTTATTCTTTATCTCTTTTTCTATTGTGCCGTTTGTTTGTATAGTGGAGCCCAAATATTTGCAGCTTTCAATTGCGGATATCTGCCAATCATTTATATCAATACTCTCCGTTTCATCTCCTCCTATCACCATATACTCCGTCTTTTCTCTATTTACTTTTAATCCGTGCGTTTCTAGGATATTTATCCAATTCACTAACCTTTCTTTCATTTCATCCTTGGATTCGGCAAGTATCACAATATCATCTGCAAATATCATATTCCACGGGACTGTTTGAGGTATAGACTGTGCTAATACATCTATTACTGTAATGAAGAGAAGTGGGCTGAGAGCCGACCCTTGATGAACTCCTTCGGCTATTGTGAAGCCTGCTGAAGTACCTGTTGTGCTACGGACCATTGTTGTATGTCCCATATACATATCCTCTATTATTCTTATATATTTTTCGGGAACTTTTTTGTGGCGTAGCGCCCACCAGATAAGTTTTCTTGGGATTCTATCGAAGGCCTTTTCTAGATCGAGAAAGACCATGTGTAGCTTTTTGTTCTTTTCCCTGTATTTTTCACTCATTTGCCTAATTGCATGGATAGCATCGATTGTTGATCTTCCAGGCATAAAGCCAAACTGTGTCTCTCCTATTTCGATTATATCTCTTAATCTTTTTTCTATTATTTTTTCGTATAGTTTTAGACAGTGTGACATTAGTTTTATGCCCCTGTAATTTTGACAATTGTGTGGATCCCCTTTATTTTTGAAGATAGGAACTAGATAGCTCTGCCTCCATTTTTGGGGGACCTCTTCATTTCCAAGTATTTTATTGTACAGATTTGTGAGGAGATGTATTCCATCATCTCCTAGTGCTTTAAGGCTTTCTATTGGAATATCGTCTGGACCCCTAGCTTTGTTGTTTTTCATATGCTTGAGGCATGTGATTATTTCTTGTTCTGTTATAGGTTGTACAAGGTTTTGACAAGGGGAGTGTTCGTCGAGATGCAATATGTGGGAATTAAAGTTGAGAAGCTCCTGAAAATATTCTTTCCATCTATTCATTATTTCTTTTTCCTTTATTATCAATTTCCCATCTTTATTTTTGATTACTTTCGGAGCTCCGTTTATATCCCTAGAGTTCTTTTCTCGCTGTTTGGCTAATCTGTATATTTTATTTTGCCCTTCTTTGGTATGTAGATCTTCGTACATGTCATCGTATGCCATAGATTTGGCCCTAGCCACCGCCTTTGTAACTAATCTCTTGGATTTTTTGTATCTTGACTTGTCATCTGCATTTTTGGATTTGTACCATATTTTATAAAGGGCTTTTTTCTCCTGTATATTGGTTTGTACCTCTTGATTCCACCACCATAGTTCTTTGTGTGATTTGGTGCCTCCTCTTGTCAAGCCTAGCGTCGATTTTGCAGTGTCTATTAATCTGGATGAAAGGTCTGTCCATATTTTTTCACTGACTTGTGAGCAATTTATTGTTTCAATGTTTGCATTGATTGCAAAGGCATCTGTCATTGTTTTTAATTTGCCCCATTTGATGCATGGTTCCAGTTTTATCTTATTTTGAGTGGATTTATGATTTGTAAATCCATGATTAGTAGCTTGTGTTGCGCGGCGATATCTTCTCCTGGGATGACTTTGCAGTCTATTACATCTTTTAATCTTCTGCGAGAGATTAGCATGTAATCTATCTATGTTTTCCTAGTACCACTTTCATATGTTATTAAATGACTGTCTT